GCAGTTTATTGGCAACCAGATCCGCGAGCAGGGTACCACGGATTACGTTGATGAGGATACCTGGGAGGAGCAGCAGACCTCCAAGGGCACTGGCAAGAAGCGCCAGTTTGTTAGCGTTGCCTGAGTAGGATTAGGGTTGTATACAAGCATGTCTATTGGCGTTATCATTTTCGACCTCGTTACATTGGAGGTCTTGTCTGTCTGTGTTCCATATAAAAGTTTTATATCCTTGGGAGTTGAAAGAGAATATAAAGGGATGTATGATAGCTCAATTTCGAAGTCAAATAGAACTATTTCCCTAGGATAATTGTCTACTGAATTTCCAAGTGTATCAAAATAAGATAATTCATTTAATTGGTCTAACTATTATATCCTCCCACATGCACCAATCCAAGCGATAATAACCGAAAAAGAATTCAAAATCTGTATTGCAATGAGACATCATTAGCAATTTGCTCCAAGCAACGACATGTTGATCTTTCCAAGACCAGTACCAAGAAAAGAAACAACAAGCATCCAAAGACTCTACTCAGGAGAACCATTGTAAGCATCGACGACAGGGGTTTCCTGTCATACCTCTTCCGGCTCTTCCTATTAAAATTCCGGTTCTAATGCGAATCTCATCATGATAGAGTCTGTTTGGTGCGATGCTTGTTGTTCCTTCACTTGTGGTCCTGTCATGGGGTTTTGTACCACATACCTATTAGTGGGTTCTTCCAGCATGAAATCGAAAATCAATCTCATTTATTGATCTTGATCCATGCTGGGATTTGGTGTTGGTTGGAGCTGGAGAAGAGGAAAGAGTTCGGTTGGGAGTTTTGTGAGAAAATTTGGCCCGGTGGAGCTCTCTTAGTCATGTTGGTCACGTGTTGGTTTTATATGGGGCTACCCCTTGAGTAGTGGATACGGAATTTGTATAGAAATTTGAACGAAATCTTGTAGAATATTTAATATTCGGTCAATGTTCATTGTCATACTGGTATCAATTTCATGACGGTCATAATTACCCGTTTGAGGCATGCGGTGGTGAAACACGAGGTCTGATCAAGATGATGGCTTCATTGTACCACAGCAAGAACATGTCCACCACTGGGTTTCCATGAAGCTACTGCACGAGATGCAAACCCATCCAAGAGGCTTCTTGTCTGCATCCTGGTCCAAGGATTTGAGGGTATCAAGTGCACGGGTTCGATTCTTGAAAACAAATGCACTCCTTTGGTCTGCTTCCTTCTCTTGGGTTTGATCAAAAGGTAAACGCCTTTTCTGCGAGTTTCGTGGCTCCGAACGCACAGGTTGGATAGGATTTTGGCCAGATGTGGATGTGGATAGCGTACTGTTTGGAGGCGGTCGTTCTGCTGCACAAACATCACAACATAGGAAGGTAGACGGATTCTCGAGTGTGCACGTTGGACAGATCCATGGAGCCTCATATGAACTGTTATCGGCTGCGAGATCAACAGTTTCATTTCTATTTGATGACGACGGTTCTTTTGGAAGCGCAGGCAGAGTTTCAGATAAAGCAGGCGGAGTATCGGAAGCAGTAGGTGGTGGTGACGATTTCGTCCGAGGTCCAGCCGGGTTTTCTTGACTTGGCGGAACATATGACGACTCATATTTCTCCCTTTCCTCTTCCTGTATCAGTTCAATAAAGGCCTCCATGATAGCCCGCTCGTTTGCGTCATCTTCCTCGGCCTGGGTTCTAAATCCATGCGAGGCCTCTTCCGCAAGCTCGGTGCTTCGGTCAGTTCCAGATGCACAACCCTGGGTTACTTCGATCCGCCGCTGCGCAGCGTCAGCCCGGAGTTTGCGTATATCTGTTCCTCGAAGCACGGGGGCGCCGCCAAGCTTTTTGCCAGAATTTTTGGCAAGAACTCTTCGCTGTTCAGCAGCGGCACGAGCTTGACGTCGAGCTTCATCCAACGGAATTCGTTGGCCACCAAGACGCTTTCCTTGAGATAAGAAACCCTCTCCGGTGTAGCCTTTTCGGGCTAGTTCCTCATGCTCATCACGAAGTTGATTCCACAACGCGTGAAATTGCTGGTTGTGGGGACCAATCACATTGTGGCAGAGTCTACACTCTGTCAGAATTTGTATTTTAGGATATTGAAGATGTAAAATCACTCACTCATGAAGCATAGTATCCAAAACCTGCTCGATAGGGAGAAATTGCCGTTGGTCAGAGGGATACCGTAGTCTTAGACAAATCTTCTGGCCCGCGTTGACATTCAGCCCCAGTAGGTTTCGCTGCTGTGGATAAAACTCACAGAGCGCGCCTACTCTCCAGGCGCGCTGTCGCATGATCGGTTTGACCAACGATGCGACTTTGCGCAGGATCAAGAGTGCCTCTGCTTCTCGGGGGCGTTTCTTTTCATGGCGGTATTCTGAGATCAGAGGATCTAACTCGCGCATTTTCGAAATCTCTTGATCAAGAACTTGAATGGTGCAGGAAAACAGGACGTCGCTAATATGTGGATGTTACCGCCTTGTTTGCGATAGCCTCCTCCGAGACGAGGGTCTGAACGAGAAGTTTTCACATCCGAGCATGCCCAAATGAGGGCATTATACGGATAGCGATGCAGGTAGTCAGGAACAGTCAAAATAACATGGCCAGTGATGGAAATTCCAGAATCAATCCAAGTTTTGAGTTTCCATGGATGGCTTTCTGGCATAAGCAAGGCAAATGTTAGACACCCGATACATCAGGCCATATATTTAGTCACGTGCATTGAATCTACATCCATATTCTTGACGAAATGAAGGTTGTTAAATCGCATATATCGATTTGTCGATAGGCCCAAGGAATTGCTCTATTTTTATATAATACTAAGAGCTTTTGGAATCACCTTGTTGACTTATATTCAAAGTGTGTCGTGTCGTTAGGTCCAGATATATATCTTTACAGTATCCCAGATTAAGATGATAACTGGGTTAATAACAAACCATTTCATTGCTTTTTGGCCACTTGTAATTGATATACTAATATCGGAAGAGCAAAAAGAAAATAGAAAAGACCATAGCTAGTTTCGCATACTCCAGGGCGTTGATTGTTTTATACAAAACGCTGCTCATGTGACCTTTGCGATAACATTCTCGGTGTTATCGGCATCCATCTTATCGAACTTTCGCTCTTCTTTTTCTTTCCAGGTTGTTCTCAAATAAACAACATTAAAGATGACGAGCGACGACCAGTTCTTTTTTGACTATGTGAGTATCATAGGAGTTGACACCGAATGCCCTCGGCGCTGACATTTCCTCATCCAGCTCTCGTCTATACCTCATGACGTAAGGCGGTATTCTCTCGAAGTCGCCGACTCGATCGACCGACAAGTCGACCGTGCAGCACATGTGATCAAGGATACGCTGGCCCAGCAGTCATGGCTACCGCCCACTGTTCGCCCGGCTCGGTCCCCGAAAATGCGGTCATCGCAAGGCCTAACAGACCGGGTCCAAAGTTGGGTGACTCGGAATCGCGCATGGTCGGCGGCCATCCTCGCATTTATCGGAACCGGTGTTGTCTTATACTACGGAAACAAAAAGTTACACGGAAAACGAAGAAAGGCCAAAAGGGCGAGCAATGGCGCAAGGAAAGAGATTGTTGGTATGCGTCATAATGCCTGCATTTGATCTGCACCAGGACCTGAATGCTAATCATGCAATTATAGTTGTTGCCGGATCGCCGCATGAGCCGATGACAAGGGCTATTGCCATGGATTTGGAACGTCGAGGATATATCGTATATGTGACTGTTTCTTCCGCGGATGAAGAGCATATCGTCAAGTCCGAGAACCGTGTTGACATTAAGGCTCTCTGGTTGGACCTTACTACTGTAAGTGCTGTTTTTTGTATCCCTTATACGGCAGAACTCAACTAATATTTTCAACTAGACATCCTCCTCGCCGTCTGAAATCCACCCCTCGTTGCAAGAGCTTCGCTCCTTGATCACTCAGGCACAGTCACCCATCGCCGGAGTGCCTCCACACACCTGCCAACTGAGCGGCCTTATCGTGGTCCCATCACCCAACTATAGCGCAGGCCCTGTGGCAACCATTCCGCAGTCATCGTGGGCTGACACAGTCAACACCCGTCTCCTCTCGCCCATCCTCACAGTGCAAGCATTCCTCCCTCTACTGACCCTCCGCAGCAATAGTAGCACTATTGTTTTCGCCTATTCTTCCATATCATCCTCTCTTTCTGCGCCATTTGCGGGACCCGAAGTCGCCACAGCCCGAGCAATCTCAGGCTTTGCGGCCTCACTTCGCCAGGAACTTCGCCTCCTCGAACAAGGCAATGTTGATGTCGTCGAGCTACAGCTAGGCAATATCGACCTGGGACCTACGTACCGAAGTGGCCAGAACCAGATTGCAGGCACAGAAGTTCTCGCATGGAGTACCCAACAGCGGGCCCTCTACGCCTCACAGTATCTGTCCAGCGTTGAGCAGCGCCCGGTTGCCTCTGCTGGTCCCAGCACAATACGCGGATCTCCAGCGCGGAACCTCCATCACGCTATTTTGGATGCTTTGGAGCCAACCTCGCGGGATATGTTCGGCCGTAAAGTGTCCAAGAAATCCATTATCTATGTGGGCCGCGGAGCTCGGTCTTATAGCCTGATCGGTGCCTGGGTTCCCAGTGGACTCGTGGCGCTAATGATGGGCTACCGCAGTGGGAATGGAATGAACTCGGAGACCCCGAGTGGCAGCGGCAGTGAAACCAGCTGGGAGAGAGTTTAAGCTCGAGTCCACGTTTTGGCACATTTCCATGACATTGCCGTATTTAATATATCAAAAGCCCTCGCTTTGAATAATCCTCTTCTGTACATACTATCATTGGAAATACTCTTCACTCTTAATGGCACTGTTCCACCTGGTTTGGTGATCTATATCCTTATACGTCGTCTTAAGCTTAATAGACTCAAAGATTTTGATTAGCAGCTAGCTGCTAGCATCTAGCACCAGAATATCATCGTTGATACACATACACAGCCCCGACCCACCCCTACCTAATCAGAGAATCCCCCCGGAAGAAGCGAATCGGCCCATCAACTCACCCAGGCCGATCGCACCCGTCATCTCATTCGATTCCTCCCCACGCGCGCCGGCGACCTCGTGGGGGCGGAGGGGATCCCGCCTCGCACGCTTAATCTTTCCGTGCGTAAGCCGACAGCGCAGACGGATTAGCTCCCAGGAAACACCGAAGGCAGCTAGAACCGCAGCCATGATAGCGAAACAGTATACTATCACAAGGGTGTTATTCTGTCCGTGCTCACCGGCATTGAGAAAGGCGTATGGGTACCAGCCTTGGGCTTCGTGGGTGATGTACACGACGCAGAGGTACTGCAAGAGCATAAGTAGCAAGAACGGGATTGCAATGAAGGGGTGTGGGGGTGTAGCTGGGAGGATGATTTCCAGTAGAGCGAAAAGAGAGTTCAGACCGTGCTGGGAGACCTGGGAATTGACGCATTAGCTTGAACGGCGGATGGAATTGGGGGGGGGTCAAAAGATACTCACATTTTGCCAGGCGCTGAATGTCTCCTTATACCACGGTGGAGTAAAGATGACAGTGCAGAAGACAACGGTAACGAGAAACGGAAATGTTGTGATGGTCACATACAGTAGGCTGTGGAGAACGCGAAAGATGCGTGGCCAACGGTCGAAGAGAACAGAGCGACCGGTTCGTGCGTAAAAGGCTGTATGGATGGCTGCGAACAACATATAGAAGCCAAGGCCCCAGTAGGTTAGCCAGGTGAAGGAACTGAACGAGCGGCCAATGGAAAGGAGGTCATGGTGGGTACCATACCAGCCCCAGAAGATGAAGATGGAGAGGAAAATGTACAGCGCGGTTAAGCCGCGGAGACCGGCGAGGAGGGCGGGGGACAAGACCCAGGAGGTCTCGAAGTGGTGCTTGTCATCGGTAGTCTGGTCGACTCCGAAGAGAGACATTAGCGAGAATGAAGACATGTTGTTTTGATGATTGTGATTGAGGATTAAAGGAAGAGTGATGATTGAAGGGAGAGAGAGAGTTAATTGAGAAAGGAAAAGAGATTTGGCTGTACATGTACTGGATCAGGTAGCTAGCATCTAATGCTCACGTGGGAGCTGGGGGTGGTTGCCTGCTATTTTCCAGGACATAGAGCTACCTCGCAAGTCATTGTGCGCCTCTCCGTGTATATTACGAGGACCTGAGCCAGTCGCGCTGGAATTTCTACTCTCAGTCTCACTTTAGATCTAGCTTACTCCACAAGTACTGGCCCTACATACTGTAAAGAGTTCGAAGGCTTATAATTGAATTTGATAGTGAATCAGAGTCAGGAGGTGAGTCTTAGAGTCGATTTAACGGACTAATATAGAGCAAGACGGGATTTAAAATTGTCTCCATGATCACCATTTGGATCAATTCATTCGAGACCTTCTAAATGATGGGCTGTACCTTGCCTGTTTACTTCATATACTTTGAGATGGACTAGATGTTGCTACATGTATCAACATACTGTATCATTTTTGCACATGCTTGATAGCTGCCACCACCAAAAAGCTCAAACATAACTTGACTGCAAAAGGAAGCTACTACGGACCGACTCCCAGCTATTCTCCGCAGGATCGGATGGCCAGACATCAGAAAGAACTCGCCGTAGTCTCTCGGGGATGGATATATATGAGTCTTGAAAGAGCGACTGATGCCGTATCTCCCTTTCTCTTTTTCCGATTTCCCTAATAGCCGGTACCCCAATGTTTTGAAAATTATAACGTGTGATCAAAAACGAACGAGAGAACCAATCTAGAAGCCGTTGTTCGTCATTCGGGAGGCATCTAAGACCCAAAGGCATGACACGCAGGTTTTGCAGGCGACGGGAAGCTTGGTTAAGCGAGATCAAGTGCCAGACCTGAAGAGCCAGTTTCTCATCCATAGTCGCATTCACAAACATCGTTTCGAGAGCTGATGCCTCGAGTTCTGGCCTTGGGTTTGCCAGCCGCGGTGTGGAGTCAAAAAGAAGATCTAGTACAAGGCTATAGAGATTTGAAAAGTTCCCTAAGGCCTTGTAAATTTCGCATTCTTCTTGATTGCCCATAGATCGTTTGATAGGGAGACGTAGCTCTTCAAGCTGCGGACAGGACTTGGCTAGCTGGCTTATGGCAAAAGCATCAAGTTCTGGATATTGATACCCATAATACTCGCTTCCTGTCTTTCCCATAAACCCAGTGGTTGGTTCAATGATTAACCCCTTTAGAGCAGGGCCATGGTGCTGTGCAATTTGACGCAAAGAGGAGGCGCTACTAAGACCGCGAATATGGAGATATTCAAGGGATTGAACGCCAGTATTGCAGCAATTCCATCTTTATCAGTATTTGGAAAACGCCAGCCACGTCCATTTGCGGAGATGAAAAGCCGCTCGAGGTTGGGGAAAAGTGCAGCCGTCTGAGCAAGCATGGGTGGGTTGAATAACTCATCGAGTTGAAGGGAGCGAATTCGGGAAATATCCACGATATCCGCCAGCTTGAGTAGGATATATTCACGCGGACCCATTTGAGAAATTGTAAGCGACTCTAAGGAAGATATTGGCATGGGGTGCGTGGTAGCAGCGCAGTTAAGCCATTCTTGGTTTAGTGTAGTGATTGGGAGACGATGACGAGTGAAACTTTTCTGTAATATAAGGTGCTTCAAATTGGGAGGCACAAAGAGGAAAGGCAGAATTTCGGTTTGTCCTATCCAATCTGATTTACCAGCCGAGTGGCGGGGAATATGGACGGACAATGTATGTAGTCCCTGGAGACGTAGAAGATTGACATCGATGCCCCAGCCATCTGACAAGCTCGTTCGATCCCTCCCTGGAGGGCTTTCTTGCTCTTTTAAGCTCTGGCGTGGCCAAAGATTCAACTGACATTTCGGATGATGCTGTGATATAGCTTCTTGCAACGCAATTGGGAAATCGTTATCAGCAAGAAATTCGATTTTGCCGAGATGGCACAGGCGGGCGATGAGGGCAGCAAGTGGGCTCCAGTCTCTTTCCTGTTCCCTGTAGCCCGACGAACCTTTGAGGAGAGCGAATCCTCCATCGTGCGATAAACTGGGATCTGTCAAATGATACTCTAGAAAAGTGTCTCTCGTGGCGGGCTCATCTTGGGCGTAACGGGAATTTCCCAACTTGCAGCCTTCCAATTGCCAAGGGCGGTCTTGTGCTTCATTGCCCGAATCTGGATTGAGACATATAATAGATAATTTCTTGGCGTATTTCACAAATTGACGCCCTTGGCCCTCTTCTGTCAACTCTGAGACAGCTTTCCGGAGGGTTGGAGGATCCCAGAAGATGACAGAAAGGTGATGATAAAAAAGAGGGGCGGCTATTTCATAACAAGTGTGATTGAGCCGACTGAAGGTTGAGAGGGCTGTGCGAGAGTCCAACCCATCGGCATGAAGCTAAAGGATTTAGTGTCTCAGGAGAAAACAGAGCCTTAAGTGACATACACTAAGACATATTTGGTGCAAGAGTTCCTGTGGAAGACGATTCATTCTGTTTAGGGCTTGTAGTCTGTATTTTGGAGATATAAAAGCTAAAATACTGAAGAGCTTTTGCCAAGTGCCAAGGTGTGAGTTCTAAAGGCTTACCAGCTTGGTAACAGCGAAGTTCTCAGTTGGAGCACATTGGGATTAGCGCAATACGGGTTGAGGTACGTGCACTGTTATAGAGCTGATCTTATGCAATCCAGACTCTCTCCAGTTTCTTTGTAGGGAACCACTGAAGGTCACCGGAATTGCAGGGATTTTTAGCGCAAATCCTGGCGGTGTTTGCGCAAGCTCATCCAGTCGCTAAAGCCTGCCCGTGCTAAGCTCGAAGAACTCGTTCAACTCTTAGACATACTTCGATACCGCACGGCAAGTCTTGAGTCCTGATCAGCCGCTGAATTTCATCCAGGCCTGAGGTCCCTTAGGGCCGAATCTTACGAGTTTACGTAACTGATCTGGACGCGCAGAATATGTTGTATATCTTCGAAATTAGGAGTATTCCCAAGAGAGGAAAAGCGAATGCCTTTGCCTAAAGGGCCACCACATAGTATAAGCAACGAGTACTTTCAAAATGATACTTGATATCATTTAGAAACCTCTGTGTGACATCTGTATGTCCACGCATGGCAGGGCTGACGCCGGTTAATAAGCAAAAGTATTCCAATTGAAATTACTCCGTACTGTACTTCGAATACTCTAGAGACCGTTAAAACAAAGAAAGTGAAATGTCGAAGATGTTATTTGAACTCAGAAAGAAGCAAAGAAGATATTTTATTGATCTTCAAACCTTCCAACCTTGGCAGGTCCCGAAGGGCCCGGACGCATAGGAATGCTGACTAACATAGGCTATTACCAAATAGGGATAGTATACAATCACAGTCCATGGTTGAGTCGAGCGAAAGGCCGCGTTGCCTTCATCTCTTTTAAGACATGACTCTTATACTGATTTATATTTAGTGACATATACCCATGGGTCTATGTTGTATGGAGTACTTAAAATCAGTTTGAAACAAAGATTCTATTTTATATACCTATTCCCTGGGTAACCATTTCAGTCTCTTTTCGGTGGTACCCGCTCTCGTGGCTGCAATATAAGTAGGGGATGGTCTCACTTCTCAACTGGAAAGCTAACTTGTCTTTTTCAATCACACTCCGTAACCTAGGCTCCAATGTTATTCCAAAACACAGCCCGTGTGCTTGAGATCAGAGACGATGAAACCTCCAGTGTGGGGAGAGACGGCAGAGGAACTGTTGGGATTCTAGAAGATAGCGGGTCAAACACGACACTTATAAATGTGGTGTACGGAGTACGGAGTACACAGAGTACATTGAGCATGGACTACATAGTAAAACAATTTATAGGATAGATTATTAAATAGTAGACTAACAATAAAAATAATAGCCAATAACAATACATAACATGCCACTCAATGGTTATTCTTGGCGACCCCCTGAAGAGCCAGTTCTCCCCCTGAGACGATCCCTTGTCAAAACGTCAAGGTGGAGTGTTTTATTTTAGTGCACGGGGCGCTTCTATTTACCTTGACATCCATTGTGATCGTCACCTTTTTCTCTTTCTCCTTTCTCTCTCCCTCGATATTTTGTCTATAGGGCTGTCATTCCTTTGGTTAATCGCCTCCCCGCCCTAATCCCTGTTACCTATCGGAAACATAAACAACTTACTACTCCGATGCTGTCTGCGCAAATCTCGAAAGATCCAACCGACTCAGGATAAATGATTCATTAACCATTTGATATTAAAACTTCATTATGGCTATGCGAGGGAAACTGGGCGAATGTCGCTCTATATCCCACGATACCATGCGGAGTGGGCGTGGTACCTCGCCGCGGGTAGCGCATTTCGACGGCGAAGTTCCTCCCGCGCTTTCCCCTCTCGACGCATTCGCCGCTCAAAGCCGATTCTTGGCTCGACAACTCGATGAATCTCGACAAGGCGACCGCCGCATGAGTCGGCTGCCACCGTCGAGTGTAGCTCGATCGCTTTCGCAAGGCCGCCCGGGCTTCGGCCGTTCCAAGTCGTCAACTGAATCCCGCACCGAACTGACCCGTCAACCCACGCAGAAGGGGCTCCCAGAGTATGAAGAGCCCAAATACCGCCCTGTCTCCGAACATCCTCGGTTCAGCTCCGTTTCCAATGCTAGCACCGAAGCCAGCTATTATGAAGATGACGATAATGTGACACCTCGGTCAACGATGCTTAGTACGAGTCCGCAGGCGTATGGGATGCCGCGCGCCGAGTCTCCAGAGGACGTCATGTCGCACGCAAGTGGCACACATGATGGGTCTGTTGGTATGGCGGTTGCTGAGCCGCAAGGTTCATCGATTGATTCATCATCTTCTCGACTAGATATCCCACGCACCCTGGCACCGCCAGTGTCACCGCGGTCGCGCCCATCCAGCAGTGCGAAGGTGGCACATCCCGAGAGTTCCGACGATGATTATAGCAGCTCCAATGGTGGGTCGACGTTCTCAAAACCTCGCAAGCTGTCCTCTGGAAGTGCTGTGTCATTGCCATATTCTCCCATGTCAACATACCCTGCTCGACCACACCCTCGATCGCCATCCGTGAGCTCGGAGACATCCGGCACGGGAGCGAACCAACTACCCCGTCCTTCTTTTAATTTTTCTCGACCACTGAGTCGCTCGAGTACGAGCTTGTCTGCTCCTGGAGCTTCGACGCCTACTGAATCGAGTCTTGCCTCTTCCTCGAACAACATGTACCGTCGTAGCAAGCCGACTCCGCTCGTTTTGCAACTTTCGAACGAAGATGCCGCAGCAATGGGAGACATGGATGGGGAGCCATCGTCCGCTGTCTCGTCTTATGTGTATGCCAAGTATGCGCTTCCGCGTGGACGTTTCCTTTCACGGGATTCCGTGGTCTTTGCGGGCTTACAAACGCCTCATTTCGAGTGGGATGAGCCCTTATTTGAGAAAACACCTCCCCGGAACGCAGAGGAGCCCCCGCGGATGGCACGCACGCCATCCCCCACACCTAATCGACAATTGGCACCGTCGCCGAAGCCTCACTCGATGTACGAAATTCCAGCTCCCAACCCTCAAACTCCAGGCCCGAAATTACAACCCCAGTCTCCACCCCAATCTCCACCTGAGCCTCAACCTCAATCTCAGCTCCAACCTCAAACCCCCAAGTCTCAGCTAGTCCCCAAACCCCCGTCTGTGCGCGAGTCGCCAGTGGAGCCGGCACAACGGCCCTCTGCCGAGAGCACCCGACAGATCAACGAGAAGGATGAGACAGTCTCTTCTGCTGATTCGGCCAGCACCGTGCGGCCTCAAACCGCCACTGCCCAGGTGACAGCTTCCGGTCTTACGGCCGACGACCACGTCGCCAAAGGCATTGAGTGCCACGAGCGAGGATCACTCAGCGAGTCGACGTATCATCTGCGGGTTGCCGCGAAACAGGACCATCCGACGGGAATGCTGCTTTATGCGCTTGCCTGCCGACACGGGTGGGGCATGCGGTCTAATGAGAAGGAGGGTGTACGATGGTTACGCAAGGCTGTGGATTCCGTCGGATTGGAAATGTTAGCCAATCCGGATGGCCCTGGTGCCTCCAAGGCGAAGGAATTACAAAAAGCATATCGAGCTCAATTTGCTCTAAGCATTTATGAACTCGGCGTCAGTTACTTGAATGGCTGGGGTATTGAGCAGGACAAGTCTCTTGCCCTACGCTGTTTCGAGATCGCTGGCCAATGGGGCGACGTTGATGCTATGGCCGAAGCCGGATTCTGCTACGCGGAGGGTGTTGGCTGTAAGAAGGACATGAAGAAGGCGGCACGCTTTTACCGCCAAGCTGAGTCTAACGGTATGAGTATGGTTGGAAACAGCTGGTACGTTCCTTTTGATTATATTCTAATTAATTCTTGCTAACTCGTCGCAGGATCTACAAGGATAAATACAACGAAACCGAGGCTCCTTCTCGCTCCCGTGGCCGAAATGCCGGTGGTGAGAAGGACAAAAAGCCGCGCAGCAAGTCCCGAACTCGCAGTATCTTCCAACGCAAGAAGTCCGTACCCGAGTCATAGCCTGTCTTTACTTATTCACTTTCATTTTGCCTTGATGCGTTCCAGGAGTTGTGGAAGAACCATTTATCTTGCATTTTGCAATATGTTTGGAGCAATTCCGAGACCTTTGATGTTTACTTTTCTTTTCTCTTTTTTACTCGACTCTTTACACTCCTTCACTTCCTGTTTAAAGTTTTCCTTTTACATTTCCTTTCTGAGCCGCCTGGGCAGCTGTTTTCGAGCATGGACTCTCTGGTTCACGTGACTCGCAGGCTTAATACTTCACTTCTCCGTGTATACCCTTTTTTTTATTTCTTCTCATTTGCCAATTTCTTTTTTTGTGGCATATCATTTTCTCTTCTTGGTTATATTTCTTGGGCCTCCCAATCATATTTTGCCTGATATTTTGTCTGATATTTTGCCTCATTGTGGCGACTTCATGAAGTCATGACAGAAGCGTTGATCTGTATCTCTTGGACTCGTATTTTGAATATTCCAACCTATCTAATTTGTTAACACCTGACCCCCCGCATTGTTCCCCGGGCTTTGTCTCGGAGCATTGACCTAAAACGCCTAGACTCTCTAGATTGGCCGGTCCAATGGCGCCTTTTTCTTGTTAGCGGGGGATTAGCGGGGATTAGCGGGGATTCATCTCGACTCGGCTGTTCTTCCTCCGTATAAATCTCCTTTCAATACGTGGGCACAGTCCTCTATCCAGGGTCGCCTCCCTTGGCAACACGCTATCTTGTTAGTGTTGTCTATTCACCAATGATGATCCTGGTCAGTTAATAAGCTAGTGTAACGGTACTCCATTTAAGTATCTCTCTCTTAAAATGTCCCCCAAATCTGACATGGCATTTTAAGGAAATCCTTTGAACAAACCCGACGCATCCCGCATATTAGACTTCTGACAGTACTTAAATTCACCTCGGCTTCCTGTTCGGCTTCATTTTTTCATGTGTTGATAGACAAACTTGAAACATTATACACTCCAGACTCGTTAATCGTCTTTCCCCGGAACCCCAGAATACCCCAGACGCTAAAATGATAGGTACTCCGTACTTATATTTCTACTAAAAATAAAAAAAGGAAATGAGAGGGACCCCTTTCTTTTTCGGATCCCCATTTGGTGGCTTTTTTTCTGCATAACACATGTGATGATATTATAGAAATCCTTTAAGGAAATTTTTTATTATAAAGTACACACTACCCACGCTATTTTAGAGCTTGTGCCACTTCCTTTCATTTCCCCTAGCTCTTCTCCTTTCTCTACGTGTTAGTTCGACTCAGTATGTATACATCTCTCTACTCTCACACAATCCCTAACACAAAACCAGTCCCAAGATGTCGAAGCCCGAAGTCGTAGAGGTGGAATCCCACATTAGCCCACCAGCAAAGAAGAGCTTCGGTGCACGTTTCGTTGCCCATTACAAGAAATGGTGGTGGGCTCACTTGATTGTGTTCATTGCCGTTTTCCTACTGATCTTCCTGCCCGTGTAAGTCTTAAACCCCGGAACTATGCGGAACATTCCACTCATGCATTGCATCTAGTACCTACGTCGCCTACCCCAAGATCGCCCAAGATGGAATCAACGACTCGACCCTCGAAATCAAGGAGATGATCATCACTAACCCAACACCTGAAGCCTTCACCCTCGAGCAGACCCAAGTCATCGGCTCAGACAGCCCCTGGCACCCCAAGATCTTCGAGTTCGATTCCGACGTCTCCCTGGCCGGCGCCGAGAAGCCTTTCTCCCGCGTCACCGTTCCTTCCGTGCAGTCCAAGGATGGCGCCGAGATCCACTTCAAGCAGACCGTTGCTCTAACCGACGCCAAGGCGTTCGAGGATTACACCACCGCCGTGATGTTGAACGAGGAGATTTCCTTGAATATCTTCGGAAAGCCCGATTTGAAGCAGGGTGGTCTTCCCACTACTCAGGTTACTTATAACAAGACCGTTGCTATGAAGGGTATGTTCCTCTTCAATTAATTGCATTGTAACAATATACTAAACTCAAACAGGTCTGAATGGATTGAAGGGCTTTGACGTCCCCGAGTTCTTCATCGTTTACCCACCCAAGAACAAAATCGGAATGAACGGAACCGCCATCCTCCCCAATCCCTCCGTCATGACCATCACAATGGTAATTACTTCCAATTCCTACTACTCTCTTTCTCAAAATCCCAAGAAAATAAAACTAACAAAACCAGGGCAACGTAACCCTCGACCTCTCGCTTGCCGGAAAACACATTGGACAAACCTACCTAAATAACCTCGTCCTCAAGCCCGGCATGAACGAGGTCCCAATGCTCGGCGAAGTCGACCAAGGATACATCATCAGTCTGCTGATGTCAAAGAAGAACCCCTACAAAGATGGAATTCTTCCCTTCGACATCTCCGGAAACTCGACTAAATACAACGGCAAGGAACTGCCGTACTTCACTGCGGCGCTGGCGGCCAATAAGTTGTCCATTAAGTTGGATGTTAAGTCTGCGCTCAAGGTTGCCGGTGTTGATCTTGATAAGATGAAGTCGTCTTAAGATATGTATATATTCTGGTTTCATGATGTTCTACGTTTCTAGATTCCGCTAGCGGGATGAGGTGGTTTGGTGGGTTTGGTTTTTGTGTATATTTAATACCCTTTTTTTTATCGCGATGAATATAATTTCCTGTGTCTGTGGGGTTTATTATATGTGTAGACTTGGGGATATAGTAGTTGGTTTGTAGGAATAGAAATCATTTCGTCGATGGTGTCTTTTCCTCTGCGAATGAAGAGTACTTTCTAGCGGGTTCACACGGGAGAGAGATAGTCGCCTATTTTCCGGTTATTGTCTAAAACTGGTGTCAACGGCTACTGAAATGACGTGATTTAGACACCAGCATCTGACTTATTTGTAAAGACCCATATAGGACGACTTGATTCAGTATCGAAGTGGACATAGCTTTTAGTATAGCTCGCCGTTCCCTGGGCAAAGGCAATGGAAAAGACATATTACTGTTTTCCGTGTCTACTGTCACAAAGATAGCCCAGCTTTTGCGCATCTACCCCTGGCCTGGGTCTCTCGATCATAGCTGGAGCGTTCGCCGGCTAGTAGGCTTCATCTTCATCATCGGCCACACTGTCATCGAACAATCTCACCCGACAAAGATGGACTGATTCGCCAGGAAAGATAGGATCGTCCGAAGGGTCCGTAACATGATCCTGTGGAATAGAGCAACAAGATTAGAAGAACGGGCATTTTCAGGCTTCTGTAATCCGTTATATTTTGCCCAAGGTCATCAAGTAAGGTCGATAGGTAGTACCTCGTGTGCTCTTCAGTCATGACCGCAAGTTCAACCCAAGTGAGACCGGGAGATTTCCACTTCCATTTACCTGGCTGTGGAATTTCGGAACGCCATTAGCCTTTCAATATCTCTTGCATTGCTGTAGTAGGTCCAGCGCTAATGATGATTGAAGACCAGCGCGGCGTGGCGTATTCCCTGATTGCCGCCTCATGATTTGTTGTCTTTAGAGGGACAATTTATTCTATCTTGGCATATTCCAAGAACTTCATGATACAACGGTGTTGATGCAGGCGTTGGTATATTGGAAGATATTCCTGCGTCTTCTCCGTCAAGTCATGTTCACATCGTATCTCCCGGCTCTTCCCTGTTTTGCCTGTTCGAGTGGTACATGCACTAGAAGCGTCCTTTGGGACTGAAGTATAATTTATAACATATGGGGTACGTAGAAAAGTTTCGTCGTTTTAATAGTATCGAGCACTGTTACTCTTAATAATGGATTGCCCTACTGGGGAGCTTAGTTTCGGCAGCTGGCGCCATGCACGCTTTGGTGAGATTGATCACCGATCACCACCGGATGACTTGTATTGTGCCACAGGCCATCTAATGGGAAGCATATTAGTGCTTATACCTTGATCAATGGAGGGTTAGTGGCAGTTCACCAAGTTGGTAGCGGGTAATAATTCGGAAACGAATGGCTTTTGCCATCCTAACCCCAGCAGGGATGGAGTAAGACACTGGATTCCTGTTGTAATATCACAATGTTCGTTTATATCCCCACGACCGCAAGCTAGAAAGCCAGCTCTTGGTTGGGTGTGGAATTTAGCATGACCAATGAAAGAGTTATACGGATGATGTGTGAGATGAAGAACGGAAAATCCAGAGAGAGATAAGTATTTATAGGCGAGGGGCACATGAAAGGGTGTACTGGGCAAACAGGCAAACATCTGTATAATGTCAAATTTCACCTTTCAGTGATCATATGTATTTCTGCCATCATTAGAATTCCGTGAGTATATTGATAAAATCCTCGCTATATACTATGAGCTGGATGCGGCAGCAGTGATATGACAACCTGGTCTTCGAGAGGTCAAAGGAGGTCAACTCAATGATTATATGATGGATGATTTGCAGGTGTTTCAGTTGAGCTGCTAGTTGTCCACAAAACCTTTGCCCTTTGATACATGGACTACGAAAGTCTTATTGGCAGAGTGTGAGAAACAAAGCGCTTTAGATTTAATTGTCAAATTCAGTCAATCTCCTGTCCAACCGATTTCCGCAACTGTAGAAAGGACTAGACCTAAGGGAGCATCTTCTCTTCTTTGAGCTTCCTCATAACAGATTCCTCATTAGCTGAATACACAAGGATCCCTTCCGCAGCCGCCAGCAACCCCCCTTCTGCCTTGTTTACCTCCTGATATTTCCCATCCCAACTGTAGATAACATCCCCATGGCGCTGCTGATCATTGAAAAGAAGGCCCACAACCCGAGCCACAGCCTCCGGTCCCTGAACACCAACACCAAGCCCCTCAATAAAAGCAGCATTAATCATGGTAGTTGCTGTCCAAGAAGGCGCAACAGCATTGAGTCGAACCTTCCCCTCAAGTTGATATCCTATCCCGCGGATAATTCCCAGGACACCATGCTTCGTGATCGTATAATCACCAGCACTGAAGTTCTGAAACGCCGCCGCAGACGCAGTGATCACGATACTCCCAATTTCACCAGATGCACGATGTGCTGAGTGCTTCTGGATGTAGTATGTTGCCAGCCGAACTGTGGAGATGACACCCAGAAGATTGACATTGATCGTCCGTAGATCGGGAGGGGCAAGTTGTCCATTTTCATCAAGGCGTTCATCCAAGAAATCCGTTGTTGGTCCGAGGCCTGCATTGGCGAAGACGTGGTCAATCCGACCGAACCATTCTTCGATCTGAATAAACGCATCGCGTTGGCTTTCCCATGAGCAGACATCCGTTTTTATGAACCTGAGTTTCTCTGACTCGAGATCGGACGCTAGAGAGTTGATGTCGGCGATGATCACATTCGCACCGTGCTTAAGACATAACTCTGCAGTCGCTTTTCCGATTCCTGATGAGCCGCCTGGTTTTATTAGTATTCATGGTGAATAGTGATATATCATATATGCGTACCAGTAATGAGAACCACCTTGTCCTTGATTCCATCTAAAATATCATCGGAAATATCATTGGAGATGCCATTGAAAACTTGTTCGGCCGCCATGATAGAAGATGGTAAGATATAAAATACTTCTCTAGATTGACTATCTCAGACTGAACTTGGTGGGGGTTATATGTAGACGCCTAAATGCGGAGAAGATGACATTGCAGTGTACAACACAGCTCAATCTTCTTATTTTGAGCAAGCCGAGGTAAACACTTTGTACCAATCATCCTTCGAGGGATGGTACTTTCGTACCTTCGAAACAAATTTGCCTGCAAGACCGCGGAGTTGACCTATAGAATATCCCTATCACTCTATTTGGAGGCATATCGACTATGCAGATAACTCCCTCTCCATGGCCCAAAGAACAAACCCTTTGTTGTAACTCCAGGTCAAAGGAGGACAGTATTGTTCACCCACGACGCGGAAGCCCCTTTTCAGCCAATAAGCCCCTTGAATCTCGCGAATACACTTGGCCATAATGCACGGCTGAGCCGATTCAGTCCAGCCCGCAGAAGACACCCTCCTTTTCAATTCCTTTTCACAAGCCTTGACCAAGCTTTCAGCAATGCCTTTCCTCCTATACCGAGGATCAGGCATGATCGCAACAGCTACAATTTCGAATCCTCCCTGGCAGGACACATCGTGAGATTCACCTTGGAGGCTATCAAGAACAGCAGATTTCGCGGTGGAGATCTCATCAGCACTGAATTGGTCAAAATGACCCGGTGATTTCCATAGGGCGCCTTCAGAATCTGGCGACCAGACTTTCAAGCTTGCAGTGCCAATGATCGAGTTTTGAGCGAAAGCGATGGCTGTGATGCCAGTTTCCTGGAGTTCATCGGCAAGTTGGGTATGGCTTCTGACCCGAGGTCCTTTCTTTTCGATAGAACTGGCACCGGTATCAAAGTAGCTAACGTTGATGACGTCCCAGAGCTCAGGGAGAAATGCTTGCTTCATAAGCTCGCTTTGTGTGAAGATTTCAATTCGGTAGGCTGGTGGAGGTGAAGGTTGGCCGACCTCTACGATCCCCGGAGTCTGTAGTGTGGCTTCCACTGTAGACATTTTGACGAAAAGAAGACCTCAAAAGAATGAAATTTCGTTTAGTCCTGTCGCCTTAAAAGAACGCGATTGTCAAATACTAAAAACCAAAATAGGAAATCCTCGTATTCGCAAACTTCATGTGAGTCATCAACCAGAAACGGAATAGCCCATCATTCAGTACGAGAGTAAATACTCCAGAGATTCCCAGTGCACAGGTGCACACCACTGTTCGTGCAGAATAGCATAGCCCTTATGCCCTTATTAATATCCTCCGGTCATGGCCATTGTATGTTCTATAAGAAGTCCACTGTAGTCCACGGGAGTAGGCCCAGCTACTCAGCAGGCTTCCACCGCCACCCTATACTGGCGACCCGCGCTGTAAGGAGAACCCCACACCCTAAAAGCAAACATGTGCCACCCCACACCTGTGCCCAAATATAGTTCCCGTCCCCGACCTGAATCAACCTACCCGCCAACGGAGGTCCGGTCAAGCATGGGATGCTGATAATGGTAAATACCATACCAATTCTAGTTCCGCTTTTACTCAGATCCTCCGTGAGACTAGCGAGAGTCGAGGGAAACAGACCCTGAATGCCAGCACCAAAGAATCCAAGGAAAACAATCCAGACTATATCAGATACAAGAGATTGTACTGAGTGCCATATGTAGACGCATACACCAGCTAGGAAGATGATCGGAATAAGGACCGTAATAGCACCGAAGTATCGATCTGCAAGTAGGGCTGAAATGATGCGACCTGGGATCCCAACAGCGTTGAAGATAAGAAGGATACTGTACGATGTTGCTTGTGATACATGTAGGATATCGAGGGCGTATGAACGAACCTAGTAGCTGCTATTAGCAGGAAAACCCAGGGGAGACAATCAGTCAGGTTGCAAGGTAAACCCACATAGTAATACGCAAAGTACGTCGCCCAGAGCGTGAAGAACATGCTGACGGTAAAAAGTAGATATGGTGGCTCCTTGAAGGCTGCCAATTCGACTATTCTGCCCGTCTTGCGTGGTAGGAGTCGCGTTCGGGTGATGGAAACCACGATCGCTGCATTTACTAGCACCACGAAGCCCATAACCCGAACAGTCCAAGGAAAGCCGATTTGAGGCAGTAGCTTCTCCGCGATGATAGGAAAGACAATTCCCCCAGTAGCAGCACCGCTTGCAGCTGTGGAGATGGCGATTGTCCGTTTCGTGGTGAAGTATGTTGACACCGACGCAATGGTTGGGCAGAAGATGAGGCCATTTCCCAGGCCCTGACACACACCCTGGACAAGGAAGATCTGCCAGTACTTTGTGCAGAGGCTCGTCATAAACACGGCCACTATCTGCATTGCACATCCGATCCACAAAACTGGCCGGTAATACCCTGTATCAAATGCGCGCCCTGAGACCGAGCCGATAAGAAATATGAGAAACACCTGGATACTACCGATCCAAGAGATGGTGGAGGCTGGTAGGGAGAGGGATGAGGCGTAGTAGGCCTGGAAGATGCCGAAGCTGTTGGCATACCCCCAGGTATTAAACACGACAAGGTGGCCCGCGAGGACTTGTAGCCAGGCTACCAGGCCACCATCTGGTGGAGGGTGTTTGGATTCCGGCGCATTATGTGTCTGTTCTGGAATAGTGTGTAGTTTAGGCCCTGTGGCAGCGTTATATGCAGACGTTGCTTTTTGGAGAGAACAAGAGGCACGAGAGCCCACTCTGTGCATTTCAATTTCGGATCCTGCAGCCATCCTGAACGCTCACACCCCAAATATGGGGAGGAATAGAAGTAACAAGGGAAAGATAAACAGTGGACGGGGTCTGCTTATTAAACAGCACTGGGGGAAGAGGGGTGGCTCGATCTTCTTCGCATCTATCACTTCATTCAGGAGAAGAAACTATCTACAGATGCTAGACCAAAGTACTGGTATGTGCATGACAGGATAACCCACAGCCACGTCCAAGGAGGATTGGAGGACTGTTGCACCCATGTACATAGCTAATGTTCATGCCATTTCAAAATGACAGCATGGTTGCAAATTCAGGTACTGCACCGCTGTCTTACTGATTTCGCTTTCACATCGCATCCAGAATCAGCAAAATTTGACTATCTTGTTTAGCTAAGGCATTCATGCATCGACCCATCCCAAAAATTGGGGTTGAAGCCTGATAGCTATACCGCTTCGTACACAGTAGACATATGTGTTTTGCTGTATAGTCTAAGTTGAGCTGAGAGTAGACCTGCCCGAACCCCTGGTCCAGTCCAAAACCCAGCCCGTTAATAGGTTGGGTTGGGCTGGGTTGTGGGCTTTATGGGCTTTGTCGAGGTCTACCTGAGACCATGCCAAAGGAAGGTTTAAAATATGATCCTCACTTTAATCACCATAGTTGTTGTACGAGCAAATTTAGAATAGAGACTCGATTAGATCCCTAAATAAATGAGGCAGTCGATGATACTAGGTGTAACCGAATTTTGGACACCATCCAGATTACTGTTCACAATCATTAAGTTGATACTCAAGACCAAAAGAGGAAATTATCGTATTCACAAACTTCAAGTGAATCATCAACCTGAAACGGAATAGCCCATCATTCGCCAGTATAGCCCATCATTCGCCAGTACCAAGAGAGCAAATATTCCATAGTTTCCCAATGCATAGGTGCCCACCACTTTTCACTTTTCATGAAGAACAGCATAGCCCGTCTTGATATCCTCCGGTCATGGCCATTGGATATTGCATGAGAAGTTCATTGTAGTCCAAGGGGCAGGACCTCCACGAGAAAGGGCAAAGTTCAAAAGACTCTGGTCGGCTATACTGCTATAAAAGCTATCCTCGACTGCTAGCAGTCCTTCAAAGTAACGGAGCATGTTAAGTGACGGCTGTATAACCATGAAGCCAGCATTCAGGTTATCTCAGTCCCAGAAGTCCTCTGGGACACGTGACGGGTGTGATGAGTGATTCACCCTTAGCTGCGGCAAGCCAGCAGCGATGTAAATCTCTGGCAGGGGTATTTCAATCCCGTTAAAGGACAATGAGGGTTGTTTAGATTTTCTAAGCCAAGTCATGGGGGCGCTGAACAGTCCGTCGAGACATCTCGTCAGAACAGAATCACCATCCGAAAACACAATTAGGTCGCATGGGACCATCTCCCACAGCCGCAATTTCGTCAAGGTATCAGCCCATAGGGAATCCTTCGGCCGAATCCAGTCAACTCGGAAATCGCACCACTCGATTACTTGTGCGGCATCGGATTCTAGTCGGGCTCTCTTTTCTCGATCGACATTTTCATGAACAAAGACTACGAATGGGATGTTCAACCTGGTTCGTGTTTCCGGTGCGTGAAGGAGCTGATAGGTGAGGATTCGAGCTGCGTCGAAATATGGATCGCTGGTATTGTGAAATTCGGAAATGACATAGTCTTTGTTCTCGGTTGGCGCGCTCAAATAAGTCGCGTAAACGCGATTGTCTCTAATTGCTTCTGATGGTTCACTTGGAGGAAAATATATATTCTATAACCACAATAGGAGCAGTACAAGGCTACCGAAGAGCCTAATGGAGCCCACTAGGGGTTTCATTGTCACAGGGTCTGGGATATTGGACGATGATACGTGCTGGTCGGTCACAGGCACATCTTTATATCAACCCAACTGCAAACTTTTCTTCGAATAAATCTTATAAATATAGACCACCTGATCTTATACCCAAGGCAGAAGCTACTATATATGGGGTTAGTATATGAGTAAAAATGGGAGAAACCTGCGAGTTCCTCCCATTCTTTTCGCCGTACAATCCAGTGTGACTGCTTGCTTTGGTTCTTACACTGGGGGACTTCGACGTTATTGTGGGATTTGTCGAAGTGTAAACATAGGTATAGCTCGATGCTGGCACATTACAGGACGACAAAATGGATGAAACGGCCTCTGGCTGGACTCCGTTACGCCCATAGTCCGACCTCGCCATCACTGCACAGTGTTTGAGTGCACAGTCCGAACAGGCTATCTTTTCGCGATTATAGAGTGCTGCTAGGCAGTAACCGGTTCTGTGGCATAGTCATTAGCATTAGCTTTCTTAACTAGTTGCATCGTTGGGAAAGACTTGGGGATCTTTAATGCAGCTCAACTGATATGCCCACATCAGCCCGTTGACGGTATTCATAGGGGCTATTCTAGTCGTGCCTTTCTTAAATAGCGCGTACGCCTTGTTTCCGCAGGCCAAGTGGGTAATTTTCTGGAAATTGTCGATAGAATCATGACATTCTTGAGTACAATACTGATTTGCCAGATCCCCCACAAAAGCAGCGCCATTTGAAACATCTAGAGCAGTTACTAGGTAATTAGCGCATTTAACATCGAATGTCAAAGTATTCTGGCAGACAGCCGGCACCTCGTCGGAGAAGCAAAAAAGTCGGTGTTACTCCATAGTTGGAGTGCTGCAGCTTCCTGGGCGAAAATGAACAGACCGATAATGCCAACGTTAATCAAGAGTAGCAACATGCTGATTCACCAATAGCTGTGATACCTGCACAGCTAAAAGGGCGAGTATGTAGTTGAATATTTTGTCTACCCCAAAAGTGCGGCTCGTTTTTCCGGAGGTCCATGCGGCCCCTGGGCCCATTCGCAATATCTAATTTCTGGCAGGAAGGGAAAAGGGGGAACTAAATGGGCCGGAGCATAACTAGTGATGTCCTAAGTGCTTGATTCGTACTGGGCGTTAAGATGCCTGCAAGGACCGTCTAATGGGTGCGATTTACTGTTCGGGATCGCCCGAGATATCCATGGATGGGGCTAAGGTTGGCTCGCAGATGCATATCATTGGCTGAGATTAGCATTAGTGGGCCCACCAAACAGAGCTGCCAAGCCTTTTAGCCGCAGTGTTCTGTAACTGGCCCCGGACACTTCGCGTAGAACGGGTCATTCTCATGAATTTGAGCGCTATAGCAATCTCCTTTTATCCTTTAATACCCTGCATAATGATCTACTGGAACAGGGGCCATGTTTCACAAAATCACGCATTCTCACAATGTGATCTACTCATTGAGTGAGCTCTGCAAGTTCCTCTTCTGTTACTTGATACAGTTTCCTGCCTAACTCTGCGTCGGCTCGGTACTTCTCCCCAACGGTACAGTTATATGGATGAAAATCGTTGGTTTCCATCCACGTACCGATCACATTGAAGATGTCATCATTCTCAGGATCCAGACGGCCTTCGCGGACGATGTTTCGAAAGCCATCCAAATAAAGTACCTGAACACTTCCAGACCGGAAAGCCTCCTCGTCCGCAAGGATGAGATATGTCTGCGTAGCCATCCTCTGTAATGACTCCGCGAAGTCCTCAAGGATTGAATTTCGGTCCTTAGCCTCATTCCAAGCTTCGGGGTCTAATTCTTTCACTCCGGCAAGATCCTGTTTGAGCCGCAAAGCCCATGAAGCCCACAACTCAGCCCAGCCCAACCTCTTAATGGGCTGGGTTTTGAGCCTTATCTTCGGGCCCACTGGTGGACCATGGGCCCAGGTGAAAGCCTACTGGGCTAGGTTGGGCTTTGGACGTCGGGCCCACAACCCACTGCTGGCTGGGCTATGGGCCCGAGGTCCGGGCCTATTTATGGGCTTCGCGGAGATCTACTATGATACCCTTAAATCTCACATCCAATGGGACATTGCTGTCAGATAGTCCCATCTCCGTGCTTGCTACGTATATTTGCTTATAGACTAAGTGGTCGTTTGCTATGTTGTTTGCTACTTGGCTTGATTGTCTTCAAACCAACAACTCCAGCATCTCTATCAAATTCCATAGCAAGCAACTTAGTTTCAACAACTCCCAACTGAATGTTATGTCACATATTTACCATGCACCTAGACGTCTCCATAGATCTCTCTTGACAATCTCTCCTCAATCCTCGACAGCCCTTTGTTTCTCCAAATACTCCCTCATTCTCTCCCTCGCACGCTCAACCTGATCCTGTACATCCAAATCCCAAAGCCACCTAAAACGCACATCAAGCATTTCCTTCAACTTCACCGGATCATCCCAAACCCCATCAAAACCAAGACAAAACACATCAGCATTTTCCTTGCTACTAGTAACAACCCTCTGACACCTAGGTCTCCGAATCTCATCATAAGCCCTAAAAGCCGCAATAACATCCCCAACAGATCCAACCCGCGAATCACCCAACAATTCCGCAAGAACATGAGCATCCTCAATAGCCTGCCCAGCCCCAGCACCCTGATGCGGCGTCGAAGCATGCGCCGCATCACCCATAATCGCAATCCTGGACCGAGCATAAGTCTCGATATGCGGATGCTCGAATATACCCCATTGAGAAGCATCAGTCATATACTAAAAGACAAAGTAAGTATGTCAATCCAACCCCGAACCAGCGCAAACAAAAGCACAAATCCAAGAAAACATACCTCGACAAAAGCCCTCACAAACCTCCCCATCCCCCTCGTATCCCTCACCAGATCCTCCCTCCTCCCAGGCCTAACCCACCCCTCATACTCCCAGGCCGAACTAAACACATAAATCCCAACATTAACAAACCGCCCCTTCATAATCGGATACGAAACCGCATAAGCTCCCCTCGAAACATAAATCGTCGAAACACAAGCCCTCCCCTTCCCAACAGCCTCAATCATATCCCCCATCCCAATAACACCGCGATACCCATACATCCCACTATAAACAGGTTTAACTGATGGAACTATTGCTTCCCTAACTCTACTCCGAATCCCATCACACCCAATAACAACATCCGCAAACACAACCTCCCCATCCTCAAACCTCAAAACCCCACCACTTTCCAATTTCTCTAATCTCTTCCCGAAATGCACGCATTCAGCGGGAATAAGCCGCGCAAGCGCATTTAAGAAATCCGCTCTGCGGAGCGCTGTCTGGCCGGTTGGTGGTGCTGTGAGAGTCATTAATGTTTCGTCTTCGTTGGGTCCTGCCGCCCAGACGATTTCGAACCAAGTTTGGAGGTGGGAGGGGTTTGTGTCTGCGGGCGTTGTTATGAGGGTGTTTAGGTTGAGATTAGGGTTTAGGAGGGGGAGGATGCGGTACGCTGCTGGGCTGAAGGAGACTCCTAGACCTATTTCTGTGAAGGAGGGGGCGGATTCGTAGAGATGAATCGGGATTTGGCGGTGGTGGAGGGCGGCTGCGAGGGTTAGGCCGCTTATTCCGCCGCCGATTATTGTTATTGTTGGTTTTGGCATTTGATATTGGTTTTTATCTTGGGTTCGGATGGGATTTGGGATGCGGGTTATATACGTAGTCTCCTATGTAGTTATATTCTCCGGATTTCATGTACATTGTCGATAAGGTTGTGTACTACTTCAGTCACATGGGGTATGTAAGTCATGACTGTATGTCCGACGTCGGGTGTCAGAGGCGTACAAAGATTTTGGATATGGGGAAGATGGGGGATTGCACAGGCGGTACAGGCGCTAGAAGGTGGATTGACCTGCACTGATCTGCGCCAGATCTGCACATTAGCGCGGTGGCTTATGATTAGCCGACGTGTGGGTGTCTATATTGTAGGGTGTGTATAAGTGTATTGATCACTGTCTACGAGTATCATCTTAAATGAAGAAGTATGTATTGACATAGCCTTGATACAAGATATCGCCAATCATCACAAATCGTTGCGTGTGCAACTCTAATCTGTCGTGTCCCATAAGAGACGAGAGAGAGTTAACATGACCTTAGTCAAGTCGCGATCCTGTCGCGGGGATGCCCCCTGGGGGTCTAAAGTAGCACACATGTGCAAAAGAGGAATCGACCAGCCTGAAGTACATCATATCCGTCCAGACAGTCTAGAATGTATATAAAAAAATGAAAGCCGCTAGAAAAAGAACGAGGAAGTTGCATATTATGCAACATGAAATCAAATCATAGGAACGGTTGTAACCCGTTGACGTTCCCACTTCGGAGGACCGAAGGGATCGTCACGGGAATAGATATCCGATCGATCCCAATCGGAGTCTGTGTCTGTAATACCGGGCTTATCATCTGACCTAGGGGAAGTATCATCGTCTAGAGCGCGACGAAAGCGCAAGAATTGCCGTGACTCTGTCTGTGCGGGCTGCATCATGCCCATGTTTGACTGCATGGACTCGAGAGCTGCGCGCTGCAGATCGCGGATGTCATCGCGTAGACCGCCGACTTGTGTCTCTAAGTTTCTGCGGGCGGTTTGTTCGCGGCGCAGGAGCGTGACTAGAGTGCTGTATTGCTCGATTGAGACGCCGTGATAGTCTGACAGGGATGATGCTGAGGGGGCGGGGCGGAGGGTGCGGGTCATTGAGTCTTGGCGGATTGTGGTTGTACTGGAGGGGCGGGTGGAGATGGTTGGGAGGGGGCTTGGAGAGTCGTCGCGGTCGCTTGTAGATAAGAATGCGGTGGGTTTGTTACGCAAGAAGGAGTCTGTTGAAGGGGAATGTCGCGGGCGCGGCTTTTCCGATGGATTTTCGGGGCCGTTGGTTTGCAGCCGGGCGATGGCGAATTCCAGATCGATTAATTTCACTTCTAGCGTGGTCAACCGCTGTTCGAGGGTGACGTTATCATCTTGCTGCATTGTGTTGACTAGGCTTGCAACGTTCGGCGCGAGGCTGGCTTGTTCTGCGTGTTCGTCGACTTCCATCAAAGACGGTGTGGCAGACATTGGAGTCACACTGGTTACTGTTGTTCCCGATGATGGTCTCCTCGACTGCCCGCTAATAGAACTTTCATCTACCGGTGGGGACTGCGAGCGGGAAACTGAGACTGGCACAGGGGCGGATGATGTGCGTTGTGGCCAAGAGGGAAGGGTCTCTGGCAGTGCATCTGTCATTTCGCGCAAGGCATCTGCGCTCATTGATAGCCGGTGAGAGAGCAAGCTGTGTCTTCGCTCTGGCACATAGCTTCTATCCTCTTGCGGATCAGATATTGCCGTTGATGCGACGGCAAACCGAGATTCATCATCTGAAAATACCACGCTAGGAAGAGTTGCACGTCTTCGACGTGGCTGCATGCTACCGGGCATTGAATCACGCAAGGTTGCCGAGGATAGAGGAGATAACGGGGACAGATGTGTTTCTGCGAGTTGGAGGTTCTGCGCCGAGAGTGGACTACCCCGGTGTGAACTCAAATTCAGAGGAGGCGGAACAGACAACATTGACCTTCCTTTCGTAGGTCCTGGTTTCCTCGGCGTGACAAAAGTAGATTCGTATGGGTTCTCTTCCAATCCATCGGCTTGACTTTGCCTTTTGCGGTTGAAGATCTTGCGCATGACTGTTTTCAAGGTACTCCCCGTTCGGCGATGGGTAATAGAAGACTGGGAATGAGAGTGAAATTCCATTGACGGTAGTGCGGTGTCATCATCTCCTATGCAAGATGTCGAATTCGAGGCGGAACGGTCTTCCCGGGGAGAGGATCGTTGTATACTCCTAATGGATTCGCTGCCGGCGCTCGCTATTGATCGGGTGGGGTGTCTCGACATGATGTATGGGTCGCAATGGAGAAATAAGCAAATAAGATATCGACTTTGATCATTACAAGAAATATGGGGTATATCGTATCGTCGCAAGAAAAAAATAAAAGGAAATGGTTGAGCGAGTGTCGGTGAAAGGGTATAAAGGGTATCAAAAATGTAACGAATTTGAATAAAGGCTGAGACTATAAGCTATCAAACGGGGAGTTAGTTGAAGAACCAGAAGTTACAAACAGAACGTACAATATCAGGAACATAATGAGTTCCCGTTTGTTCAGTCTCATAACAAAGAGAAGAGAAGGTAGAAAGATAAACAAAGAGAAGAAGAAAGGGGAAAAAGTTGGAGATTAGGGAGAAGCTATCTCTCCCCACATGAGTTCTTCAGCCCCAACCGAATTCAAAGAGAAAAGGACAAAAGTGGATGTTGAAATAGAAATCTATTAATATTTTAATAACCTACATTTTATACGGAGTACTTCCTTGCCCTTTTAAGACTAAAACGCCACATGGTAAGATGTTGATATCCATCTTTTCCTCTTTTTTGCTGCCCAAAAACTGATGGCAGTTTCAAACTATTCAACAATTCCAATTAGTCCACGTAGTTAACTGTTTTGTTTAGCCTAAGATATGTTGTCGCCCGAGAAGAAACCTTTGTTTCGGGAATTGCATCCCTCTTGCAGAAAGGATCGTCCAACTAGATGTTTCAAAATACCTTATCTGCTTCATCCCTGTCCCGTGCAAGGGTTTCGGCCTGAGACGAAATGTTCTTTAGAGGTCTAACCCCCGGCCGTGCTCCGAAAATTAATCTATTCTGTGGGTTATTCTGTGGATTGTTCTGGAGAACATCCGGATCTACAACCTCTATAGTAAATCTCCCGCATCGGGGTATCGTAAGTCGGCATTTTCTTCAAGAAAGTCCATCCAATGCTTGAGAAAGCTACTTCCACTGTAAAAAGATAAATGTCGATCAGCATTAAACCATCAAACTCAATAGGACATCCCAGCACTTACTGACTGATCGTCTCCGAGTCACCACAGATACACAAATGTCGCTTAGGTCGCGTCATGGCAACTATATGCATGGTTAGTGATCTATTGAATTACCTGCAGGTACACCTGCAAGAAAGAAAAGCAAAAGATGAAAAAAAGGGGGGGGGGAAACATACCATTCAATCTTCGTTTCTCACCCAAGAAACCCACTTCATGCTCCGCATTACTACGTACCAGGCTCACCACAACAGCTTCTTTCTCCCGGCCCTGGAATCCATCCACACTGCCGAGTTCGAGACCGGGGTATTTCTCTCGTAGCATTCGTGACAAGAGAGCCAATTGTCCGTTGTAAGGGGTGATCACAGCAATGCTCTCGGGTCTGACCCCCGCATCAATCAGATTGTCCACGTGTCTGGCAACGACCATGGCCTCCATCTCGTTGCTTTTGCTGTCTCCAAGCAACGCCCCCTTTTTACTGATCTCATCCTCCACCTTTTCGGGGAAATCTCCCCCTTGCGTGTCCCAGAAGACTAGTGGTTCCTGCGTATCATCTGTGCCCTCGACCTCGTAAGGTAGGTCAACTAGTAGACGGGCTTTGACCGCGTCACTGGCTATCAACTTCCCCTCATAGAGTTCGTCGGAGGGGAATCGCATGATTGTCTCATGCATGCGATATTGCGTAGTCAACATACGTTTGATCCCTGGTCCGTGCAGAGCTAGTAAACGATCGAATAATGTGCGTTCAAGAGAGACACCCTTCAATGTCTCGGTGTTGGTACCCGTGTGTTCGCCCTTGGAATCTTCATCCTTGGGCTTTAACCCGGTAGATTTAACGGTCGGCGGTAATTGCAGGTGGTCACCGGCAAGCACCACCTTCTCTGCACCTAAAAGAGAAATCCAACATTGTGCCTCGAGAGCTTGACTCGCCTCGTCGATAATCACAACATCGAACTTCTGATTCTTCAACTGGTGACCTCCAGCCCCGTGAAGAGTAGCCAACACCACGCTACTCTCGCGCACCAGATTATCCACACATTTAGACTCGCGCTGTCGGAACTCCTTCCGAAGCAACTTCAAATCATCATAGATACCTCGTCGTTCACGACCAGACCGGGTCTTGCGAATACTAGCCTGTTTCTCATCAATCTCCTTCCGAATATCCTTCACAATACCCCCAGCATCAGAGGTCTGCGTAAGGACTTCAAGAGAATGCTCCAGAACAGAAGGAAGCAGACGAGCCGGATGTCCAATGCGCACAACAGGAACCTTCTTAGGAGCAAGACGTTCCACAATATTATCAACAGAAACATTCGACGGTCCACAGACGAGAACGCGTTTCTTCCGCTGAACCAATTGCAAAATCAATTCAATAAGCGTATGCGTCTTTCCCGTCCCAGGCGGGCCATGGATCAAGGCAATATCCCTTGAAGCCAGCGCAAAGCAAATAGCATCCTTCTGCGAATCATTAAGTGTGGGATCCGTAAATTCCACGGGTCCACACGCCTCAGTATCCAACTGTAGCGGGGTCGTATATCCAAACGCAACACGCATGAAATGCGAATAATCAGATTCCGTCATCTTCTCCATCTTCTCCATAGTCTGTCTCATTCTACAGAAGTCAGTAAACCAGTAATCCCAACAATCAACCCAACATACCTTCTATACGTAACATCATTAGCAAGCTTAATAGCCCACACCTTCTTCCCCCAAAGCTCCTCAATAGCCTCATCATCCTCCTTAGACGTACTCCCACCCTGCCGCCCAAACGCTATCCACACAGCCCGATCCCCAGTGCGCGTAACAACACCCTCGACGCCCTTCTCATCTTTCTCTTTCTCTTTCTCCTTGTCTTTCCCGCCCTTCTTAGGCCCCGCTACATCATTAACTCGCACAACATCCCCAACGCGAATCCCATGCGCCCCAAGTCGAGGCGTCCCATCCGCGGCTCTAGTCTCGTCTGATGCGACTGCCGGGTCCGGGGCGAACTCGCCGACGACGCGTCCGCCGAGACCGGTTCGGCATTGTGAGAGGATCAGGCCGGTGAGGGCGTAGCCGGTTGCTTGTAGGGTTCGACGGGTTGAGGGGGAGACTGTTGCGGCTGTGCTGGCGAGTTTTGAGGAGGCGACTTCGGCGGCGTGTTCTTCGTGGAGGAGGGTGAGTTGGGTTGAGGCGAAGAGGGGGATTGGGGTCGGAGTTGGAGGCATTTTGAGGGCGGGTTTTAGGCGGCGTGGGTTATATGAAGGTTTGATTTGGGATATTTGGGAGAGAATGTGTTCCAGTAGAAAACTGGAAGTGCTTGGCTTGTGGCCTCCGGGTGTCTATCGACTTCACGGGTGGAGCTTTCGCGGGACCGGCGATAGAGAAGCTTCAGTCGGTTATGTCCGAGCTTGGAGGTTCGGCCTCGATACCTCCATTCTCCTACCTTTCTGTCATGTAGCTGCTAATCCTAGAGGAAATAAGGAAAATGCAAAGTTTTTCATACTATACATACATTACGAATCTAGAAAAAGCGATACTTAATCGGCAAGTAGCGTATTTCACATAGCCGCACACATAAAACAACATAGAAAGTGTGAGAATATATATCATCCAAAAATAGGATACAAGGAATTATTGACACCACTAGAATTGAGAAATAAAGTAACGAGTATATAGTTGCTATATTTGAATTTGCCCTAATTAATCAAGCAAATCAATCATTATAGCGCTTCGGTGCTTTAGTGTACCCTGTTCTACGGAAGTACTAATTTCGACAAATAGATCAGCTAGACATCTAGCTCCTGTTCACTAGAATGCCAATTGTATTGGCTCGAGCAGTAAGCGCCCATGGAACGACACGTTTCTGGCTGTTTCATCTTTCTGCAAAATCCAATGTAATACTATGTAGATAACTACTTAAGGGGTCCATGTCTGTACTACATCCCATTATTATTGCACCACAGACATGGTTCTACCACACCAGAAAGTATTGGCCGAATTAAGCAAATGTTCCTACAACGCCAGCACGAGACCGTCTTCCGTGTACAAGAAAAAGGGAATACCAACCTTACGCCTTACCATGCCAGCGAACGCGAACCCACTTTGCCTAAACACTCTTCAGTCTCCCACTTCCAAGATAGCCTCAAACTTTGGAGTGCCACACCTAATGCAACGAGTGATATATGTTTCACCCACGGTCCTCCGTCGGACCGGGAGAAGACCTGAACAGCCGAAGGCCAATCGACCAGCCGAAAGCCTTACTTCCATGGAAACTGCATCAATCTCGGATTCTGACGTACGGGTACAACGTAATATCAAAATCGACCGGCTCGTCCAATCGGCCGATCAATCACGCCACCAATCTCCTAGTCGAGTTATCGTCAGAACGAGAATCCTACAATGCGTCTTCCCGTCCGCTCATTTTTGTCGCACATGGTCTCGCGGGACTGGTCTTTAAAATGGCTATCCTCATGTCGCGAAATAATTCTGACCTATACCTCCAGGGTGTATTCGATTCCCTCAAAGGTGTGATGTTCATGGGAACTCCTCACATGGGAGGTTGGATGGAGTATTGGGACAATATTCTGGCCAAAAGGCTTGATTTCGAGGTGTCTATTAACCTCGCGTTGGTAGAAAACTTACGAAGGAATAATCTGCGAGTGGGTACAGAGGGCCTTTTTGGTGATACGCCAAGTATGGAAAAACGGTCGGCGTCTTGAGGTCACTTGCTTCTTTGAAGAGCTTCCTACCCCAGGGGTTGGACTGGTTGTATCGGAAGACTCTGCCGCTTTCGATGGCTATATGCCCCGGAGCATTGGCGCTGATCATCATAACATGGTCAAAATTTGCGACTGTGGAGGATAATGGTCTCAAGAGGTTTCTGGGGGAACTTGTTAGCTGGACAGGTATAATATATTAGCACCATCATAGGAATTTCGATTAGCTAAGATCAATTCAAAGATAACGAAAGAATTCAATACACGCTAGACGCTAAGCATAGAGCTTGTCTATAGGATCTATACACAACAGATCCTCGTATGACAGCGAACGTATCGAAGTCTCCTGTGGCCAAAGACCACACTTTGGTTAACATCTTGGAGGTGGGTGGAGATGTAAATAACTTTAGCAAGAAGAGGGGGGAATGGCTTGGTTATAGAAATGACATTTTCTATGTGGTTTCCGCTAACCACTGTTCCTTCATATAGTACACTTATGCATAGACCATTGACAGACCATGTAGGAGATTGGGCCCTTGCTCAGCCCCATCCTGGGCCCTGAAGTTGGTTGAGGAACAAACACCTCACTCATCTTTGACTATTGTCACATGTGATAGGTGACATCGAAGTGCTGAGAATTGTGCCTAGAGACCAACAGCGGCAACGATGATTTAGGAACACAACGGTGGTGCCCAAGTCGACCAACCATTCAAACAACCAAAAATAGTATGAAAAGATTAGCAAGGTTTAGGCTATATGACACGCAGTGATTCTCGCTCCAAGCCATGGTTTCAGATGGTGGGTTCCTTCAACGAGGAACAATAATATAGACCAATATAGCGAATGTGCTGACGCCACGCTCTCACCTCCAGAGAAGATGGACTTGTATAAATTGAACCAGCAATCCACAAGCAGAGAAGTTCCTTCATAGAGCCTCAATCTTAACCTTGGGCTCATCAACCTCAGGGCTTCTCTTAACTTTCAGAACCGTAGGCTCAAGCCCCCGAATCTCACTCTTACAAAGTCGCGTGCCAGCCAGATCACAATCTCCACAGCGACGCTTAACAGGCAGACAGACAGTCTGCCCAAGCCCAACAAGTAACTTGTTAATCTCATGCCATTTATCCGGTGGCAGCCACGACTGCAACGCCTTCCTCGTTTCCTCAGGCGTCTTGGTCTTATTCCAACCCCAGAGATTGGTAATACGGTGGACATGCACATCGACACCGATCCCTAGGTGTTTACCCCATGCCGCGCTCAGACAGAGGTATGCCATTTTAGGTCCAACGCCCGGAAGTGCCATGAGTCCCTCCGGAGTGGAAGGGATATCGCCGTTGTACTGGTCTCGCAGGATCAGCGCGGTTGATTTGATGTATTTTGTCTTGTTGTTGTGGAAGCCGACTGTGCGAATTAGTTCGTTTAGTCGCGTCGGATCGACAGCTAGGATGTTGGTTAGGTTTAGGGTACTGTCGACGGGTTTTGAATCATCCTCTTCCAGTTTGATTTTGACATCTTCGGCTGGAGTGCCGTCTCCCAGCTCAGTGTGAAGACGTTGCATCGCTACCGCTGTTACTGTGTCTTTGGTCTGGGATGAGAGCATCAATGCAATGAGTGTCTGGAATCGACGGTCTTTTGCTGATGATCCACGCCAGTATAGCTCCGAGCAGCCCATTGTGTCTACCGGTGCAGTCGGATTGGCTGCCCTCATCTTTTTCACGGTTTCGTATATCGTCTCCCAGTTGGATGGCGGCTCGACCTTGATTGAGCCGTCGATATCGCGTGTTTCACGGGCAGGGAGCCGTCTTTGTTTGGGAGTCGGTGTGGGTCGTTGTTTGGATGTGGGTGTCGGTTTCTGGTCGGGTTCATCCTTGACTATCACTTTTCGGGGTGTGCGAGAACTTGTACTCTGTTTGAGGACTCGTGGGTTTAAAGGGCTTGCGTTGCGTTTTTGGCGTTTCGATGGCGGTTCAAGGAGGTCTTCGATATCCGCTGTGTCGGCCTCGGAGAGCTCGGAGAAAGAGGATTCATCGTCACTTTTGAAGGCAGATAGACTGGATGTCACCGAGCCATTTTCCGGCTCTGTCTTGACTGTCGGAGTCGCATTCGCGTTGTACGCGAACCCTTTCAAAGCGCTCACATTGGAGTTGCGCGTTTTTCGTCGGATAGGGGGCGAGAGGGCCTGCAGAACCTTCGCGGTCTCTTTGGAAGTGCGAGAAGTGCGCATGGCGAATTCACGAGATTGAAGAGCAGACAGAAAACAGCTCAGGCCGAGAAAGTCGGAATGCAATTTCACGTGAGAATCCCCGGATGGTGATCCATGGGTGGGCCGGGCAGAACTTCCCGAGGTCAGCCTCGGCGATCGCAGGGCCGATGACTTTCCCAACTCCTTGAGCCGCCACACTATAATCTTCCACAATCACATTCGACATGGCGCCCAAACGAATTAACACAAGACAACGGCTCATGACTGAGTTGATGAGCTGCCAGGAGGAGAATGACACATATTTGTACCTACGTCTTGTCAATGACGAGGACCTGCTACGCTGGGAAGCTGTATTGAAAGGTCCAAATGGGACACCGTACGAGGGTAAGTGCGCATATAACAAACTTCTGGGCCTACTGCAGTTGACCTAACATGCCACCAGGTGGACGTTGGCACCTTGATATCACAATTCCTACGGATTATCCTTACACACCACCGAACATCCGCTTCACGACCAAGATCGTGCATCCGAATATTGAATTCCAAACAGGCAAGATCTGCTTGTCGTTGCTAGATTCAGAATGGAGTCCGGCTGGCGCTGGGGGTCTCTCGGGCACACTCACAACTATTCAGCAGTTGTTGATGGATCCAAATTTAGATTCGCCACTGAATCCTGATGTCGCAGTTCTACTGCGCAACGGTGATATTGTTGCTTGGGAGAGTTTTATCCGGTACTGGACTGAAGCGGAGCGGTGGGAGGAAGGTGTGAGTGCTGGACGGTGATGGTGGTTTCGGACCAGCTGAGACATTTGGCGCTCGTTCGATACCGCTGACTACACACACACTATATCGCTCTGCATACAACGATCATCTTGGATACCCTGCCCCTATTTTGCATACGAGTCAATGAATCTTTACGTCAATGAGGCAATGAGTTTGATAATTGAGCCAATTTTTGCATTTGATCCTCTACATACATATCTATGCATCTTTATATTCAATGAGGCAATGAGTTTAATAATTGAGCCAATTCTTGCATACCTTTAACCTATGTACTCTACCTAGACTTTTATGAATGTACTTCCAGCATTCCGATCATCGTACATACCTCGAACCTACTTTAAACACGAAAGTATACAAAGAGCCAATGAATTTGCTAAAGAGCACGATTTTGATTATCTTCAAGCGAAGATTAAAACATGGACTAAAAGTAATCACATGTGTGTAGTGCGCTGTAAATGTTCGACGCTGATAAAAATGCCAAATTCGGCACAATGCCCAACGCCCAAGAAATAAGGAGAGACATAAGTAGGTCGTCACGGGTCATGCGAAAAGATAGTACAATGACAATAGTCATGAAATGCAGAGCCGAGATGTAAAACGCCGTTCGAAATGATAATAATGCAAGGCAAGAAAGGTAGAGTTTTGATCAATTACAGAGCCATTGCGACCACGACGGCACCACCAACCATGGCGACAACCTCACGGGCCATGCCGGTAGGCAGAGCGGCGGCATTGGTCTGCAGACCGGGCTTCGCGGTGGCGGTGGGCTTGCCAGTGGCCTTTGGGGTGATGACAGTGATCGAGGTGATGGTGCTCAGAGTACCGTCGGGCATGGTCGTGGTGCTCTCGAAGGTGGAGGTGCTCAAGCTGGTTTGCTCGCTGGTGGTGTCTTCCGTGGTACGGGAAGAGGTAGTTGAGCGGGTGGAGGTGGATGAGGTGCTCGTGGTAGTGGTCAGAGTCGAAGGAGCACTGGTCGTCGTGTGAGTAGTCTGGGTAGTGGAGGATGTAGTGGAGGATGTAACGGACGATGCAGTAGAGGATGCAGTAGAGGATGCAGTAGAGGATGTAGTAGAGGATGTAGTGGCAGTGACTGACTGGGTAGTGGAAGTGACTGACTGAGTAGTGGAAGTGGTTGGCTTAGCAGTGGTCTCAGTCGTGGCCGTGGAGGTCTGGCTTGGAGTCTCGCTGGGGACCGATGCAGAGCTGGTGGTGGTAGAGCTGGTAGAGCTGGTAGAGCTGGCCGAGGTAGTGGTAGGCTCCGCGCTGGTAGTTGGCTCAGTGGGAGAGGCTGAGCTGGTCACACTAGTCTCAGCAGACGAGGTGGTGGACGGTTCAGCGGCTGATTCGGTGCTGGAAGTAGTCACAACAGGAAGCGGGGCCGGAGTTGTCTCAGGACTGGAAGTGGCATTGCTTTGGCGCTTAGCAAGCTTGACCAAGCTTGCAATGGCTGGCTCTTCATTTTGTAGGGCTTTAGCGGCATGCAAGTCAGTCGGGAAGATACCATGACGGAATTTGGCGGAGAGATTATGTAGGGCATCATGGAACGAAGCTGCCTTGATGTCGACAAGGGCTTCTTGGAGAGACTCACGTTGTGTCCCCTTGACATCTGCCAAGACTGACAGAGCCAGCAGTGCGACTAAAAGCAATTGAATAAGGCTGATACGGAACATTATGAGAGGCTGAAGATGGATCTGCGGATAAGGGAAGATGGTTGAAGAGGTTAAGTTATAAAAAGGCGAGAAAGGTGAGTAAGTTAAGATTATTAAAAGTAAATAAGAAAGAAGGAAAGAACCACCAAGAGTGGCAAGTACCTGAGTATCCAACTGTTTTTTTTTTTTTTCTTTTCAAATATTATCTTGGGTATCTTGTTTTTTCGCACTAGTAAAAACGATAATGAAGAACATTTCCACGGAACCTATCAAATGTCTCGGATCGGCCTAAAAGCTTGGATATCGAACTATTTTTGATCTTTATGGATTTGTAAATAGTTACGAGGTAATATAAATGGAGACTATGCATAAAGATCCACCATTATTGGTTTGGTCTCATCGCTAACAATAGTATGTAAGTCGTATGTCATTATTTCTTTTTTACTCCATTAGGATGGAAAAGGGGGGGTCATCTATTTCCTTGGTTATTAATTGTTTATATCCATGGAAATAGTTGAATTCCCTTCTCGGTACGACTTCGGAGTTTAACATGTGCAAGGCAACAGAATCAAGTATACGAATAACAATACCGGTCTTCAGTCGGATCCATAACCTCCCCGACCGACCGAGACCGATCAAGAACACCGAATTCCATCTCCATCCCAAGCGTAACAATTGTCGCATTAGGAGGATTTAGAATCCTATTCGTACCATTAACTGCAAATCGATTATCCTCATCTTTCGCTTGCCAAATACTCCACAACCGATCAATCATACCGTGGTGGAGCATAAAAGCCGGGTCTTGCGGCGACGTGAACAGATCTTGGAGGGTCGCTCCGAGGCTGAAATGTCCGCCGCCATGAACGCCCAGAACCCCACCCGGTCGCGCCGGCCAGTAATCCATCACGAGCTGGAAATCGGAGATATTACTCGCGGCTAGGAGTCTGTCGACGATGGTCTCATTATCGTAATTGCTGCTGACGAAATTATTCAAACTTCGATTGAAGCAGCGCGGGTTGTAGTCGAAGCCTGGAGCGGGGAGTTCCGTGAATGAGGCAATGTTGCGGTCAAATGGTCCCATGTGGATTTTCATGTCCTTAAATGGTCCGCATCGGACACAGCCACCGCCTGATCCTCGTGGGATTGTTACTGCGCCGCCTGAGATGCTTTCTTCTTCGGAATTGTATTCACCGTCGCCGGAGAGGGAGCTGTCGCTGCAGTCGAAGAGTGGGCTGACTTTTAGGTTTTCCGACCATAATGGCCAGTTCCAGTATCTGAGGAGTGTTATTATAGGTTGGGTGTGGTGGTAAATAGTACTTACGGGAGATATCCAGTGTAACCACACTCTTCTCGCAGAGCTCTCTCCCAGAGCCAGAGGAAGTGACGGTGCCACGGGAGGAACAGACCACTAAGGTGAACATTGAGTGTGTAATTGATATGAGTGCTATACGGTTAGTACAGAGTCCCTAGCATAATTGAGGGTACTTACGCCACAAAATCATCGAACCGGTTCTGCACTCCCGGGTACTCTTCTCTTGGAAGATGCTGGGGCTGCCTTTGCATACACAATACTGCATTCGTATAGTTGATGCGCTCGGCTCGCTTTAACTCTCCCCTACATACTGTCAGCTATCAATTGACCCAAGGAAAAGAAAAAAAAAAAACACAAACCATTCCTTCCTCACAGCGGTATTATGTTCTTCACACTGTTTGGCAAGGGAGATGTCAAAGATATCAAATAGAGAGATATCAGCTGCCGAAACAAAAACCCCCAGGACAACAACCAAGAAAAACCGATAAAAACCAACCATCCTGTCCCAATGAAAAATCTCCAATGGCAGGTAAAATCTTCAATTCTCTCTACCTCCATGAACACAGTTTATAAGGAACTCCTGACCTCCCATCGCGCTAATAAATCCTGATAGTATCCCTTGTTTGATATATGTAAGTCGACGGAGCATTTTAGTTTAGTCTACATTTTAGCGAGCTTGGAAACTCGGAATAAAACTTAGTGCAGGTCCCTGGTCTCTTTGTGAGCTGTCATTTTACAGAAGTGCCTCGTACGGAGAATTCCGTGTATTTTTCTCGAAACAGACCGACCATCGAGAGATCGGCCCTAACGCTGCAAGCCAATTATCTGACATACAACATACATTTGGTAGATGGCTGGATACCTGTGTGGCGAATTGTATCCGGATTCAACGTGTATATTTGGCCCCTGTCTGAGTGGGGTAGAGAGGGACTTCTACAACAGTCGATGCTGAAACTGAGGCTGCATTTGTTATGGGATGGAATTGGCAACCGTATCCGTGAATGCAAGGCCATAGCCAATTGGATGACCTTGATTATGGTAATCGATACCCGACAACGCACATCGTATTCAAGTAGTCAGATAAGGCAGTGGCCTTCCATTTTGACTCTTTAGGCCACCAGCTATTCTCTCTCTCTGGGGCTGAATACGTGTAAACTTAACTTGACCAATTCACCTGGACCGTTGTAGTAGGAACTACACCGTACCGCGTTAGACCGGCTCGCCCCACAATTAGAGTACGTCACAGAGAGTGAAACATACATTGCTGTACTCCGTACTGCGACTGCGTACTGTAGGCACGACCTAAGTTTGCTAATCTGTCATGGTGCAGATATCACATGCTTGATCACGGCTCTAGATTCGAGGTCGTGTTGGAAGCTGACAACGTTAACTCCCGCATTGACCTGATGGATATCGACCACTTGAGATGCATTTATATCACACACAAGGCAGAGATAGTTAGTCATAGCGTGTGATAACACAAAAGAATGAAACCACAACACCGGAACTATCCTAGCAAGCCAACACTAAATCCAGATACAAAATCGGTTGTACTTCATTTCACCTTGACGTATGCTAGAATCCTTCCCTTCGATCTCACAGGATGTATACGTCGTACGCATGAGATCATCCTGCTGCCATCGACTGGGTGAGAACAAGAGCTTGAAAATTACCGATATGGGCCATGGCCCAGCAACAGTCTAGGCGGGATATAAACGGTGCCTTTGCGGTTTCGCCCATATCAAAAACTGCCCTCTAGGGCACAATTGCTGCAGCACTAGTCACATCCGTTGCTGTCGCAGGAATGCATATCATACTAGACGTATGAATGATTGGACAAGAGAGAGGTGTACCTGGATTTGCCCTGAGGAGAACATACTGCTCGGTCTCGGGCGATACAAGTAGGCTCGGTGTTGGAAACCGGCCTATATCTTCTGCTCAGTGCTCTGCATCGGACGTCTAGCTGCGAGCCACACAGTCCCACCCTTTGATACTCGAGCCGAGGTGGGTTCGAGGAGTTTGCAAAATACTGTGGGCTTGGTGAGAGGCTTGGTGTCGGCGATGAGACCTCAGAGTATGTTGCTGTGTTCTAGAGATGATCCTATAAGGACATCTGGAACTAGCGATGCTTACTTTTATATTTATTTAAAGACCAAATATTGAACCCTATGCTAGCCTTAGAGGTTAGTCTTTTGGTTTGCAATATGCATTCACACATTTCACACTTGGCACGCTCAGGCCGCTCCCAGCTTCTTTCCCTCGGTTTCAGCGTCTTCCAGTTTGTTGCGTGTTCATGAGATAAACTTTCTCATATGTCTTCAGTCCAGAGAATAGACGATCGCAAGTTACAGATCTCCGATCTTTAAACTTTCTCACATGGCGTCGAGCAGAACGACGATCGGCACTAGATGCGGGGGAAAGGGTCTGGGGAACTAACCGAGGCAGACACACGAAGTGTGAAGAAAACCAAACGCACATTTAACTCTAACCCTAGATCCTGCCCGTCTCACAAAGACATACATGCACAACCATGGAAGTCCCAAAAAGTATCCTGGACCAGGTGCTACCCCAAGCCGCAGCCATTTGGGCCGACATCGTATCCAAGTACTCACCCCAGAAAATCGAATTCGTGGGCACACTTCTCCTCCAATTCCTCACCTTCTGGCTCCCATCAATTTGCTATACCCTCCTGGACGTGGTCGCGCCCACTTTCTCCCAGCGCCATAAAATCCAACCCGCACCCAAACAACCCACCCGTCGCGAGATCGCCCGCTGCTTTTTCGTCGTCCTCCAGAACCAACTCCTAGCATCTATCATCCATCTGACATTACTATCCGCAGCCAGCAAAGCTGGCCTTAAATCAACATATCGCATCGAGACTTCCCTCCCAGCCCCAGTCGAGATCCTCCGCGACGTCATTCTCAGCATGTTGATGCGCGAAGCTCTATTCTACTACAGTCATCGACTTCTACATATACCCTCCCTCTACGTCCGGATCCATAAAAAGCATCATCGATTCACGGCTCCTATTGCGTTGGCTGCGCAGTTTGCTCATCCGATTGAGCATATTTTCGCTAATACGTTGCCTATTTCTCTGCCACCGCAGTTGCTGGGGAGTCATGTTGTGACTTTTTGGGTGTTTTTGGCTTATGAGTTGGTTAATACGGCGACTGTTCATAGTGGGTATGATTTCTTTTGTCAGAAGGCGAAGATGCATGACCTTCATCATGAGAAGTTTAATTTGAATTATGGATCGTTGGGGTTGTTGGATTGGGTGCATGGGACGGATAAATTGAAGAAACGGCGTGCTGAATAGTATTTAGGTGTGTAAATAATGGACCTGGTAGGATAGGTAGCAGGCAAACTGTCTCATTTGAACCAATGAGATTGTATATTTTAGTCGAGACCGAATGCCAACAATTCGTTTTTGTCTTGGACGGATATTTATAGTCGGGGCCCGGGGGTTCAGGGGGCCGACGGAAAGTCTGGAAGTCTCAAAAGTCTGGAAGCCAAGAATATGGAATCAGTGAGACACTTTGAACTTTAGAATCATGGACCATGTCTACTGTTGTAGGTCGATGTTGTAGGGTTTTTAGAAGATCTATTTGAAGTATTAATTATATTCTGGATAATGTATGGGGTACAATGTACTATTTGAAACACCCAGGATAAAAATATCGGATGCAAACAGAGTAGCATTCTGTAAGTGTCTCAGGTTCTATGTATAGACCGTTTGAAAATGAGTGCCATGGCGCTTGTGTGGGTTTTGCCGAGAGAATGTTTTAGCGAATAAAATTGGCAAAGGAGTTCATTCAATTCTAGAATTTGAACACATTTGATCTTTAACCCCTATTGACCATTGGCCCCTTAGAGTTATAATAACATGGAATATCAACCCCAAGACCCCTGAAGTGCGATCGACCTAGATTAGATGCGTCATTGCCAAGCTAGGGCTCCACACTCAGGGTTTTAGGAGTTTAGGGAGTTGATATAGTATATGGAGTTATGGGGTATAACATAGTACAATCATGTTAAGTGTAAGAAGTACATATTCCATACTTTATACATATTTATAGTGACACACAATTGTTATACCACTACATCATATGTTGACCTGATACCAAATAAATAAATAAATAATTCAATCAACCTATTAAATACCTTTATTCAGGGTCAGCTCCACATAAAAAAGTCCACTTAATATGACCCTTGCTGATCAGGACAAAGCAGAGACCCAATGTACATAGGACCCTTGGCAGTAGCACAGCCCATTTGCCGGGTCTTGGCCTCATAACTCCTTTCATCCCTTACCTTTTCTCTCTTCCTTTTCATTCTTTCTGACCTCACTTTCGTTTCTCAGTCTGTCATTCACTCTTTTAATCCTCTGAGCGCTTCTATTTTCCCACTCTCGTTCATATCCAATTTTTCGCTCTTTTCACTTATTCACACATTATGAAGGCCACAGTCGCCTCCATGGCTACGGCCATCACCTTGGGCGCTTCAACCGTCCTCGGTGCTGCAACCATCAAGGCCCGTGCCAGTGATATCACCCCCATCACTGTTAAGGGTAACGCTTTCTTCAAGGGAGATGAGCGTTTCTACATGCGCGGTGTCGACTACCAGCCCGGTGGTTCTTCCGACCTCAGCGATCCCATCGCTGATGTCGAGGGTTGCAAGCGTGACATCAAGAACTTCAAGGAATTGGGCCTCAACACTATCCGTGTCTACTCTGTCGATAACTCCAAGGACCACGACGAGTGTATGAATGCCCTCGCCGAGGCCGGCATCTACCTTGTTCTCGACGTCAACACCCCCAAGTACTCCCTCAACCGTAAGGACCCCGAGATCTCCTACAACGACGTCTACCTCCAGTACATTTTCGCCACCATGGAGAAGTTCGCCAAGTACGACAACACCCTTGCCTTCTTCTCCGGTAACGAGGTCATCAACGACGGTCCCTCCTCCAAGGCCGCCCCCTACGTTAAGGCCGTCACCCGTGACATGCGTACTTTCCTCCGCGCCCGCAAGCTCCGTGCCGTCCCCGTCGGATACTCCGCCGCTGATGTCGACACCAACCGTCTCGAGATGGCCGAGTACATGAACTGCGGTACCGACGACGAGCGCTCTGACTTCTTCGCTTTCAACGACTACTCCTGGTGCGACCCCTCTTCCTTCACTACCTCCGGCTGGGACCAGAAGGTAAAGAACTTCACTGGCTACGGACTCCCCCTCTTCCTCTCCGAGTACGGCTGCAACATCAACACCCGTGAGTTCAACGAGGTCAAGGCCCTCTACTCCGACAAGATGACCCCCGTCTACTCCGGCGGTCTGGTTTACGAGTACACCGAGAGCGACAACAAGTACGGTCTCGTCAAGGTCGACGGTGACAAGGTCACCCCCAACAAGGACTACAAGGCTCTGAAGAAGTCCTTCGAGGGCACCGACAACCCCAAGGGTGACGGTGGCTACAACTCCACCGGTGGTGCCTCCGGCTGCCCCAAGATGCAGAAGCCCAACTGGGACGTCGACTCCGAGATCCTCCCCGCCATGCCCGTTCCCGCCAAGAAGTACCTGACCGAGGGTGCCGGTAAGGGTGAGGGTTTCGCCGGTAAGGGCAGCCAGAACTCCGGTACTCGCTCCTCCGGTGATGCCACCCAGGGCTCTGGTGAAGTCTCTGCTGCCACTGGTAGCGGCTCTGCCGTTTCCAGCACCAGCTCCCCCGGCGCTGCCGCTTCCATCAAGCCTTTCCAGTTCGGCTTCGCCCCTGCTGCCCTCGGCATGGTCACTGTCCTGTCGACTGTGTTCGGTGCTAGCTTCATCCTCCTGTAATGCTCCTACCTTTATGAAGGGGCTTGATTATATCTTTTCGATTCTCCTTGACATGTATCTTTTTTTATGCCTTTTTCACCCTGTGATCATAGGCTTTGCAAATGGGGGATGGCGAGATGCTTTAGTTGGTGTATAGCAGTTTTCGGTATCTGCGCCTAGTTTGAAATGAAACAGAGCTGAACTGCTCATATTCTTGTATTAGTAACCAACGATTTTAATTAGGGGATTGCGAATTTGAATCCCCTCCATTGTATACTGCCATGTATTCTGCCACCATGATAATTCTAGTTTAGTAAAAAGATACGCATTTTGATCACAAAAGAATCGTACGATTCTCCATGATTACTCCTTATACTCTACAAATTCCTTATTTTCGTACTTAGGCACCCTCCACCGCGCATCCCCGGCCCCGTCCCCGTCCCTGTCCCCGTCCTCGAGTCTCAGCAGTCTCAGTACCCTTAGCGCTCAATATTCTGCGTGCTTTAATTTCCTTTCACGGTTGCATCTGTTATGTCTATAGAGAAGATAGTTAGGAGCCCTATGTAACAGGCGAGAGTGCGTTACAACCCTACATGCTTGACTACCACATTATCAAATGATTAACATTGTAGCATTCTAGCATTTTAAGGAACACGTTCAAGTTTTGACCTTCTAATAACAAACTTATTGAATCAATTCAATAATGAGCACCTGAGCCTATCCTATATATTTGACGTTACAGCCGATGGAGTACATCGATCTTTCCTTGTTACTACAAACAGCACAACAGGGTCCCTCTTGCCTTAACAATTCGATTACTTCATGATTCAAGCAAACAAATTTTGCAACAATGGCATTCGTTTTTTTTACCCTTTTTTGCTGTGCCCTTGCCACTGCGAATGACCTGGGCAATGCAGTACCCTTCTCGCTCGAGACTGGATCAGTGGCTTCAAGCCGGTTGTCACATTTCCCGTGGGGCGTAATCCACAGGGTGTCGCGGTAGGCGACTTTAATGGAGATGGCCAACTCGATATCGTGGCTCTAAGTTACGCGGACAACTCAACGAGCGTCTTGTTCGGGACAGGGTCGGGGAGCTTCCAACCACAAGCCACATTCCCCGTCGGGGCTGGTGCACATGCCGTTGCGACAGGCGACTTCAACGGAGATGGGCATCTCGATATCGTGACTTCAAATCTGATCGACGAATCATTGAGCGTCTTGCTTGGGACTGAATCAGGGGGTTTCCAACCGCAGACCATACTCCCTATGAACCTTCCATTTTATATTGCACTAGGCGACTTCAATGGAGATGACCATCTTGACATCGTGGCTTCACAGCCTCGTCACAATTCATTGAGTATCTTGCTCGGGACTGGATTAGGAAGCTTCCAACCACAAGTCACACTCCCCACAGTGCCTAAACCGATAGGTGTTGCGTAGGCGACTTCAATGGAGATGCTCATCTCGATATTGCGGTTGTGAATACCGATCCCGATTCTGTGGGTGTCTTGCTCGGGACAGGGCCGGGGATAGACCTGGCAGATGGGCCGAAATTCGGCCTGTCAAGAGACAGAAACTCAGGTCTGTCGGCCCAAATACCGCTGTAATTGTATATATTACAGGTATTACGCTGGGGCCCATTTTCTAGATCTTGTCGGGGAGCTTCAATGTTCTAACCGCTGGCCACGAGTTTATAGGCGGCCGGGTGAGCGGTTTCCAAGATTTTGTACCTGTAGCTAGGATTAGCGAAAAGTTCTTAGTTAGGTGCTCATCATCTACACATGCTTTTTATACGCAATAACTAAATTTGACCAAAAAATTCGACGCTTCAATTATCGTATTCTGAGGCAAGATCATTCCACTACCATCTAGATCGAACATCCAGATCATGGTTTATATATTCTACTGATTCGCATTGACGAAAGTATCTCACCAGCCTGTTGCTCTGTATTTACGTGGTTCTTCAAACCCCTGATATCCTTTTGGTAGCCCTAATGGTACAAGTGGCTCTGTGAATCTATAGCTTCTATACACATGCTCTATTAAATCTGCATGAAAGTATTTATTGATATATCTAAAGGGCAAACTATCGTTTGTCCAAAGCATCAACTATATAACTATTAGACAAAGCCAAATTCTGTCCGCTGGACGCCCACGTCGGTATATATGTAGGTATGCAACTCAAGGATCTATAGAATAACCAAGGAGTCACTTGGAGTGCATAATATCATCCGTGTACCTAGTCGTCAGAGAAAACCCGTAAAATGGACTCAAGGGTTTGGAGCAGCAACAATCGGCTCAATATCAAACCGCATATGTAAATCCGTTCTCAAATACCAAGTATGAATCCTAGTAATCTGATGCGTACCTACCGGCCAAGCCCCTAGCACCAGCCGAGCGGCACTTCTCCCAATCTGTGTTCCCAGGATTTGCTCGAAGGTTGTAGTATTCATATCCCAAGTACGGATAACCGGGGGTATTAAATTACCCTCGATATTCCAATCTCGAGTTGGATAAATAACATACCCCAACAAAGGTTGCGTCTCTTCATTCTCAACATTCGTGAAGAAAATATACTTGAGAGTATCAACGTGAGCAGCCTGTTTATACAAAGCCAAAGCAACATCATTCCATTGCGGCCCATACCCTCTTCTAAAAATCTCACTAGCAATGATAGCACCCTGTATGATGTAATGCTTGTAACACGGCGAGTTTCTGTTCCAATGCGTTAGATGTGAAAAGCGCCAGGCTTCTGAATCTACAGGAATATTCGTCGATCTGAGACTCTCTCTGATCTCTTCCGGCGTGGCCTCGAATGATGACCTCTTTACCTCAAATAGTGGCCGATTATTCGGCGGGACGGGCTGGATAAGAGCGTTTATGGTCAGTGTCGACAGGGGTACTATAGATGCAGGCCCAGTTGGGTTGGTATTGGCCATCCAATGTTTATATTGAACCCCGTCACGTTGATACTGGGTTATCTCTGCTTGCGAGGGAGCTTCATCGAACAAGCGAATTCGGTCGGGATTTGCAGCCGCATGCATTGAAGCCCCGATCGTTCTAAAACTTGTGGATGACTCTGGCAACAATGGGCTTTGTGCTTCTTCTGCAGCTTTTGGATTGGGCGTAGTGGCAACTCGTTTGGCTGCCGGTTCGCCGCCGGCGTTACCTTTGCGCTTCTTGCCTTTGGGAGCAGGTGCGGCAGCTGCTGTGCCTTTTGCACCCGTGCCATCTCCAGCGCCGTCGGTGTTTCCTCGACGGAAGCGACGCACGAGTCTCTTCAAGGGAGAAGGGGTGGACATGGTGTTGAAATATAGAATGAATATATAAAAGTGGATTTGAAAATTGAGTGTTTCTGATTCTTGTTTGGGAATTGATGTCTGACTGGCTTAGCTAGGTGCTGGGCAGAGCAGGTTTATATAGTTCTAGGACAAAAGGTCGTTGTAAGAGAGGCTAGTGCATGGTCGAGTTAGTGCTTGCATCTGGTCTATATTAAGATGAAACGGAGCTGATAATAGAAGCTTGAGGAACAAGGGATTAGGGATCGAACAAGCGATCTACCAATAGAACAAAGAACATCGAGGCAAAGAATGTGGATCGAATGGGTGGGAGACAAAGTCCTCGACGCTAAGGACGCCAAGTGCATGATGAATGAGAATCCCGTTATGGGAACAAAGTAGTGTTTGATATTTGGCTAAATCTAGCTTCTAGCCAAGAGCCGACTGCGACAATGAACTCATGACGAATATGGTCGACCCTCAACGTCAAGTTTCTAGATATCACATCCATGAGACTATAACGGCGTGTTCAATGTTGTCTGTGTTGGCCTTGTGACGTTGATTCCATTGCTGCTCTGGCCGATGGGATGAGAAAGGAGTCCAGCCCTACTTTGCATAAGATAAAAGGACCTGGAAGCTCACGCACTCATAGATCCATATGTAGGTAATGTCCATGAGTAGAAAGAAGCTAAATCAAGTTCACAGGGATATCTTATGCGCAATAATAAAATTCCAACAGAGGTGAGTGAAGTTTCGTCAGCCCTAGGGGACTTGATGTAGATACCTAACTTAAGGCATCCATACCTGTATGCCTCCAGGGCCATAAACGAGGTCCAGTTTCGCACATCATTCTCTCAGCCACACTGGAGAACCAAGGGAAAGTAAACCAGAAAAGACCACGAATTAAGAGTTAGCACCCCATCCATTGGAAAGCCTCCAATCCTCCACAACTTCTCCAACCCCTCTCACCAGACCTACAAGATTATCAACAAACCCAGCCTCACCACTATTAACCCGCTGCCGACGATCAAGCTCAGTACCCGACGTAACAGCACGAAGACCAAGCAGCTGCGCCGTCGTTTGACCCTGCAATCGATCCGCATCCATCCTCGTCAAAAGATCACCTTCACCATGTCGCCGTGTCCACGCCGCCTGTTTAACAGCCGGTGCCCAGTACTCCGCCAGAGAAGACTCATCGCGATTAAGCGCGTACCACTTAATCAGTGGGGAGTCAGACGACTCCATAAGCGACGAATGCCAGCGCGTATGGACGACTTCATATCTCTTCTCCATCAAAAAGATAATCGGCCAAGTGATAATCCACAGCTGGAGAAGGACGACAACCCACCAGACAAAGTTGTTATGGCGGAGCCGGTTGATCCAGTGCGGGGAGTAGATTGTGACGGAGCGATGGGCGATAGAGAAGGTGAAAGATACGGAGCCGCGGTAGTTGAGCTCGCGGATGTGGGAGTCTAGGATGTTGCCCATAGCATCGGAGTCGAAGCCGGTGACTTGGCGGTGTAGAGTGAACCTGTAAGGGGTTCGATTAGCAGGGTTTTATGAGCGCATAGGGAGCAGAACATACGATTTCAGAGAAGCGGGGTCGCGGCAGAATCGCTCACACCACATCCTGAGGTTTTTCGCGTCTGGAAAGCGGTGATCATCGTTGTCGTCCTGAGATAGGAGGGGATCGTCGTCCCCACCGAGACTGATAGCAGGACGCGACTTGGGCGGCTTGTACGTGTCCGAGCGGAGGATTCCTCCCCGATACGCCTTTTTGGGGTCCTCGTCTGAGAGGATTTCGATTTTCCTCCACATTGTGTCTGTGTATCCGCCCTCCCAACCGGTCAACATCGTCTCGGCCAGATCCAGCTTGAAGTGGAAGTCTGTGACGGTGTTGGTGTTGTTCTTGCTCTTTTTGTCATTGCTCGTTTCGGTGTGAGTGCCGTGGACGTAGAGTAGTGGGCGTGGTGGCAGTTTTATTTGTTGGCGGATGACATTGTAGAGCTCGTTGCAGTCGCTCGAGAGCGCTGGTTCGGTGGTGAAGGAGACCTTGTCGTCGGGTTTGACATTCTTGCTGCCGGGGAGAACATAGGCCGAGGTGGCTAGACACAGGGGTCGGATGCTCGTGGGAGGTTGGGCAGGTTGGGCAGGCTGGACAGGTTGGACAGGGGCAAAAATGGGTTCCAGGTCGGTGTATGGAGGTGGAACATCGTCGAGAGAATGGACTGAGGCGGACGATGCAGGATCAGTCTGGCGACCCATAACTGTAAAATTTGGAAAAGTAATGAGGTTTAGAAAGAGACTTAGAATGAGAAATGAGAAATAAGGGAAAAAAAAGTAAGATAAAGGGTTGAGGCTCTGGGGAGGCTCTAAGACCACTCGACTGCCTAAAATGGTAAACCCCGTATCGACTGTTTGTAATAGTTTTGTAAAGAACCATTTTGTTTGGAAAAGTGAAGTAATAATTCTTTATATGTTTATATATCCTGTATTTGGTGTTAGACATAGAAATAGAAGGGTACTGGTATTAACTACATTCATTCTATCCAACTCCAACATCTCCGTCTATCCAACATGACACCTGAAAGACCCAAATGTCGGATCCATTTCCCCACGATCTTGGCATTGACCTGGACCTCTCCAGCCATAAGTTTGGGAAATGTCGTTCCAAAGATCACACCTATTATTAGGAGAGATAGTACAGAGACCATTCGACATCTTCCACGATTGTGGTTTAGTCAAACCACTGACATGACAATCTGTCCAATCCAATTTACCAGTTTTTGATGTAGTCCATTTCCGACAAGAAACAGATTCATCGTCGACTTTGGTCTTGAGCTTACTGTCTTTGCCGAACTGATCGCAGTTACCGTCCCACTGATTTTTGTTATGACCTTGGAGGATCACATAGTCGCCAGTGCAACCTTTCTTATCCCACATCCTCAGCTCCCAACCGGTGGGTACGGTGGCGATACCGTTTACGGTTTTTGTTACGTTGTTTTTGGTTTTGGTTTTGGTTTCGCTTTTGGTTTCCGCGATGGTAGCCTTGGCCGTAGTCTTGCTTGTGTTCATCCTTGTAGTCATGCTTGGAGTCTTGCTTGTTGTAGACGTGACCTTGGTAGTACTGCCTTTTGTGGTGGCCGTAACCTTGCTACCATCACCTTTAATCTCGTCCATGAAATGTTTCATCACCTTCCACGATGGAAAGTCGGAGCCGGGTAGAACAATAGACATAGATGCAGCCGCGGTCGTCGGAGCGTGGTAAAACGTAATGGGTATATCATCGAAAGGTACATCTGTCGTGAAGAAATGTGGATCCTTGTTTGGTTCCGACAGAGATTTAGCTATCAAGGGTACAGCGGGTTTCGTGGATGTAGATTCAGCTTTTGGTGCAGCTTCAGCTTCAGGTTTTGAAATCCCAGATGTCGCTTCAGCTACAGGTGTTGTTCTCCCGGATGTAGCTTTGTCTTCAGATGCAGTAGATGTAGCTTTAGTTGCTGATTTTGTTTTCACTGCTTTAGCTTTATCTCCAGATGCAATTGATGTAGCTTTAGTTGTAGGTGCAGCTTTGGCTTTAGGCGTTGTTTTCACGGATATAACTTTAGCTTTAGAGGCGGTTGATGTAGCTTTTGTTGCAGAGTTAGCTTTCACAGATGTAGCTTGATTGACAGAGGCAGCTTTGTTGACTGGTTTTCCATCCCAGCCTGCAGGTGGAGCTGGCACAGCGAGTGCAGATTTGCCACAGAAGTTCTCACCAGTACCGCATTGACCCTTTCTAGAGCACTATAGGTAAGGTCAGTCTAGGCCGTGTGACCGAATTCAAACAAAACTTACACATTGACCGGTAGGGCATGGATTCAAATCGGCAATCATGAACCACATCTTTGGACGTCCTGTTCCAGGCACTTGGGGACCACAGACCGCACCACCGATTGCAACTGGCATTGGGGGGTCACCTTTGCTAACACAAACCTGCCCACCATCCTGTAGATCATTGCACCCGTACCATGCCGAGGTATTGTTGTTCCAAGCCTCGATATTGGCCTTGGTGGTCTTGTATCCCTCGGCAATTTTCTCGCAGGTATCGCCGTTGCGGACAGTATGAGTGTAGCACCAGCTAGTTCTTGATTTTGGTGGGAAGGTAGGTGTTCCGTGGTCGCAGCATACAGGTTTTCCTTTGGGCAAAGATGAGCAGGAAAGATTCGGGTTAAAGGCAGTGAACGATGCTGCCGAGATACCACACTTGACAGGTAGAGTGTCACATGTATCCTCATTACCGACAAGAACGGAGAAACAAGTTTCTTTGATGGCAGGCGTTTGGATTGGACTCGACTGTGCTGGATTAGCATTCAGGGTAGAGGCGACGTTGGAAATGAATGTACTAACACTAGATGCAGCTGTAGTCAAGGCAACCGACCCATGAATCATGCCGAGACAGCACAGAGCGAGGATAACGCCCCTCTGGAAGGACCGCATCTTGTGTAGATTTGCTTGAGATGGCGGAAATCTTTGAAGAACACGCGGCTTTATATTTATGTTCAAAGAAAGGCATCACAACTGTCACGCCTGGGAAAAACATCGAGGAGGCGACATGTATTCATGCAGCCAGTGAATCATTTGAAACACAGATAGGCTCTTTAAAGCAAAGCGCATGGTCCGAGAGTCTCTAAAGAGCCACTTGAAACCATTCTTTCTCGAGTACACTGTTGTAAAGAATAAGTCAAAGTGCATCCTCCGCCACCGCCAACAAAGAAAGTCGTTGCATCCCAGGAACCCGGTGGAAATGTGACGCCGAATGGTCTTTGTTCGGGTATCTCTCTTTCCTCTTCGGAGCTTGGATGGCATATTCCCTTTGAAGAGGCGATATAATGCGATGTGCCGCCAAGGGTCTTGGCTAGTGTGTTGTAGATATCTGCATCAAGACCACTAGTCTGTCGTGGGCCATGACAGCAAGACAAAGGAATAACTTGATGGGAATAACGACCAGATGCTAAAACCTCATCGACGTTCTTTCTAAATCGACCTCCAATTATCATTGGCATAGGACAGACATCATCAAAAGAATAGCCCGATTCCTGGGAAAACCTAACACCGTAGATGGTATTGGACGACCCTGAATATCAAAAGATATTTCGAATCCTGTTGCAAATAAATTCAGTACGTGCGACCGAGTCAAAGAACAAATATACTGGGGTTGAAATCGCAAGATTGGTCAAGGTGTGTTGGCTTTGTGTGACATTTCAAGGGTTGGCAGGGACATGGTTCTATATGTAGCATATTGGAGTTGGGCCATTCTGATTGGTAACTTTGGAAGCACGGAGATACTCGAGGTATCGATGAGAGAGTGTGATGGGTATATTCTGGAGTCGTATGTGCCAGCAAAAGGGCCTTCAGCTCTTGACATCTACACGTACGGCCATGGAAGCAGATGTCATCGACTGATCCCGCAGGCTGCTGTACCAACGAAGTAGTCCAGGGCAAAGAGACCGCGGGTGATGTTGCTTTCCAGTATACATTTGAATTGCATTTATTACTTTTGAGCACACAGAAACTATTGCAATAGCATACGGAGGCACGGATCTCTGCGCAAAAGTTGATGACCGCTTTGCTATCTCTCGGTGCACTACTGTCTCGAACTCGAGTGGAAATTGTTTCTTCTCCACAACCCAAAAGTTTGATCCGAAGAGTAACGGTAAGCATATCTAATTATCGAGTTATTGAGGCCATATCTGAACGTACCCCGGAACCCACGCCCAGCCGGGCTGAACGTGAAGCAGAAAAGACGCAGTGTTCTAATGACAAGAACTGCTTCGAGGATAAGAAAGCACTATATTTAGCCGTCAACCACCGGTGCGAAGCTGTTAAAAATTGCGCTGAGGACGCAGAAGTGGAATATCTAGTCAGTAGCTAACGAGAAAAAAATGATATTGCCGTAAGGAACAGTAGAAATTTTACGAACAGAAAGACTCTACTCTTAAATGTTGTTTGGCCTTCAATATATACTAAGGCTAATTAGATTGCCTGATGCTTCAGCTTAATTATGAATGATATGGATGACTGTATCAGCAGTCACACTTCGTCTCCTCAGTGCGTTACCTAGCAAAGACTCACTCTCACTCTGTCCTCTCTCTCTCTCTTCTCTCTCTTATCCTTGCAAGATACCATCGACAGGCTGCAATCTTTCCACATTACTCCCTCAGAGTCAGCTACTGAGGCAGAATCCTATCTCTCACTCTCCTCACTCATACATCCTTCAACACACAAACAAACCACCCCAACTCCGGTCAATCCAATAGTGAGATCACCTGGCTAATTTGGGAAACTATCATCAAGAAAAAGACTAATTCTAAGAATTCACTTAGTTCTCACATCCATCTGAAAAGTGACGACTCTTCCATCTACCAATCTCACCAGCGGTATCACTTGACCCTGAACCCGAGATATCTCAAAGACAAGAGCTAACAACACTATAAAGAACATGGCTTGTCCCAGCCACCACTTATTTACCGATGAAGAGCTGGAAGCTCTCGTGGCCCTCCGCGAAAGAACCGCGACGCGTGAGGCTGGTCGTCGATGGCTGTCACAGCAGGCCACACACATTCAAGGCACTCTTGACTTGATTGCTGCTGGGCACAGCTTCCCAGGCCTTCCTACAGCACAGGAGTTGCACGAACAGCTCGATATGCTTCTCAACGAGGTGTACCTTCTTGTAGTCGAACAGGAAGAAGATGAGGCGCAATTCAACGCGAGTTTTGTCGAATGTCGGGCAACCGTTGGAGAATAGTCGCATAGCGAGACCGTCTTTCCATATGACAATTTAAACTTCATCATACCTTCACTTGACCCTATGTAGATCCTTATTGGCTGAGACCAGCAGGAATACTTAGCGTTATTCATCTTGCTGTATTCTTTACCATGTAGAGCTATACCCTTCAGCATCTAGCCCTGTATATTGAAGTAGATACCATGCCTCTGGTGTTACCAATAGACCCGTGCATTATAATTGTCAGTCACCAAACAGACATCTGGTTCTTGAACACAATGAGCTGTGTATTCATAATCTGCCCTGATGTTACAGCTTGACCCAAAATGGAAGTGTGACTTCCACCTTGAATGTACGCAAATCAACTCACATCCATCGCTCCTTCCCTTTCGTCGTTTGGCACCGCGTTCTTTCGTTGGCTCGTGTTCTATTTATCACCGCGTCTATACGCGTTCAATTGTCGGATTATTGTTTCGACCCCATAGAATTACTATTTAATCCCTTCGGTTCTTAACTCTCCTCTTCCTTTCTCATCGCATCCCCATCTTTCACTTATCCCCTCCTCCATCTATCACTTATCCCCTTCCCATCGACAAGATGTTTAACCACGCTGTTTCTGACCAGAACGCATCTCAGGATGTCTCTAACCAGCCTGTCTCTGGTCAGCTTGCTTCTGACCGGTTTTCCTTTGAGCAGCTTTCTACTGTTCGGGGTGCCTTCCACCATGATACCTCGGACCATCTTGTTTCTGACCAACTTGCCTCTGGCCAGGATGCCTTTCACCAAGGCACCCTTAAGCTGAGTGCATCCGACCAGCTTGCCTATGGTCAACTTGCCTATGGTCGCTTTTCCTCTGATGATGAACCTAACCAGGCTGCGTGGCTCACGGCCAAATCGGATCATCCCCTCATGATTGAAGACGCACCATACACGCCTCCCGCCGCAAATCAAATCGTGATTAAGAATGCTGCTGTTACTGTCAACCCCGTGGAATGGATTAAGCAGTTGATGGGCAACATAGTACTCGCCTGGATTCAGTACCCCTTCGTGCTGGGAAATGATTGTGCCGGTGAAGTTGTTGAGGTTGGTGACATGGTCTCCCAAATCAAGGTTGGTGACCGCGTTCTGGCTCATGCAGTTTCAATGGACCCAGCTGTCAACAAGTCGTCCGAAGGTGCCTTCCAGCACTACACTGTAATCCGTGACAACATGGTCACAGTGATTCCCGACTGGCTCTCGTACGAAGAAGCTTGTGTTATTCCTCTCGGTTTGTCTACTGCCGCAACCGCCCTGTTCCATGCTGACTTCCTGTTCCTCAATCGCCCTTTCGCCCCGCTCGGCAGATTCCCGCTTCCCCAGGTTGTCCTGGTGTGGGGTGGTTCGACTAGCGTCGGTTGCAATGCCATTCAGCTTGCCTCGTCGGCCGGATACGAGGTTGTCACAACTTGCTCGCCGAAGAACTTTGAATACGTTACCAACCTGGGTGCAACCGCAGTTTTTGATTTTCGCAGCGAGCTTACCGTCCCGCAGATTATCCATTTCCTCAATGACAAGAAGGTTGTCGGTGCCGTCGCCATTGGAAAGGATTCAACTGAAGCGTGCATCAGAATTCTCGCGAAGACGAACGGCCCGAAGCTCGTGGCCCAGGCCGGCCTCCCCTACCCGGAAACCATCCCAAATACGAAGTTCAAGGTATTCCGTGCTGTGACAGCCTCGAAGTGGTATGACTTCAAAGTCGCCATCAAGTCAAAACGCTACGGCGTGAAAACCAAGCTTGTCCACGGTACGTCTGCGGCCCACAGCGACATTGGGTCTATGATCTATCGTGAGTATCTCCCCGAGGCTCTTGCAAGTGGAGCCTTTGTGCCTGCTCCCAAGGCCCGTGTTGTGGGAAGGGGCCTGGAGCAAATCCAGACCGCCATGGACTGCCACATGAGGGGGGTATCAGCTCAGAAAGTTGTTGTGTCTCTTTGAATTTGCCTGAGCTGATACTGGGCAGTCCATGGCGGGGATTGTCTCCATCGCTGTGTTTAATCAATGAATTAAAATTAATCAAAATTCAATTAATCTCTTGTAGACTAACTAGTTGTGTATGACTATGTAGGCGCTTCATCCAGCTGAAGCAAGAACTCGAAGCCAAACGCCGAGCTGGGATTGCCCCCAAGGGTATACAGAAGCTGACAGGTAAGTACATAGAGAGCCCACGGTGGAATCAGCTCATTCCTGTAACCCGTAAACCCATAAATCCATCCATAGGAAATATAAAGTCTGCAATGGACGCACCCTCTATCCATCTCAAATCCAACTCACTCTTACTTCTTTATACTTGTTCTTTAAGACCTCTTTCTCACTCAATTATGCCATGAAGTGACTCATGATATAGTAAATATTGTATCCCTATGTCTAATCTTAAGATGAGTGTTGGTATAAAGCACTGGCTCAGACCTCACTTGAGTTTCACTTCACTTTCAAAGGCAAGTCCCTTCTTCCTCGTAAGACCGCGTTTTCTTATATAAATTCCTATTTAAAGTCCTTCCTATCAATCATGATCCTTCCTTCGTTAACTCTTACCTTTCACGCACTACCCCAAGGCTATGACTGTTATTTACAACACAACTAGGATCCAATATACACAGTTTACTCCACATCCTACATCGAACACTCTGCACACAGATCAAATGCCCACAAGTGAGATACCCAGTCCCCTTGATCCTTTATTTCAAATGCAAAGCTAACAGGATCAAAAAAGTGGCCGACACTCGGCTAATCCCATCGCTAAGCGATGGAGAACTCAAAGTCCTATCCCAGCTTGCGGAACGTGCGATCCAGCAAGCAAATTCATATGAGACATACGGGATATCTAGCTGGCGATTCTTCTATGTAGCTAGTGTTATTCAAGTACGGCCAATCATCCCCCAAGTTCGATCTAGTCATCCAATCATTACTTACGTGCAAAGCAGTAACATGTCAAGGTCATGACCATTGTCGAAGGAAGGACTGTTAATGTCCGCCCCTACAATGGAATTATAATGAATGCCAGTTTATTCAAAGACTTCAACAACTTGAACACTGCAAAGGCCCAGGAGGAGGAACAGGTAACCCAAAGCCTGCCAGCTATCATTACGACAAGCTAAAAAAGATTCATAATATCCAAAAAGAAAGGTGGCTCCTGTTGATCTGTGCCTTCAGACATAGTACATCCATGAATAGTCGACAAGTTGCACAATTTATGAAAGTCCGAATCAAGCAGGTCCAAATAGCTCGTAGCTAAATTATTCCCACCCTGCAAAACCCGCAAAGCCTTTTTCAATTCCTCCAACTTCTGCTGTTTATCCTCCGACGCCGGAACACAGCTCAGCTGATCAGCATGTGCCTTGAGAAACTTTGCCGAGAGATAGAGTAGCATGGGCGAAAACGCATGCGCCTGTACAACATGAGACAACAACCCCAGTTAATTCACGGGGGAAATAGATGTCTCACCTTGAAAAAGCTCGATCGGGTGAGCGGCTTCGCTAAACCTACTATCTCGTACGCGGAGTACAGAGGAACAAGGATAATATCCTCGTCAATTTCCACCTGCAAAGTCTCCATGATGTTGTAGAACCAGATCACGGCGGCGTTGGCGAGCATGTTCGTGAATAGGCGCATGGGGTCGTGGAGTTCCGGCGCCGATGGCGGTAGCGAGATCAGCATCAGACGCTGTTGTACCATTTGGTATAGCCGTGTATGGCGTTTCCAGGTATCGTCGTCGCTCGGAGGTGTTTTATCCGCGGATCGCTGGAATGCAACGCTGTGCCAGCATAGCGTGATTAGGACAATTGTCTCCGCGAAAGGCGGTAGCATTTTCTGTCCGGATGTCTCGATCTCGTCATATAAGGAGTCCATAAGGACTGGTCTGCTGTGTTGGAAGTCTGGTTCTGAGACGGGGAGATATATGCAGAGCTGGGGTAAATGTTAGTCTCACTTAGTGGGTTCTGTAGAGATGGTGGAATTGCTCACTGCTTCCTCATGTAGACTTAGAGGCCACTCGTCAGAGATATTGAGGAACCGGTCTAGACAATATGCTAGCCAGTAGGTTCGTCGTTTTTCCTCGGCCTCCGCCCATGCTTCAGGGTGAGCCATGTTTACGGTAACGTCGTTGAGGCGATCGATCTCGTATAGTTTTGCCATTTGAATAATGCGAAAGGCGCGTCCTGCGGTAAGCCATGCTCGGCGATAACTTAAGTAGCGGAACTCGTAGTGAGTTAGAAGTAGCCATGCTTGGGCTGTTTGAAGGCAGGATGCACTGTTCGGTTCAATATCCTGGTCGAGAGACTCAATCCCCGACCGTGCGCGGGTGTAGAGAGACTCTCTCATGTGCTGTAAATGGGCAGATGAGGCTGCAGCCAGTGCCCACATTGCAAATTGCAAGCAGATATGGGAAGCTGGTTTGTTGAATCTCTGTGACCAGGAGAAGTACCGGCCTTGGTGGAGCATCGGCGCGACAGGGTGTACTCTGTCGAAATATAGTTGATCCCTCCAATAACTGTTAGATATATCTGGACTCAGAGAGTGGGCTTTACATACAAATCTGCCTCGATTATATCTGACTTCTCTTGATCAGGTGGGGTCCTTGGGGTGGTGGTAATAGGTGAGTTTATTGTTGATGCCTCAATGGAGTAGGCAATGTCATGACATTCCGCGTTTGTGGGATTGGGGATATACTCTTGGGGTGGGCTAAGAATTTGAACGGTATCGTCGGAGTGATATTTCTCACTACCGTCCAATACCTCCTTGGGACCGAGGTTGCCCTGGTCACAATTTATAATACTTTCCAGTGTGGCTGAGGATGAAATTAGCAGGGAAGATATATAGCTCATATTCCAACATACCAATCCGATTGCGCAATGCCTTGAGATGGCCCTTCTTCGGACCTCGTGGTGAACGAACTTGATTCACAAGGCACGCTGTACCAGAGTCTTCGCATTGGTCACATTGAGGTCGTCGTCTATCGCATCGAAGTTTCTTTTTGCGGCATTCCTCGCAAGCCTAAGCTGTCAGCGCCAAGAGTAACTGTATAGACTAGGTGGTTATTGTCTCACCAGTCCAGGCTGCTGTCGTGAGCCCGACATATTCAGGAGTTGAACAGAGTGCTGATGTTCTGATGTTACTACGGCTCTAGTAAGAACAAGACTATCTGAGTCAATGAGACAGGTATCCGTAGTGAATATTTATAGTTATTGACTGGGTGCACTTCAGCCTGAGTCGCTCAACGTCGGTAATTATAGATTGATTGCGGTTTTCGCCAGATAGCCCTCCGTTGTGGAAAGGCAGCTTCATGATATTCCATATTTGGCAACTTGTACTTGTCGAAAGTCCACTCTTCTTCCCCGGTGAAGCCCGAGGAGAACGTCCTACGCATGGTGTGATCAGCACTACCTTCTAAATGACCCCATACTCATGACTTCCTACGCCTTTCAGGTAACGATGGTGCTTTATCAAGGTTAAACGGCTAAAGATCTTGATAGCTTTGGATAAACTTCTATCCCTACGCTGTCTGCGGCGTTAGTCTTTTCGTCACGCCACTTGGGTGGTATAGATAAGATAGATGGTGGTAGGGTGTACCAGTGTTTTAGCCATGTTTGTCGATTCTTGATCGGGGGTTGGATGATTTGGTATTCTGGCGTTTGGTCTGTTAGCCAAATTGGTTAGTCGCTGATCAAGTTCGAGGTTCGGATTGTTAAACCGTGCATAGTGTGGCAGACTTTTAGATGGATACGCCACGCCGACTGGCTATTATTGTTCTCAACCGCGACACATACAGCACGTGGACGGTGATTTGGAATTGGTATCTGAAATGACACCTACTATAACAAGCTAATTGAAGGTAAAACCTGGTTCTCGGCCTAGTGGAATAAGAAGAGTGTAGCACAAAGCTGTTGTAATCTATGCATTGACAAGCCAAAATGTACGGGGTATTAATTGTGTCATTGACAGGTTTCAGAACCTCCTCTTCAATCTCCGACGCAAAACTAATACGATATCTACTATGTTTTGTAGACTTAGTATGTGTCCAATTGTTGAGATAAGAGTTTAGAGGAAGCTTAACGTCTTTAATTGAATATAACCTAAGCTTTTGATAATACATCACTTGGCATTTGAGTAGATACGACTGACAGAATGAGAATCTAGATCCATGGCTTAGCGTACCAGAAAATGAGTTGGGTTACATATCAGATAGAGCCGAATATCCGGGAATCTTACCCATTGGCCTGCTGATCTATGGCGTGATAGCTTGAACCCGATCAAAAGGGTTTCTTGTGGTAAACCGATGGCACCTAGTACATGCTCCGCGCGGTCACTGAGACAACAATTTGATATTGTTGCACCCTCAAATATTAACGAATCGTGACTTGAAGGAAAAAGCTCAGATGTGACTTAACCTGGTCGACTGACCATCGTAACAGGAAATGGATGTACATGCTCCCTTTGCCCCACAGTATAAATGAAACTCCTCTGTTATTGGCTAATATTCCCCTGTGAGAGCCACGCGAGGTCGTCGCATACACTGCTACGCTAACCGGATACGGTAGATACAAAACTAGTGCATAGATAGATTATATCGTTCTATTAGTTGACTTCTAAACTACCTTTTGTTCAGGTTCTGAATAAACTCCACAGAAAAGCGCCAAGATTCGCGGATTGCATCTACATGCGTCCGCTTGCCGGACCTGCGTCATCATGCTGTCGTGCTGCTATAACAGGGCGGGGCTTATCTAGGGCACGGCAGCTATTCACGGCAGCTACGGGTGTAAATATTGCGAAACTCCGATGTTGATAGGCTCACTATCTCCCCCCGAGTAGAAAAAGGCCGTACATATTTGGAATTGTTAAAAGGCTATATTCCTTCCATGTGACCATCGGCACGAGGCTCTGCTCCCATTGTGCATCCTACAGCCCTGTAATCTGATGCTTACTCATTCATGATTGGAGTCTCGACTAGCCAGATTCGGTTCCTGTAGGATTTATGTCGATATAATGTCTCGCAAAAGGCGGATTCAGCCACCATTCCATTTCTCAAGTCCGGACCAACGGCATATCCTAAGAGGAACAATAATTTAATCAACTGTCACAAATACTAGGCGCAAAATGCCCCGTAGCCTGTGTGTCTTGAAACAACCACTAACATAGTCGTCCCTCCATCAGCATGGGAATTGACTCTATCTGTACAGCTTTTCAAGCTTTTCAAGCTTTCCAGCCCCTTTCTCCAGGATGCCGAGTTCAAGCTTTGAAGGTTGCCCGTCCTGGCAACAGACTAAATAAAGGGTTGGGGGATAACCTCCGATGATCCGCGGTTCTAGCCTATTAGCGCCGGGCCGGCCCGGGCGTCCGGAGTTACCAAACTAGAACGGGTTTGGCCCAAGTCCCCCAGGGCCAAGCTGAACTCTCTACAGGCATAACAAAGGCAAAAACTGGTGCGAATAATACATCAATCCCTTCAAAATATATACGAAATAGCTTGGCTGGTCGCTCCAGATAGCCATTGGTGGAGCCGGCTGGCTATACATCACCGGCAGTAAAGCAATTGTTGTAAAGAATGCAGCAGTTGCTATAAAACTTGCGAAAACCTGCGCCATTCTGATCAGTGGCTCTACCATGTCCTAGCTGTGCCATTCGAAAATTGCCTCTACTATAGGCTACTAATCCGTCAATATTACCGCAAGTTATTCCTCTAAGAGAAGCCGCGTCTCGGGACAGCATATTTCTCCGCAGGTTTTCCCCAAAGCTATAGTTTTGCTGAGGGAACGTCTGATGATGATATGATGTATTATAATGTATGAAATTGTATAGGAAGTTGATACATTGAAATTGATCTGGTGCTTGGGCCGATCACCTGTTATATTTCCTTTAGCTGAAGTATCGGAAATGGCGATATTATTGCATCTAGCAGTTATGGTTCTAGCGATATTGAATTTCACGTCTGATTTGAATGTATGGAGTAAACCGTCACAGAATAGATGATTGATGGTAGTTATTTGGGATGTTTTCTTTTGCGGGTCCAAACATGGTCTCCTAGGGTACGGAGTAGACTAAAAAGCATTGCCTTTGAAACACAGCCTATTAAAGATTTGCATGCTTGTGACTCCATACAAAACATGGCAAATGACTCGGTAGATCTTTCAAGGCAGAATTATTATACAAGGCAACAGGGTTATTTCCCCCCATTTTATTCTTGGCATCGTCCGGGGGCACCCGGGGGCCGTCAACCTTGCTTAGTTAATGGGGGCAGTGCCTACCAAATCTCCAAGAACCTCATATTTATTTCTTAAACACTACAGCCAAGAAAAGTCCAAAGCGAAAATGTGCCAAAAAATGTGTTCCTCCAACAAACACCCCAAACACCCGCTCTCCAAAGCTCGCAAGATCCAGGCCATTATCTCCCTGATTTCATGGCCTTGTGCTCTCGCTGCCATCTTTACCACATATGGTAGTTCCACTGCCCAAGCATGGACGGAATGCATAGCGGTATGCATCATTTTCCTAATAATAAAAGAAAATAGCTAACAATTCGAAGCTCACGATTTCCAGCACCGCGCCTGTATTCATGCTCTTCAGATATCGCAAATCCAGAACTCAATCTTATTCATCCATCGAAGTCGCCATTGATTGCTTCGCGGGTTTGTTCTTCTTCGCAATATGGGTTTCTGGCATCGTCATCAACCTTGTTGGCCGACTTGAGATTCACCAGGTCTACTCCAACCTCGCATGTCTTCTCCTCAGGTAAGTTTGTTTATGACTGGAATCCAACCTGATCAAACATGCATACTAATCGTTCTAGTATGTCATATCTGCGCTCCTTTGCTAAAGGTTTCTTCCGTCAATGTATCCAGCCTATGCTGAAGGCTCGTCGTGTTAATTATACCATTTGTTCATCCTGTGACCGGGCTGTGAATGCTCCTATGGCCCAGAGTCAGGGTACGACTGTGACCACGGCGACTGATGATGGTCTCCTGGGTGTGTACAATGATGATGTTGAGTCCCAGCCGTTGCTACCTGAGGTCTCTTTGGGCGAGGAGGGTAAGCAGACTACTGGTATCGTGGCTAGGGACTAAAGCTTGTGATGCCAAGAACGAAGATTGGGTAAGGAAGCAAGGTTCAGTTCGTACGACTTTCCAAATGGGGGACAGTTCGAGGACCTGGTCTTCTTTACCTTGAGATGATTAAATTGATGAGGTTGATCGTGTGGATGCTTTGGAATGACAGAGTTCAAATAGGACGGTCTGATACTTAATGGCCTTCACCAACATGGGGTATACCTGGTCCCTTGTTGGAGTCCTGGGCCTAAATAAGTACAATCTATGGTTGTGAGAGTGAATGAAATTATGTGACTACGAAGTACAAGGGTCTTGACGCAAAATGAGTTATCCTGGAGCCTATTGAATACATGTTTTGACACCATTCTCTTTCTTGTTTGTATCTTTTGTACTTCTCCGTGTTGAGCCAGACGGATGAGAAATATATAGACGTAAAGTGCAGACAAACGAAAAGCACAATTTCTGTCAAATGACCTTGCAGTACCAGTATGTGAGGTTTTAGACCCTATGAAGTCAAATACCCTCCTCCTGCATCGCCAATACAACACTCTCTCGCTTCGCCACAGTCTCCGTGAGAGCACTGTACTTCGGGAACTCGGCCTTCAAGTCTATTCCGAAGGTCGACTGTGCCCATCGCCAAAAGATCCACAAGTAGACATCGGCAGCTGTAAACTTTCCACCAACGGCATGGACGCCGTCCAGTCGGTCCTCAACCGCCTTAAAGCTGTCAAGTAGCGCCTTCTTCGCCTGCTCTTTGATTCCAGCATGCACATCCGCACTTTCAGAGAATGTGAAGCGCTGTGGCCGGAAAAAAGCTCCAAATCCAACCGCGTGAACAGCGCTTCCGAGCCAGGAAAACCATTCGTAAACTCGAATTGGGTCCATAGTTCCAGCTGTGCCGAGAAGGTTTTTCTCGGGGACTAGGTTGCTGATGTAGGTCATTATAGCGATATTTTCTGTGATGACCTCGCCGTTGGCAATGAGGAGGGGCACCTTGCCTTTCGGGTTTAGGCTGAGTAACTCATCCGACATGGGGACATTGTTCTCAGCGGAGGTGGTGAATGAAAGACCCGCTTCGTGGAGAAGGATGTGAGGAAGCAGCGAGCAGGCGCCTTTCTTGTAGAAGAGCTTGATTTCACTCATTGTGGGTAATTTGGGTCTTTTTGGAAAGATGTTAAAGAGTTTTTAGGGGGCCGTGTCTTTTATATGGCAATACCATACTAAATGGTACTCGTATTGAAAATGTCAGTGCCAAGAAGGCTTGATTTTAGCGCTGTGCCATTAGGGAAATCGCTGTGCCAATAATGCTTTACTCTTGTATGCAGGCGGAGTTTGCCAACCGCTGAGCATTGATCATAGCATGAATTGTGTTTACATACCGACTTGCCGTGTTCCTAATTTGGACAAAGCTTTTATCTGTTAGAGGTGCTAGTTAGGCGGGAATGATATTGAGCATGAGGAAGCAAGGAAATAAGCGAGTTCCCGGCCATCCAGTGGGTACTTCTCACAGAAACAAGAATAATGAGCTAGTAGCACTGGTATTCCCGATGGAGTATTATATCTCACTGAGTTCGGGATTCGGCGCACACTTACCAATTGTTAGCTCAATTGGCTCACTGTATGTGTTCCCCGAACATCGGACATATCCCTCCTTCCCTCCGCGTGATCTATGACAAACACTGCAAAGAATAGCGCTTCTAGTCTCCATGACATTACTTCTAAAAAAAAAAAATGCCGATAACATAACTTGGGGAGTAGACGGCAAATAGGCGTTCGGGTTCCTGCGCAGATGTAGGTAATCTGCAAGTGAATGGTAAGTAAAGGATAAGTGAAAGGGCGTGTGAGGGTTAGGTGATGTTAATATGAGAGAGATGAGGATAGGGAAGGAGCGAGAGCACACATTGGGGAAGGCACCATCTGCCTCGACCAAACCTTCCTTGAGACTTATCTCAGTGGCTAATCTTTCAACATAAGCCCTTCCCTCAGATCCCCCACCTACACCAGCATCGGACCTTGACACGAAGATGAAGCTCATCGTAGCTGGCGCGACCGACCTGTTGGGAATGGAGATCGTGAGACAAAGCTTGCAGCTTCGCGAGATCACTGAGGTCATTGCCTTGACTCGCAGACCCCTGCAGCTCGAGAAAGGTATCGGCTCATCAAAGCTAAGAATCGTTCTCATTCGCGACTATGGTAATTACCCTGACAGTGTGAAGGCTGAGTTCGCTAGGGCTGACGCGTGTATTTGGTACGTCACAAGCAGCACCCCCATTTTCTTACACGACTTGCTACTAACACGTCTGGGTACCCATAGGAATGTTGCCATATCACCCTTCCGCGTCGATAACTTCGACTTTGCCGAGGTAAAACGTGTATGTCAGGACTGCACGAAGCTCGGTTTTGAGGCTATGTACGAGGCTGGACCGGCACGTCCGTTTCGCTTCATGTATTTGAGCACGCAGGGAACCCCTCGAGACCCAACAGAGAGACCAATAATCATGGCTGAATATCACCTCATGCGGGTAAGAAATGAGAAACCCACGAAATGTTCTGGATCCAACGCTAATGTCATGCTTCTTATGAACTAGTGCGATACAGAGCTTATGGTTCGCAGATTCCCTACTCAGAAAGAGGGAGTTGAGGTATGCATTGCCCAGCCCGGCTTTGTTGTGAACTCCACTACTTGGTCACAAGCTTTAGTGGCGAATTTTAGTCGTATTCTGGACCTTTTCGGGCGGCCTCTGCCGAATGTACAGCACAGCGAGCTTGCAGCAGCAGTGATCAATCAGGTCATGGATGGATTCGAGAAGGAAAAACTCTTGAATGCTGATCTCGTTCGAATCGGACAAAGGGAGTTGGGATTTCGCAGTATGCCCCAGGTTTGAAAAATTACCATTGGGTAAGGGCATAGGATTCCATCGTTGCTTTGTGATTTTCGTCTTTGTTAATGATGGCCTCATTGATTTTCAATTTCGCTTGAGCGGATAGGTATGTCTAAGGAATCTATCTCCATTTTTCATACGCTCCAATTCCTACAGACAACCCATTCATTGCTCTGCCAGCTAATATTCCCTGTTGGCGCGAAGTCTAACAAGTCCAATATCTTCTTAAGCACGTAAGTTGGACGGTACTCGATATTGGGCTTTGTTGGCCTGGTTGCATGCAATTCATATGCTCTCTTTGCCTCGGTAACGGTCCCTGAGCATGCGTTGGTTTCTCTCTACCATTTACTCTGCAGATAAAGAAACTTGTGAGATACTAACTAGATTGCGCCACCAACCGTTGAAAATCCTGTGATTCCCCCCCGCTGTCGACATCCTCCTGAGTCCCAAGTATACTTGCCACCAAAGGTGAGCGTCTATAGGGCACACGGTCACTGGGGCTGGCTTGATGCACACTGCGCCTAATCGAAAGGAGGCGTTGGTGGCAACTTAAACATTAGCTATTTCTTTTCATGGTGAGCCATGTTGTAAAGAAAACAACTGTTCTCGAGTTTTGGAGCCTCTATTCGAAGCTAGCAGTTCCGTGATTCAGCTGCTTCTCGGAAACCGACATACCCAGAGCATACCTACGGGGAGACGTATTTGATTGACCGGAAAAGGTGGCCAATCCTGGTCCAATGGCATTCGACGCGGATTTCCAGATGGGACCTCCCTAAATAAGATGTTGACAATATTGGCCTTTGCTTTGTGCAAGGGTTCAGACACCTACCATAAGCAGCCTGTTTATCCTATTTTGAACCTAATATCACGACCACATTATAACAAATACCATCCGACGAAGAAGTTTCCAATTCAGACAACCGTTCCTACCGAGAGGCGACGTTGTGCGACCTGCAAAATGTCATTGATAGTCATAATGACGATATAATCCTCCTAGCATAAAACTATGGCCACATCTTTAACAACAGCAATTTTCAACATCCCCATCATTGTACATTCCTCTTTACGTATCTAATCCTCCATAACCCCCCCGTCAAAATGGCCAGTCAGAACGTGCCCGCGCCCGAGAATGAGCAGGATAACGCCCCAGAAATGACAGACCCCCTCCAGCCCGGTACCTTCGACATTGATGAAAGAATGAGTACGCTACCTTAGCACTTACGCACATCCTTGCTACTTTCCAAATATGCTAACGTCAGCCCCAGCCCGGGATTACAAGGAAGCCATTGACAAAACCGATGTCATCAACGAAGATCGCCTTCGCCGCGCTATGCCCCAGACTTCCACCATCGACCAGGAACCATCTGAGAAAGAAATTGATATTTCTTGGCGACCTGATCCATCGGGCCATCCGCGGAGGACTTTCTAGATGATTGTACAGTATACTTGGTTCCTCGGTTTTTCCTAGAGAATGAACGATATATTTTGTCGCTTTACTTCTGCCAGTATCGTCTTGTGAGGCATATATGGCTGAACATTCGGGAGTGGTATAGGCATGTACTATTGTGAGATTTCAAACTGCAACTATTACACTCTTGATCCTAGTAAGAAAGGGTATATTGTCACTATGTCTTGATTTGCGGATGGTTAGCGGCCAAGTCGACGTTTGATTCTACTGGTTAAGATATACCCCGGATTCCAGACAAGGGTCTTATACTTTATGCAGGTACATGCATACAAATTGACATGTCGCCTGCATAGCGGGGGAACTATATCTCGCGAGGCTGACCAGGGTGCGCAGCTCGAAAGCTTAAGATAGCACGGGCCTCTACGCCTAATGCGGGGAAGTATAGCATAAATCGTGTAAACGTGAGGTTATCTCGTGAAAATTTCAAGTAAATGCTAAATGTACATGAGTCATATTGAACGCCGTCCCTTGTGCAATTTCCCACCTCAAAGCTTTCCCTGCGCCGCCTTAGCCGCCTTAGCATGACGCTCGAACGAGGACACAGGGGGCGCGGAGTTGGGGTTGGGGTGGTGCTTCTTGAGCGCCATCTTGACATTGTACTCCAAGTCAAGACTGGCCTTGGGGTCATCGGTCTTGGGCTTGAAGTCTACGACGAGATCGTCCTTAACAGCGAAGACGGAGTCGATAGCGAGATGGGGGTCATCGCTGGGGTAGATCTGGTTGATGACGGTGGCGTATTCAGGGTGGGTGATCATGAGGTGGATGTGGGCGGGACGCATTGGGGAGCGATCCATGAGGTTGAGGAGGACACCGGCGGGGCCGTCGGTCGGTAGGGAGTATGGGGTTGGGTGGTAGCAGTACCAGTTGAATTCTCCCTTCTCGTTTGTTCGGAACTTGCCGCGGAGGTTGTTATCGGTTTGGTTTGGGTCCTGGAAATCGTATTGGCCGTTGGCTGAGGCTTGCCAGATGTCGAGGACGGCGCCGACGATCGGTTTGCCGGTTTCCATGTCCTTCACGGCACCGTGCATGAAGGTGACACGGCCATTGGGATTGGAATCTTGGATGATGCTGTCGCCGAGTGCGCGGAAGGGGGCGTTGGGAGACCAGAAGGGGCCGAGGATGACGTTGGATGTGGGGGAGACACCGTCTTCGGTGACGATCTTGTTGGCGATCTCATCGACGAGGCTGATAAAAAAAAATATTTAGTTTTTGCTTTCCTCATAGTTTTTATTTTTATTTTTTGAAATCGAAAATAAAATCAAGTCAGATGTGAAACTTACGATTCCAGACCGATCACGTCGCAGATGCGGTGGCCTTCGTTGCGGATAGGAGTGCTAATCTGGCCGACGGAGTTGATGAACTCAACGCCGAGCATCCACTCGGCGGAGGTCAGCTCAACTTCACGTGCGAAGTCGTGGATGTGCTTGATAAGAGAACCCAAGACCACGCGAGCGCGCTCGGGGGTGTTGGGGCCCATGCCATTGATGACAGAGGGGGTGAAGTTGGGATCGAACTGGCGTGTGGAAGACATTGTGTATTAAAGTGAGTTGTAACAAGTTAAGAAACTCAGCGCGACCTTGTAAGGTCTATATATGGTGAGCGACGGCATATCGTTCGGCTGGTCATGGATGTGGGGAAATGGCGACAGTGCTAAATGCGTAAAAATACCGCTGCCACCTGCCGAATGATCTGATTACGGAAATCCAAAATGGTTCCATTCTGGCATCAGTCAGCCCTTCAACAGCCGAGTGGTTGGTCCCCTATTATACCACCGCGGGGTGGCCGGGGTAGCTCTTATCCGCGGGTAAGCCCCGGACCCCCGGGGGTCCTTTTACATACCCGCTTTCACCGCCTTTTGATTGGTTCGGCTTTTGCCTTTTCTGAACTTCCGGGTCACGTGCTATATAGATCGTAGATCTGGCGTGATTCTACTTCTATATTCACTTTTCTAGGGTATATATAGAATCAGATATGAGAGGTGACCTGCATTGCTAGAAGTCCATTGAGAAAAGGAAAGAAAACGGCTCGTCATAGCTCATCCATAAAGTAACGAAACGCTTGCTTGCTTTGTGTTCACGCAGATCTTTAATCGTCATCCATATCCTCGTGCCCTATCTCAAACTTTGCATAGTTTACCTGCTGCTTGATCTTCCGGTATAATGCCTTCAAAGCGTCACGATCTTCGTCATGGCACTGCGGCCAATCCTCGTCCCCATTGTAATATTCTGGTCCCGAAAATTGAGAGGGTCCAACACCGCCATTAAACAACATGTACCGGTCTTTCAGCAATGCCGGCACAAGGTCGAGTTCTTTCTCAAAGGGTAGATTAAACCCATCCTCCGAACGCCATGCTGCATTGTGACCAATCGCAAAACGACGGAGGTGCGGAAGGCCTGTCTCAAATGAGGCAAAGTAGTGATGCCACCGGCGTGGATAATGGTAGTACCAGCCATCATCAAGGAGCCTGGGTTGACCAGTGCGATATTCCATTCTGGATTTTGATAGCGGACATTTAGCAAGCTGTGATTCGTCATCCAGTATTCTCGCTTGGAATAAGATCGGAGAATCGTCAAGGTTAAGTTGCTGAAGTGTTGACGAGTGCGATAGAATCCAATCAAGCTGCTGATCTTCGAAGAAGCAGAAGTTTCCCAGAGTAAGCGACTGCAAGTTTGGGAAGTGGATCCCTTCGAGGCTGAATTTGGGATAGAAACCCCAGTACAAATTGGCGTATAGAGACAGCTTCCGAAGTGATCCCATCGTGGGTTTCAGCCACAATGACGGCAGTATATTTGCGTAGAATTCTTCCACTTCCTCCATCTATCAGAAATTTGGTCAAATTAGCATCAACTATACTTAAACATCTTTCGAGCAGATAGAGCAAATACGAACCTCGATTTCATTTTCAGGACATGCTGGTTCGAGCTGATGCTTAACATTCATTCTCAGCGAACTCAGTGTGCTCAGTACTTGCTGAAGATCTTTGCTCGGTGTTGTTACGTTCTGCTGATTCTGAATCCCCAGTTCTTTCAATGGTTGTTTCAAAGACACTAGCCCCGTACCCAGCCATTCTATGATGGCTTCTCGGTACGCAGGTGGCTGAGGTATGAAAGTCCAACTATCGTCCATCGTGCAGTTTTTCTCGAAGCGCAGAACGACGCTTTCGAGATTTGGAAATTTTGGTAGCGTGAGTAGGAGCTTCTTCCATTTGTAAGGCAACTCAAGTTCATCATGCTCATCGTCAGAGCCCTAACATCCTGCATATTAGCTAACCATTAAGTGCACGGCAGTTTATATTACTCTATCTCACTTTGATATCTCACTTACATCGTCTTCCTCGACAGTATTGAGGCGAATTTTGCGCACATGTTCTTTCAACTGCGGATGGTCTACGATTGACCCGAAATCCTCACAGCTTTGATCCGAGGTGTTGAGTGCGAACGTGGAGAATAGATTCTTGGTTGCAAGGCCAGATAGCATGTGGTTTGTCAGTCTCAGCTCCTTGAGGGTTTCCGTGTCCGAGAAAGACGTGATAATCTCCAGTAGCTCTATGGGGAGGTTGAATGCCATGTTCTTTGCAGTAAAGTAGTTAATTCTCTAAAAAGAGCTGGTCATGGTCTTCTTATATAACTTCCAGCGCACTAGCCCCAATACGATTTCCTTGGCGCTGTTTTCTAGGCTTCCTTAGGCAGAAGGGTCGTTTATGTTGGGAACTCCCACATTTTCATTCACCAGTGGATGTCAGCAACGCCTATATTTGCCCCCTTTTCTTTAGCTCCAGCCACCATCTGAATTTGTTTGTTTTTTTTACCCCTATCATATGTTATACCTAGAAAACTATTCTTGTTCATTTACACCATGTCTAGAGGTCGACCACATCTTCAAGAAGGTTAAATGAGATTAAATTCAATTGAGCAACTTATAATTCATATCCAAAATCATGTACTCGGAACTCCACGTCCCAAAAAATCACCAAGCTAAAAGCTCTTTCTGGTGTCCACAGGCCAAAGATGCACAAATTTGCTCATCCTTCTCACTGACTTCTGCGTTGCACAATACCTTCGGTTTTGCCGGCCAGATCTCCCGCCCTTCAGTTTTCTCACGCTCAAAGTGCTCAGTGATGACCTCACGGACTGTTCTCTGGAAGAACAGCGGCGCCTTCTCGTACTTAGGATGAAGCTCGCCACTCGTAAAGACATTTCGGTCAAGATTCCTTTGTGCATTGTTGCAGAGAACTTTGTCTTCTCCCATGACGCGCGCGTACATATCACTGATAAGTTTGAAGTCTGTATCGGAGGAGTTTCGGTTTCGGTAAATCTCATAAGCCATCTTTGAGCTTTTGGCGCTTGAAGGGAGGAATTTCTGTATCATGATAAAATGCGGCCTGTGTATGTTAGAAGACGTTTCTCTTGGGAAAGTATATGAGAAATACTTACGACACAACCATGGCAGACATCGGGAAGTAGTAAGTACTAGCAGTGTAAAGACCCTTCTCAATTTGCTCTGGTGTAGATTCGCAATGGTGTTGTATGTGTCCACCTTTGAGATCGCTATCGAAGGATTCAAGGTTGAGAAATTCAGGAATATCAGCGTGTGTTGTAGGGCAGTGGTAGCATTCGTTGAAATTGTCCGCCAATATCTTCCAGTTATAATCACCCTCAAGCGCATAAGTATGGTCAAGATCATAGTCATCGAAGTTGTATGCTTTGTACCGCTCCTGCTTGTCAACGTCTTGGAAATGCTCCTCCCATGACACTTCTGGAACTTCATTCGCATCCATATTAACCCAGATAAAGCCATTGGTATCGATCTTGAGGTGGATTCTGAAAAGACCATTATGTTCCTTATCAAAGTTACTCAGCTCTTGGTATTTCGTAGCTTTGGCAAGCTTGCCATTCAGTCCGTAAGACCAGCCGTGGTATCGACAAGCGAGGATTGCGGAATTTCCGGATTCCTCTTTCTCGACTACCGGGTATGCACGGTGTCTGCATACGTTGTGGAATGCGTTGATATTGCCTTGTCGGTCACGGGTGATTATGAAGTCGAAACCTGCTATCTCATAGCGGAGCCAGTCGCCAGTGTTCTTCAACCGCATGCTGTGGGTAATGAAAAGCCATCTCTTTGAGAATATGGCTCGGCGCTCTAGCTCGTACATCTCTGGTGAAGTGTACCATGATGCAGGCAGGGCGCGAACGGGAGAAGCTTTGGCTTCTTCCTTAGAGGTAGAGGCGTTGAAGCCGAAATAGTGCAACATTGAAGCCATGGTAAATAAGCGAGTTCGATGGGAAGTGGATTGCTCTTTGTTGCTTTCCTGGTCATCATAATGATACCTTTATACGTTATCAAACAATTTGATATCTGACTGGTAGCCACGTCTATACTCCGATCAGATGACCGGCCGTAGTCCAATTTAGTAGGGCAACCCTATATGAGGCGGGTTGGTCTTCCAAGAACAGATATCGAACCCGCCACCCCCGCCACAATCGACTACCTGCACTACAGGCCGGGGGATTAAACGCCATTATGGGTTATTTGGCCAAATGTTCTCGAACCCGAAATGTATACTCCGTACTCGGGTAAGTATCCGATAGTCCACGCTATAGTGCTTTGTTTAGAGCTGGGCATGCATACTATATACCTTCGAACGCCGATCGGATCCTGCAGCCAATAGAAGTTCGCATAAATAAGCTGCATGAACCTTAAGTCTCGATCTATACAACATACGAATTAATGCCGACTTTTGATCACGAGGACTCGGGTTCCTCAAAACCGTGGAGTACTACCCGTAGTCCTTACTTCTTTATTATGTCTCATGTTTGACGAAATCGAGAGGATAATCGTCAGTCTTGCCCATGTGGGTAGATTTGGAATCAGAACGGACCGCATATAGGAAATAGGTAGCAATAAGAGATCGATAAAGTGACCAACAATCTGGCTGAAAAGACACGTCACACGACTTTGTGTCTACAGGGAGTTCGGCAAATATCCTATCACTGCTATTTATAAACAAGAGCAGAGTAATACAGGACATATCAGGTCAACAAATACAAAAGTTGTCCCTCCCGGTATCTCTCCCGGTATCTGTTAGCACACCGGCACGGTATATTGGTCATTTCAATGGAAGTAAAGTGATGCCAGATCTTAATTATATCTTTAAACATCTCGCTTCTTCGCATCACGCAATTCACCTCGCTCTTTGACCAAATTCGAAATCGCCACGCCGGTATCACCACCTAGCTTCGCGAATCCCTGAATAACACCCTCACGGTCCCCAGGGCGCATTTCCTGGCTCATCTTGAATTTCCCCTGAAGCTTGGTGATACGAATCTCTATTCCAACAATATTCTTCTTCAGGAGGTCAGTGTACGACTCAGGCGCATCCGACACCTTCCATGGCTCCGGTTTCTCGCCACCAGTATACCCCATAATCGACTTCTCCGTGTGCTGCGAAAGATCATGCAGTTGCTTTGCGAGGAATACCCCGGTCTCTGGTGTCTTGGCGTCATAGTATAGCGACATCTTGCCATACGCTTGGACGGCGGAGTAATTCCATGTAGGCACAACCTTCCCTGTGCTGGGCTTTGTCTCAACGTAAAATTTCGGAGTCACGTAATGGTCATGCTTGCCATTGAAGAGAACTAAGACGTCCTGTTCAAGTTCGAGAACGTTCGGCGGCTGGTTATCCACGGCTTCTATCATTGATTTGACTTGCGGGTTCTGCTTGGCGATATGGGCGCGGAGGTAGGGATCCGTCTTGCCTGATTCCTCTGGGAAATCCACAACAAATGGAGCATGGGTGCATTGTAGGAAGTCTTGCTGGGAGGAGTTCATTCCGGTGATCAAAATCCCGAGTGGGTTTTCTCGGATGAAATGGAGCAAGACCTCTTTGTCTTTCTCCTCGTGGGCGCTTTGGAAGAACATGTTGGATAGCGGCTAGGAAAAGAGGTGTCAGAGGATGTAAAAGACAGAGGTATGAAGGCAATTGTGTAGGAAGACAATAATGACCCAAATCAAGCCCCCCGCCAAATCTCAGATTATCGTATCGTTGATTTGTTATCAGTAGCCAAGGATTCGTCCGCTAAAGGCATGTCCAACCGGCACCTGCAGAGACCCGGCGGGGACAGGAACTTTTGTCATTTTCCCGGATTATCAAAATCCTGTAGAAAGAATTAATAGGAAAGTTCGATTAATTGCCTACATCATTGGCAGCAAAGACGCCTGATCTTCACGGTTCTTCCAAATAGAAGCAGCCCTGGGGGATCGAAGCAGTCTAACCAATTTTGGCTAGTATTTACCACGTGTACCGTATTGGGTATAGCCCAATCTATCGGGGAATATTCAGAATTCCTATTGGCTATCTCTGGACCCACTCTACTTTATCTGCAATATAGAGAATGTACTTGGATGTACAAACAGGCAAGATAGTGGCAGCTGTGCGTATATTGACCGAACCCAATTTTGTAAGAGAATCCTTCATTTGATATATAAGATAGGCTGATAAAAAGAGGGTATAGATTGAAAAAATCGCACAGAAGCCGGAATAGAAGACCAGAGAGGGACTAGAACCAAGACTCCGTCGCTTCCAAACAAAAACCACCTGCGTAAAACATAAAAATGCGCCTAATTTTATTGTCGGAAGGGCATAAGACCTCCCAACACATAACAAGAGAATCTCAATGACCATCAATCAATGAGATAACAGTAGAATACCAAACAGAAAATCATGAGGATGCTCCGGCATCTGGGCCTATGTTCAAAAAGCACGAACGCAGCTCGAGCAGTACATCCTCCTTTGTTGACATCGTAATTCGTTGATATCATCGCCATTCATCGTAAAACATTACATTGATGCAAGAGTAGCAGATCCTGCAGCCGCAGATCCCCAGCGCAGTTTTCGGAGTCCGCCACGGACCGCTTCCTGCCCACACCCGGTTGAGGGACGAGGACCAGGAACACCATCTCCCATCATTCCGACCTCAACTCGACCAACCTCGCGGCCGATCATATACCCGGCAGAAAAGCTGATTGCGGAGAATAGAACGACAACCCCGGCGCTGATGACCCATGTCATGATCGTGGGGCTAACAGTCGTTGCTGAATCTGTCATGCTCACGCGACGACTCTTCTTCGAGGAGGCACCATGGTCTTTAGGGGAACTGGAACGGCGCTTTGTTTTGGTGGCAGCTGGGTCGGATGACACTGACGGTACTCTTCGGTGCCTCTGAGATGCACCTTTAGAGGGACTTGTTTCTGGATACCGTGGCGAGGATGTGGTCTCTTCATCGCTGCTCTCCTCTCCCATAGCAACGGATGGGCCTACTAATCGGAATGAAGCGGGGTGTCCGCCACTCGAGGGAGCAGCTGGGGCGGGTGATGGTCGACTATCATTCTTAGGAAGGCCTCTGGCAGCAGCGGCACATGAAAGAAGTGTTGATAGGCTGGCACGAAGGGCGGCATCATGGTCGGTATGGTGAGAAGGAGAGATCATATTGTAAGGGCTGTGCTGATATTGAGTTCTCCGCGATGATCGCGGGCTAGGGTAAGATTCTCTTCGAGGGGCTGCACGGTGAGTAGAGGTAGATGGGCCATTAGGTTGAGTACGCCGTGCAGGCCATCCAGGCTCTGATGTCGCCGGTGGGTGTGTGAATATGTTTGGTTGAGGTACGAAAGGTGATGGGCTGATGCCCATCCCTAGGGCAGTAGAAGTATCATCTTCATCATCGCTAGAGGCAGCGTCGGAACCTGAGGAGGGTTGTGCAGAGCGCGCAGACAACGCAGGTGGAAGCGTTTGGCGAGGGATATCTTCATTTGAGCTGCTGAGAACGCGATCAGACTCGCTTTCGCTCTCCTCATACTCCTCCTGACTGCTACTGGCTTGGCTGGTATCCCGCGATGCATAGTCTACCTGGGCTGTGGTGATAGCAGCAAGGTGTTGTAGACGGCGTCGCCTATTGCGGCGCTGATATGCTCCCGCTTCTCCGTGCTCGACTTGTAAGCCGGTGGTGATTATATCTTCATTCGTAGCAGCAGACGAGAAGGAGGAAGAGGACGGTTGCGAGGATACGTCGATCCAAGAATCTATGTAGTATCGTAGTGAGTACATTATAGAGGTGTGAGCGCAATTTTGTATAATGAACGTTCACCGAGGGAGGTACCGGGCAGATTATAAAAAGGACTACATACCCTCTGATCTCATGGGCGCCGCACCGGATGGTTGAGGCTGACCGTTATCTTGAAGCGGCTGATGGCCATCAGTCATCCGACTTGCGGCTCTAGGCTCATGCGCCTGACCCAACATATAGTGATTTGGTTGCATAGCCAGAGAGTTGAAGAAAATATAAGAGGGAGTGAATAGAAATATAAAAGAGAGGGGATCAGGCCACTCTGGAGTACAAGAGAGCGGTCAACCCGTGGATGTGGGGTTATCTTATCAAATGCGGAGTCGATCACTGATGCCCAAAGCAAGGGCTTTATACTCCTTTTTGCTCACAGGAATTAGTAGCTAAAAGAAAAACAGTTGAATAAATCTTCAGAAACAGAAAACAAAAGAGACAGAAAGATGAAGAAAGCTTCCAGATGGAAAGAATCGATATGATGAGGTGATCAGCAGACTGAACAGGTGATTTGCAGCCCGTGACAAGGCAAAGAAAGATGATCTCCTCGATCGTCAGTGGCGTGGTTTTATTCCGGAATGTTGGGATTCGAGAAGCTCGCAAAGAGACATGCTTTCATCAATAAGTTGATCAAAGAAGCACGAATCAACCACCGATGAATGTACTGAGTAGGCAAAAACAAAGAATATTGCGCGGGGAAGGCGGATTCTGACGGCAATATACCTAACTCATCCATGGTTACATGTTTACGTTGTACAAAAGGCACGAAGTTCATCAGAATGAAAATTGAAATGATGTATCAAATTGAAGATACCTGAGCTAAGATCATATTACACATAATTAAACACGAACTTTTTTCCTCTCAAAGCAAACCTGAGACCCATGGACACCGTTATGTTGCGGAAATCAAACGTATGCAGAAAACATCAAGTTTAGAAGGTAACCTTGGTACCCTTGTACTCAGGGATGCTACCCTTGCCCTTGTTGAGGCCACCACGGCCGCCACGGTCGCCGAAGCCACCACGACCACCACCACGGCCACCGCGGTCACCGAAGCCACCACGGCCACCACCGCGACCACCACCGCCGCGTCCACCGAAACCACCGCCACCGCGGCCGCGACCACCGAAGCCACCACGGTCACCACCGGCAGGGCGGGGAGTAGAGAAGTCAAGACGGATAGCACGGCCCTCGAGCTCGTGGCCGTTGAGGGCAGAGTGGGCAGCCTTAGCCTCGTCGATGGAAGAGAACTGAACGTAACCGAAGCCCTTGGGGCGGCCGGTCTCCTGCTCAGTGGGGAGACGGATTCCGAGAACGGAACCGTGGGCACCGAAGGCCTCGTGGAGAGCATCCTCAGTGGCGCTGAAGGGAAGGTTGCCAACGAAGAGAGTGTCGCTCTCGGGGCTGGTAGAGTCACCGTAAGAGCGAGCACGATCCTGGGAGCGGTCGGCAGGGGGGTTGGCCTGACGGGGAGCGGCGTAGTCGAGGTTGATGGTGCGACCATCAAGATCGGTACCCTTCTTGGCCTCCATGGCCTTGACGGCATCGGCGGCGTTGGTGTACTCAACGTAGCCGAAGCCACGGGAGCGGCCAGTCTCGCGGTCGGTAACAATGCGGACACCGTTGAGCTCACCGAACTCGGCGAACTCACGCTGGAGCCACTCCTCATCGACGTTCCAGGACAGGTTACCGATGAAGAGGTTGGCAACAGCACCCTCGGGGAGATCCTCGGTCTTGGACTTCTTGGCAGCAGCGGCAGGCTCCTCATCAGCCTTGCGCTTCTTGGAGACAGGGGTCTCCTCGGAGTCAGAGTCAGAGTCAGAGCTGTCAGAGTCGGAACCAGACTCGGAGTCGGAAGAAGCCTTCTTGGCCTCGGACTCAGACTCGGACTCAGAGGAGTCAGAGTCGGAAGAGTCAGAAGACTCAGCCTTCTTCTCGGTCTTCTTGGGAGCGGGCTTCTCCTCCTCGGACTCGGAAGAGTCAGAGTCGGAAGAGTCGGAGGACTCGGCCTTAGCAGCAACCTTCTTCTCGGCCTTCTTAGGAGCGGGCTTCTCCTCCTCAGACTCGGAAGAGTCTGAGTCGGAAGAGTCGGAAGAATCGGAGGACTCAGCCTTCTTGGCAGCAACCTTCTTCTCAGCCTTCTTGGGGGCGGGCTTCTCATCCTCGGACTCGGACTCGGACTCGGAGCTGGAGGAAGCATCCTTCATATCCTCATCGGACTCGGACTCAGACTCGGAAGAGGAGCTGGGAGTAGGCTCCTTCTTCTTGTTCTTCTTGGAGGCCTTCTCCTTGGCAGCGACCTTGTTGGCAACGGCCTTGCTCTTGGCGGCGGGGGACTGGGAAGCCTTGGTGACACCGGCATCCTTGACCTTGTTCAAGGCCTTGCTGGCCTTGCTAGCCTTATCGGCAACCTTGGTAGATGTCTTGGACATTGTGAACTAGAGGCGAGATGAGATGTTAGCAGATTGCTCTTTGATATAATAGAGGGAACTCATGGAGAGGGCTTGGAAGGCTGGCTTGTAGCTTGGGTAGGGTGGCACATACTGTAGTGACAAGTGAAATTCTTGTAGTATGTGCGGCAAAGCCCACGATCCCTCAAAGCACCCGTGTTATGGATGTGTAAAATGGAACAACAGCCCTCAGAAGAACTGCCAGAAGTGAACTAAATCACAGCTGGACGTTAACCCACTACCCACGGACGGACAAGTTTTCAAGCCCACAAGCAACAGACAGCCAATACTGTCTAGAATATGTAACCCACGAGGAAGATGTCCCACAGAGCCCACAGAATAGATGTATGTCAAGCCCACAGCCCTCAGAGTGATAAGAAGCCCACAGAGTATCCGAACGAACTTACGAGATAAACCCACGCGACTGCGTTAGTTAGTGTGTATGAAGATCTCTTGAGTATTCAAGAGATGGTACAAGTAAAGCAACCTGAAACAGACTGCTTTTTTTTAAGGGGATGAAAGAGAAAAGTAGAGAGGATGGGAAGAAGAAGAGAAAAAAAAGTGAAGAGCTGGGGGACCATCAGCTCTGATAAGGAAAAATTTTGGAAAAAAAAATTCGGAGGCTGGCAGAACTACTCCGCCTACCTAGAAAGGTTAGATTATTTACTTAGTCCCAACACTATGTGGGTACCTGTCCTGTGCCTGTTGACGACTCACAATCGCGTGTCAATTGGCGGTATCTTCTGCATTCGTCTACGTAAACATATGAAGGCACAATATTCTTCTACTATCACTCCTTACACACTGTTCAACTTTTTTTCTTTGAATAAGTCAATGGGACGATAAGTTCTCCCTCTGGCCTTCTACCGTCATGGCCCCTCCAACACCATCCTCCCACCGTCCCCGCAAGAAGAGAAAGATTGCGATCTCGCCCGGCTCCAACAATAACCTGATCTTAGATCTAGGTGATGGGAAGCAATCCCCAGCATTTCCGCTAGTCTCATTTTTGTGGGCTGCTCGGGCTGGTGTTTCTCAATGGCTGATTCTCCCACTTGTCCTCATGGCCGTTGGCCTATTCCGATGGGCTGTGAGCTTATGGGGTTACTCTGGTATGTGATATTGTCTCTCTTTGGCGTGAATGCAGAATTAATACCTTCTAGGCTTTCAGGTACCCCCAATGCATGGCGATTTTGAGGCGCAACGGCATTGGATGGAAATTACCACACATCTGCCTTTGGCGAAGTGGTACATATACGATCTGCAATACTGGGGTCTCGATTATCCACCATTGACCGCATATCACAGCTGGTTATTTGGAAAAATGTATACTTCCCACCTTGTCATTCATTGTGAAATTCCATTGGGCTCCTGCTGACTTGTCTAGTGGTTCCGCCTTTGATCCAACATGGTTCGCCTTGGACGCTTCCCGAGGTTTCGAGGACTCCCGTTTGAAAGTATACATGCGCGCTACTGTCGTTATATCCGAATACTTTGTGTTCATTCCGGCCGTGGTTAATTTCCTCCGCCGCTACACTCGGATGCAGGATGTCCATGCATGGTCCGCCTCGATTGCTCTCGTAGCGATCCTCCTTCAGCCAGCGAACATCCTCATTGACCATGGCCATTTCCAATACAACACAGTCATGCTTGGATTGGTAGTTGCCAGTTTGGATGCTATCTTAGCGGGGCGTATGCTCTGGGCTTGCATTTTCTTCGTTGGTGCACTGGGATTCAAACAGATGGCGTTGTACTATGCACCAGTCATGTTCGCCTATCTTCTCGGTGTCTGCATATTCCCTCGGATTAACATTCCCCGCCTTGTCAGCATAGCCCTCGTCACATTGGCTGCTTTTGCTTTGCTGCTGACTCCCCTTATGGTTGGGGCCTCCAATGCCGAAGCTCGAAAGGAATTTGCTTCTTCCCCAGTGCCGCCTCTGTTACAGGCACTTTCTATCCAGTTGGACAAGAACTCCGTTACATATGGGTTATTATTCCAACTAATGCAGATCATTCATCGGGTGTTCCCCTTTGCACGTGGGCTTTTCGAAGACAAGGTTGCTAACGCTTGGTGCGCCATTCACACTTTCTACAAGCTCACCCGCTTCGATGCTACATTGTTACAACGAGCGTCACTCGGTGCCACATTGGTGTCAATTATTATTCCCTGTGCTATCATCTTCCGCCACCCCCGGGCTTCGCTTCTCCTTCCTGCTCTATCTGCCGTCGCCTGGGGATTTTTCTTGTTCTCTTTCCAGGTCCATGAAAAGAGTGTGTTGCTGCCTCTGCTACCAATGACCCTACTGCTTGCTGGTAACGGTGGACTGAGTAAAGAAACACGCGCCTGGGTGGGTTGGGCCAACGTTCTTGGCTCATGGACCATGTACCCCCTTCTTAAGCGCGATGAGCTTCGCGTTCCTTACATAGTCATGACTTTGCTCTGGGCCTATCTTCTCGGTTTGCCTCCTACTTCTTTCGAGACTTACCGAAGTCGACCATCCCCTGAAGACTCCAATGCCCACCTCGAGCCCAACACTCTCACAACCCTTCTACACTTTGGTTTCTATTTGGTCATGATTGCCTGGCATATCCTTGAAGCATTCGTGCCTCCACCTCCCGGAAAACCAGATCTTTGGGTGGTACTGAATGCTCTGATCGGAGCTGCTGGGTTTGGGATTGCCTATCTATGGTGTATGTGGAAACTATACACCCAATGCCGCCAGATCAGTCGGCAGGCGACAGAAGAGGAAAGCCAGAAAAAGAAGCAGTGATTGTTTGCCTAGGCGGACAGCTGTATGATTTTCAGTGATACCCCATATTATGTGATTATCCAAAATGAGGCAGTACAACTACTGTCTCATTTCATTAATATCATTTATTAATATAATTGATTCGGTATTCTTTCTTTGAGAGGTGAGATGTTGTATTGGGAAAATCATCCCTATCATCTGGAGTGCCAAACTCTAGATTCCAATATGTCACATCTGAGCAAACATGCCCTAAAACAGACGATATCCAGTAAAACAAGAAACTCCCGCCAATGAATGCTATGGTACAATGTTGTATAGTGATAGTAGTACAGCCGAGGCTATTAGGTCAGAGAACGAGCTAGACCTTGAAGCCAAATCCGGCCATGCAAGTCTTGTACTGCTCGATCGTGGACTTGCACTCCTGCTCAGGGTTTTCGGACTTGGAGAAGAGCATGCAGTCATCGCGGGCGGTCTTCTCGGGTTTGCAGACACAGCAGGGCTACAATGATGGCAAAATCAGTCCCTTGCGCTTGTAGATTCGGCAGTATCGGGTCATACCTTGGGCTTCTCAGACTGGGTGGGCTGAGCGGGCGCTTGCTCGGGGGCAGCAGCGCTTTTCTCTGTAGATAACTGTGTAAGCGAGGGTCAAGATCTTCCAAGATTCTCTGATATATAGGACTGGCGCATTGCGCAAGTATTCGGCCCGATGTGGAAAGAGGGATTGGTACATACCGTTTGAGGAACCGAAGAGCCAGGACATTGTGATGGATATGTAGATGTACTTTTTAGATATTTCAAGGTAAACGGAAGACAGAAAGGGAGTGGTAAGTTGTCAAATGCTTACAAGTTGACCTAACACCATCGGACATTATTAATGGCTCGTGCAGCGTAACTGGTCTCTATGCTGCACCGTAGTTATTTTTTTTTGTTATCAACAAACTTGCCTCCCCGGAGTCGCCTCCTCTTCTGTTACATTGACTGTTTCGGTTTTTCCTTTCTATCCTTGGGTCTACTTGGGTCTCCTAATTGCTGGGATAATATCTGCCATTGACCCTTTTCCTATTTTATTTCTTTTTTCATCTCAATATCCCACTTGAACAACTACCCCGCCATGGCCCCTCCCAAGGTCTTCTCCCTCGAGGGCAAAGTCCTCAAGCTCGACAGCGCAGAGGACATCAATGTGCACATCCAGCCCTTGATTGACAACACCGACTACACCGAAATCCGTCTCGGTGGAAACACCCTGGGCATTGGCGCGTCCGAGCGTCTCGCCGAGGTCCTGCAGACCCAAAAGTGCCTCGAAGCTGCCTACCTCGACGATATCTTCACCGGTCGTCTCCTGACCGAAATCCCCACTGCCCTGAATGCGCTCTTGAACGCCATCCTCAAGATCTCGACCGTCCACACTGTGAACCTTAACGATAATGCTTTTGGTCTCAGAACTCAGGCTCCACTTATCGAATTCCTCTCGCGCCATGTGCCCCTCCGCCACCTCATCTTGAACAACAACGGACTCGGCCCCGCTGCCGGATCCCAGGTTGCCGACGCGCTGTCAAAACTTGCTGAGCGCAAAGAGGAAGCTCGCAACTGTGGCGAGGAGGTTGGACTGCTAGAGAGCGTTGTTTGCGGACGAAACCGCTTGGAGAACGGCAGTATGGAGGCATGGGCTCGGGCCTACAAGGCACACGCCGCTGGTCTGAAGTCGGTCAAGATGACACAGAACGGCATCCGATCGGAGGGTATCTCTCACTTGTTGACCGAGGGTCTCTACCACGCGCAATCCCTGGAGGTTCTGGATCTGCAGGACAACACTTTCACCCATGTGGGCTCTGCTGCTCTGTCAAAGGCCTTGTCTGGCTGGCCATCTCTGCGCGAGCTTGGTGTCGGCGATTGCCTGCTCTCTGCCCGCGGTGGTGTCAAGGTTGCCCAGGCTTTGGCGCAGAACAAGAACCAGAAGCTCCAGACTCTGCGTCTGCAGTACAACGAGATGAAGGCGGAAGCCGTCAAGAGCTTCACCCACGCCGCCAAGACTGCTCTTCCCAGCCTCCGTCGTGTCGAGCTCAACGGAAACATTTTCTCCGAGGAGGACCCTAACATTATTGACCTGCGTGAGCTCTTGGAGGCTCGACAGGAGGAGCACGGTACCGACGAGGACCCCGAGGATAGCTGGGGTCTTGACGACTTGGATGAACTCGAGGAGGAGGATTCTGAAGACGAGGAGGAGGAAGAAGAGGAAGAGGAAGAGGAGGAAGAAGCTAAGGCTGAGAAGGATCTCAAGGATGCCGAGCGCGCCGAGGAAGAGAAGGTGGCCCAGAAAGATGACAAGGACGTCGATGCCCTGGCCGATGTGCTGGGCAAGACAGCTATCTAAACCTCTAGAGCTGCTGGACAATTGTCACTTCCATCAGTACCTGCCTTTCATCACGGACGTATCATGGATCCAATGCCACGTTGATATCACCAATGGTTGAGAAACCCACGCCCTCGGCTTACTTGGTGTCCCCCTGGCCATTCATGGTCCCTTTCTGTGTCCACGGCCACTTACAAGCTTCGGGTATGAGGATCTGACTGACGACGCTTACGCTTTACCTTCAAAAAGACCCCCATTTGTTATACCCCCAATCTTCAATGATGAAACCCTAGCTGCACATAATCCCCTTTTGCTTTAATCCATATTCTGTTTGCATAGCAATGGACCCTCGTGTTCAGAGGATACATAACCATATAGATGGAATACATATCTGGACAAGCAAAAATTCAAATCGTAAATATTGAAATGTAAACAGGTGTCTGTACACAAAGCTGCGTATAGAAAGTAAAAGAATTTCCGAAAATGGAAGGCAAGGCTTGGCGCGAACCTCGAACATCGCAGCTCATCAAATCCCACTTACCTCGTCGGCTTTGACGTATCCCATCTACCATATCTATCGCGTCTGGCGCTCTTATTGCCGGCGCCTTTCCGCTCTTTCTCTTCATCACCGCTTCCATCTCGGAACACTACACCGCTGACGCGACCGTGAAATATCTCCAGGTGAGTGACCGCTCTAAACACCCCTCATTTCTTCTTGTTTTTGCGCGATTGCCTATTGCTATTTCTAGCGCAATCTGTATAACACCTCTCATATCATTGTTTCCAATCGTCTCTGTCTGTTTTTATCTAGTTTCCGCGAGCAAATGGGGGAGGTGGACACGTGCAAAATACCAGCATACCACCTTCACCCGCATGAGTCTATATCGCATGGTATTTCCAGAGCCATGTTTCGTGTGACATTTGCTGAAAGCATTTGTGCTATATTTGTGATCCCAAAGGGACAAATGTGTTCGTGGTTTTGCAGAATGCGCCGGCATCCGGGGCCTATAAAGACCCTGCACTCCAAGCTTTTACGATGATATACTAACAATTGTGGTTTATAGGTCGCGCGGAACTTTCCCAAGCGGTCCGTCATTGACCCCGTCAAACACTCTCGCATTATCCTTCTACCCCGCACAACATGGCGATGGACGCCAAAGAGATCGAAGCTAAGGCCAAGGCCTTGGGCAAGGCCGCGACCTCAAACGAGTCTCCCGCTGTGATTCTGGGCCTTCTGAAGGATATCCAAACCGGAGTCCGGGCAACCGAAGACCTCCTCCGACAGACGCGCATCGGAATCATCGTCAACAAGTTCAAGCAAAGCAAGTCTCCCGAAGTCGCACGCCTCTCCAGCGAGATCGTCTCCAAGTGGCGCACCGAGGTGAACAAGCAGAAGCAGGGCGGTGGTACAGCAGCCAGTCGGGGCTCGAGCGGTTCTCCACGACCAGCACAGAACGGTACAGGAGCGTCCACCCCAGCTGCTGCTACACCCTCAGACAAGGCGTCGAAGCTGTCCGTGCCTCCCGATAAGCGTACCTGGAAGGCAGACGGGGCGGAGATTAATCATACCGGAAACCGAGTGCGCGATAGCTGCACGGGACTGATGTACGATGGACTGTGTGTCGGGTCATCTGAGTCTGTGAAGGTCGTTCTAGCGCGTGCTATTGAAGTGGAGGTTTCCGCATACAAGTACCTTGGACCGGAGACAAAGGAGGAATACCGCACGAAGATCCGCAGTCTTTTCCAGAATCTGAAGAACAAGTCCAACCCGAAGTTGCGTGTGCGTGTTGTCGAGGGAGAAATTACCTCTGAGCAATTTGTGCGCATGAGCCACGATGAGCTTCGATCTGTTGAGCAGCGTGAGGCAGATGCCAAGATTCAGAAGGAGAACATGGATAAGGCTATGGTTGCCCAGCAAGAGCGCAGTATCAGTAAGAGTCTGCAGTGCGGCAAATGTGGTCAACGCAAGGTTACCTACACCGAGGCTCAGACTCGCGCGGCTGATGAACCGATGACCCTGTTTTGCACTTGTCTGAACTGCGGCAAGTCCTGGCGACAGTGAGCTCTGATAGCTGGGGTGGAAATGTATTATTCTTGGGACTCGGTGTTGCTTTCTATCTTCTTTTTCTCTTTCTTGTGTTTTCATTCTTTCAAGCTCAGCTAAGAAAGCCGACGCAGGAGTTCTAGTGTGGGCCTTTGATTTTATGTCTTCTACATTTGTTTCTCTTGAGCGAAGCTTAGGCAAATGGAAAACAGTGAACTATCTACCAGAATCCAGATATTCCAATATCCTATTCCAAGTTTTAACTGCCTATATAGAACTGTAATTGATGGTCGACTGCAAAGGCTACCTTGGACATGGGCTTAGGCCTTGAATGCCATTGATTGGACCTATACTATTTTACATGCATGATCCAACCTCCCCTCCCCTTCGTTCTCTTTACCTCCCACCCACAACGCTTTTGTCTTCGATTATCTTGCGGTTATGTTCTCTCCTTGATATAACTACCAAGCAGTTCCTTGATGTACACTGGATCTGGAAAGGAGCCATCTCTTTCGTCTACGAAGTTCACCCTCGCATCGTAGTCAAGGTCCCCAAAACCGGCGAATTTGAAAGAGAGCAATTTGCGAAAGAACTTAAGATCTATGAAATATTTTCTCGACATCCACCCTGTCCTTCTATAGTACAGTGTTACTTCTACACAACCAACGGCATTTTTCTGGAGTATATGCGAGGTGCGACTCTCTTTTATCCATGCTTGATAGTTCCGTCTACTAATCGCTTATTAGATATATCCCTCTACACTAGGATACAAAATAACCATATTTGCGACGAGCAAACTCGCGTGGTCACAAAAGTAGAGAAACTCGAACCTCTACCGCTACGAAAGGAATGGATGAACGACCTCGCCCAAGCCATCGCTTTCCTAGAATCGCTTAATCTCGCCCACGGCGACCTACGACCCGAAAATATCTTACTTGATCGTGACCGATTAAAAGTGTCAGATTTCGATTCTACGGCAGAAATCGGGTCAGATTTTGAAGCCTGTATGGCCCCTTATGGAAGGATACTTAACGACGACGAGATAGATCAAGGACCACGTGGAGGTTCCGGCTTCCTAGGTCCTCGAACTGAGTAATTTGCCCTCGGTTCTTTATTCTACTTTATAAACTACGGCTTTGAGGTTTATGGGAATCGATGTCTTACTGAGGATCCGCGCGAGCATGGTCCTAAGGTTGTGGACTTACTATAGCGTATGGAATTTCCGGAGTTACATGGTGATCCGTTAATTGATTGCGTTATCAAGAAATGTTGGTATAACGAGTATGCCTCGATTGCGGAATTGGCTGCATACATAGAGACGCTTTCTGGGAGGCGTAACAGGAGGGAGACTGTAGCTAATGACGGAGAACCGAAGGGATTATGCCGTGACACAGGTCGAAACTGCTCGTCAGAGGATTTCTCTTCGAAAAAGACATTCTGTCAGAGCTTGGAGAAGCGTGGACTTCTTGATATGCTTTCTTCGGGAGAGCCTGAGCAACTTGGATTCAACTTCAAGTGGTATAGATATACCACTTGAAGCGATCGCTTACACGAAAAGAAATGCAGATTCACTGGATAGTTCTTTTGAGACTGTAAGATTTAAAAGCTACTTGACGCTTTTTGATACATTTGTAGACATATTTCACATACCAAAACGTCATATATATGTCACTATATATATATCTCTCCCCTCCAATCTTCACCATCTAAACCTCCCAATTCCCAATTCAACATGACTACACGTTCAGACCTCCTAAAACCAATCCACCTCCTCATAAAAGCCCTAACAAACCCAACCCCAAACCCCAAACAACTCCTCTCAACCTTCACAACATTCCCCAAACCTCTAGTCCACGAACACGGTCTCCCACAACTAGCACCCTTCCTAGGCCGCCCCTTCATCGGCCAAGATGGAGTAGCAACTTACTTCGAGCTCATCGGCTCCCTTCTTTCCATCAAAAACATGGTCTTCGAGCCTGAGGAAAGCTGGGTGGTTGACGAGAGCTGCATGGCCGTTTCGCTGCGCGGGACAGCGACGTTCTGCTGGAAAGAGACGCGGCAGGCGTGGGATGAGACGTTCATTTATCGTATTAAGCTTGCTGTTGATGGTGGTGGGATTGGGGAGGGGTGGTTGGCGATTTGCGAGTATCATGTTTGGGCGGATACTGGGGCTGCATATCTTGCTAGGCTTGGGAGGTTGGGGGATTTAGTTGAATCTAATAGTGGGGAGGGGATATATCTGGATTTTGAGACTGGGTAGAATATATTAAGATGCACGCAAGTAGTGCAAGGAGAGTGTCTTTATTTGGGAGATCTTTCTAGCTAGATAAATGGTATAATGCACATAGTCTAACCCGTCGCTTCAATACGGGTCTATCCCTCGAAGACGCTGTGGTTAAGCTCAACCCCGATATCCTTTGCCATATTCTGCATCTGGGCTTCGATATCATCCTCCATACCACCACCCAGATGTAAGAACTGGCGCACCTTGGTGAAATAGAAGAATATATCAGTACTAAATAGAACCATGCGGAAGACCAAATGGCGACCGATGTTACGGATCTTCTCGGCCAGCGGCAGATCCGGAGACTCAATAAGTGCACGCGAAGCCCAGATACCAGTGATCTTAACACGGTTTACTGGCGAGCCCAGGAACTGGTTATTACCTTGGACGATGCGCAGATTGCGACCGATGAAAATCAGCTCCTGTGGCCACTTGGTTTCATCACCTAGCATATCGCGGATCGCCTTGCGTAACTTCTGCTGCATCTCGAAGTGTCGCTCTGCACGCTCCCTCTTGCTCAGTCCCTGGAGACCGCGCTGCGTAGACATATCTCCGCCACTGTAGGGACGCATCAATGTTGCTGACGCGAAGAAATCGGGGTTGTTCACGCCCCATCCTTTGACAATCTCGCCCAGCGTGCGATTGTCGAAGGTGAGGAGAGCTTTCCAGAACCGCGCGTATTGGTGACGGAATCCCGGTTCCATGTGGATATACAGGCCGTGGTCGATCAGAACTAGCTCTGGCTGTCCGTTTGGCTTGCGGCGGATGAAGATGTTACCCGGGTGCGGATCGCAGTGGACGTATCCCCATAGGAACATCTGGGCAGAGAATAGGTCTACCATGGTTGTCATCACGTCCTTGAGGGACAGTCCCAGCCCGCCGCGGTTATTGCGACCTCTCCAGTAATCACGCTCAGGCTTGGTCGTCGGCGGACGCATGTTTCGATCCGCAGAATCTGCCCCCGGCCGGTCAAGCGGTGTACCGTGACAGCCTGGACTTCCCTGGCCCCAGCCGCCGCGCCAGGGCCGTGTGATGGCGTCTTTGTTCCAGAGCCGTACGCCTTCTACCCATTCGGCAGTCATGACGCGCTTCGAGCTCAGTTCGCGATATACACGAGGAATATACACGCGATCGCGCAGGCGAGGTTCAGCGGCCACTAGCTTGGCCATATTTTCTGAGTTATCTGCTTCATTTACGAAGTCTGTTTCGAGCGATAGTCTCTCACTGATGTAGGGAACGAGACTGTAGAAAGGGATGTCGAACACCTTGCTATAGATCAAGGTCACGACTCTATTGGTTTCAACATTAGCATAACATCCTTCGCACGGCTCGAACTCGACAACTCACTTGAAAGCCCAGAGATCCCATACCAATTGCTGCACAATCTCCCGCTTTTGAATCTTGATCGCCACCTCCCTACCATCCTGCAGACGAGCCCAGTGAACCTGAGCAACGCTGGCACTGGCTCTGGCTCTGCGCTCCATCACGCCCTTGTTAGGGTCACCCGTAAATGAGATACCGAATACCTCCTCAGGCGATTTTCCAAAATCCTCACGGATGACCTTCTCAATATCCTTCCAGTCATTCTGGGGCGCATCGTCAAACATGCGGGAGAACATCTGCTGGAACTCGGGGGGCAGGATGGCTGATTGCATGGCAATCGCCTGGCCAATCTTCAGGTAGAGACCGCCATTATGCCTCAGCAGATCGGACAAACGCTCTGCGTTGCGGGCGTGCACGGCAGCAATAGAGCTGGCCAGTGGAGGATGTGGGCGGAAGTTGATTTTGTAGTCAAGGGCGACGAGGAGACCGAGGGAAAAGGTCCGGGCCGTTCGGGTCAGCGATGAGGCGTAGAACTGGTTATCGATGCCATAAACGACGCCTGTTGCTAGCGAGACATAGAGGATTCGGCGGAACCATTTGATCGTTCGTTTGTAGGTCTTTGCTTCTGTGGGTTTCCCTAAGGAACTTGGTGACGGGGGTACGAAGGGTTGGAATTGGCTTGAGTGGGCGTATCGGTGTTGACGCCAAATTGAGGGACGGATGGTGGGCCGCAGAGGGCGGAGAAATGTCGCGTGCGCCATATGAAACGGAGAGGCGGATGCCGAATCACTGCATGGCGGTATCAATCAAATCCAGTCTGATCTGAGATGAAGACAGAGTTGCGAGAAGTGTCAGATGTTGAATGTTGAGTGTCAAGTCAGCATCCCCCCCGGCTCCGGGGGGCCGCCTCCCAGGTTGTCGTCATCAGCAGCTCCGTGCGGAGTCGGAGGAATTCAGTCTACAAATGCCTATACATAGTGAAATCAGTATGTGTGATATTATACAGTACTATTTACACTATTTACAGATATAATTCATAATTCATCATGGTCCTTAGCCTCCAAAGTGTCACACACTTTCGCATAATCCCTCATATTCTGAGGAATCGTAATATCCCACAGTTCATCACCCTCCAAAAACGTAAGTTGCTCTTTGCACGATTCCTCCGATGCCATTGGGATCAAAGTAGGGAGATGCTTGATCGAAGCCTTGAGGAAATTGCGCTTGAAGCAGTTGCCAAACCCAGCCAGAGTCTCCGAATCAGAGCAGATATGTAGTCCACCACCTAGCATTGGTCCACAGCTTTCCTTGATCTTGAGCGCAACATCATCGCCCATCTTCAAGAGAGCCTCTTCCTTGTGGGGAACATTCATGCGCTGCATCAGGCTTCGGACGGCGGGGACAAAGGTGTTATTGCGCGTCCATTGATCCCAGTGGGGGACGGTCGGTTGGCATCCAGCATCGCAGATTTCGCTCTGGAATTTATCGAAGAGGTGGCCTGGTCGGCTAACTAGCGCGGAGACGACTTTGAAGCATGATGTGCCGATCGCTGTGACGGGGGAAAGGAACAGGGCGAGAAGTAGGAAAAGGTCGGTAAAAAGACGCATGATGTGATTTATATAGAGGAAGACCTCTAGAGAAGATGGAGAGATACAAAATTGAAATCTGTCAGGGGAAGTGAATTCCCCCGCATTTGTGGAGAACTCGGAACTTCCGTCATTTTTTGATATTCGCGGATATTCAGGAATGGATCCTTTCAGGTATCTCTTGTATTCACCTCGTCTGCTTATGAAATTCTCTAACTGGAAAGTAGTGAATCTATGGAGACGCCCATAAACCTCGGAGAGGTGGACTCTCTCGAAGCCATTGTTATCATCGACAATGAGCTAGATCCGCTCTCTCCCCCGGCCCCGGATACCGTCCAAGTCTCAGGGAATCTGGGGGCGATTGCCATGGGCTCAACTCATAAACTGACAGACCGCGGGGAAGCATGCAAGGAATTGAGGCTGGGAGATGTTTGTTGCGCGGCACATGGCCTGTCGATTCTGGTGGTAAGCCGATATTCTACAATTGGACTTTTGAATGCAGTTTAGTATTAAGTCCATCATACATAGACTGCCACTAAAGGCGACAAGAAACACGTTATTCTCTTCGATGCTGGTCCTGAAGAGGAGGCTTGGGAGAGAAATGTGAAACGGCTGCGCCCAAATCTCTCCTCTGTGGAAATGATTCATCTATCGCATTGGCATCGAGATCACTCCGGTTCGTGATTTTAAACGACAATGGACACATTCACCCATGGCCTCTTCAATTGTTCTGACATCCGCGCAGGTGGTCTTCTGCGAGCAATCCGCATGATAAACGATGCCAAACAAGCCGAGTGCCGCTCTGAGGACCTAGTCGCAGATTTGCACCCAGACCGACCAGTCTACAGAGGCATTGCCCTCCCCGAGCATATCATTTCCCTCGAGGCTGACCCTACCTTTGAGGAGATTGGAAATGCAGGTGCGGTGGTCGACAAGCGGAGCGAACCACACACCGTACTTGATGACTTCTTTCTTATCTCTGGGGAGATTCCACGAGTGACACCATACGAGACAGGTCTGAAGAATGCAGTGCGATATGACCCTGATGATAATGACTGGTTCTCGGACGAACTCATCATCGATGAGCGTTCTCTCATCTGCAATCTCAAGGGTATATGCATCCTGTCTGCCCACAGCTTATTGAGCTAACATATCCTTCAGGAAAGGGACTTGTTGTTTTCACTGGATGTAGCCACGCCGGTGTAGTCAACACCACCAAACACGCCGTCCAGCTTACTGGTGGAACAATACCTGTCCATGCCGTGGTCGGTGGATTCCATCTCGCCACGAGCGACGCAGATCAAATCCAAAACACAGTAGCTGATCTCAAACGACTTGATCCCGCCGTGCTCATGCCCGGTCACTGTTCGGGCTGGCGTGCCAAGTTTGCGATTGAGAAACACATGCCTGGGTCATTGGTACCCTGTACCGTAGGATCAAGAATCACTTTCTGAGTTTTGTGTTGGTTTTATCTGAAACATGATACTCGGTGTGGACGCAGGGTGTTCATGTGAAACCGCATGGCATTGGTTGCTTCCGTAGCAACGAGTCTCATCAAGGGGCTGTCTCATCATCACCTCGGCATAACTTGTTCTGTTGAGATCGGATTCCAAATTCTAGTGTCACTTTATCTCCTTGCTGCATTTTCTTGCGATCGGGGGAATGCGGGAGGGATGCAGATGGCTGTTTTTAGACTTATGATAGGTAGGAGACGTGACAATGCTAATAATAATGATACTGAGACATATACAGCCAAGCAGCGTAAGCATTGGTTTCTGTGAGCTTGGCAGTGTCAGCTTCTACAATGGTTTTGAGCGATATATATTTCAGAAAGCAATTGCAACTTCCATTACATATTCTCAATGAGAAAAGATCTAAGAAACCCGAGTATCTAAGAAACCCGAGTAGCATGAAATCTATAGCTAATATATATTTACATCAATATCAACTATATGCCAACAATTGTGATTGCATTTCACACCGAAGTCCAAATTTGATCTATGTTGTATAATACCTCACATGTGCTTAAAACTTTCAATATATATACATTTGCGTTCTATCTAAGGAGTACCATGGGCAGTACATTATAGATGTAACCTCTATTAAATGTAGCACTGGATCTTGATCAGATCTTACAAACTTCTATTCAACCATTTCTATGCACGTTTAGTTCTATACCCACGTCTAGATAAGTCAAAAGCACCTCACCCGCAAGATAGTATGCAGTGTAACCACAAGGAAAGCAACTACACCAACGGACACCTGGCCGAGGTCAGCAGGACTAGTCCTCCACGGGCCCCTCTCCGTGCATTGTTCTACAGCCAAGCTCACAAGTAAATATTGACCGAACCTTCAAGATCCCGCAGTTGCAGACCAACAGTCTCTCCCGTCTCGGCCGACTAAAATCCCTCAGAGTAAGCATGTAAGCATTGGCATGAACAAATCTAAATACGCCCCTGACAGCGCCACGATCCCCTAACAGACACCCCCGATAAAAAGCACGTCCCTAGATTCCACACTTATGTGCAAGTAACTCCGTAGTACAAGCATGCACACTGCCCCCGCCAAGATGCAAGCACAACAAGCATTATCAACAACCCTCGCGCCTGTCTCCCTCTCCTCTCCACCCCACCCCATCGAAATGATCTCACGACGACACAGAAATAAAAAGGGGCTGGTCAGAGGTGAAATGCTCGCCAAGACGATAATGCGGGAGGAAGGGATGCACGGCGTGGCTTGGCGTCGGTGGACAGGTGCAGGGCGATCAGCAGATCAAGGGGGGTTCCGATAAAAGATACTTGACATCATTGAATGACTTTATCGCTTCATATCACATTAGACACATGCCAAGAATATCTTTGAATAGTGTCTGTTTTTTTATCATTTTCGCCAAGATTGATTGGAAGAGACAGGGGTTAGATGCAATCGGGATGATTTGCGTGCATTTATTTTTGAGACTTGTCGATAGTTTCTCGTTTCTCTTGCTGAATATATGTTCAGACACGGAGTATTATCGGAACTGCATACAGAGTGTTGTCTTCTATTATGGGGTAAATCGTATTTGAGTATGCAAGTCATCGAGACTTCAATAGACTACTCCGTATTGAGAGTCCAAGACAATGAGAACAAGGATGTAGTCGATCATACATCCTGTTCTGTCATTAGTTCTCATAAATGAGCAATGCCCAGTAATGGTACTGCTTAGCCAAGAAGGTCTAGTGAAACTGAGAAGTGAAACTCAAGTATAATTGCTGTCCCTTTCTATTGTTGGATCTTGGCTTTTACCTGTCTACCGTCGATCATGGAGGTTAATCCCACATTTGTGTCTGGTACTGCATCAGTCAACCACTCAGCACGACGAATGCTATCTATAGACAATAGCACGCCAGGCAGCATGGCGATCCCCTAGCATCCCCCACGAATCTATCCCTGTATTCCTTGGCATGCCTGGACAAGGTATCCCAGGACAAGCTCAGAGTAAAGTACGGAGTATACAGTACCTGTAAGACTTGGAAGCAATAAACTCACGTTGGAACAGCGTTTGCGCTATATTATGCTTTGACTCCGCCCCCGAGACCTGTAACAGGCACCGACAGAGATTGATATTCTGATGATCGGGACTTTAACGGTGGCTATGCAGATCTGTCGACGCACAAAGATGCATACTAATAAAGAGATATCTCGTAGCCTAGCAGGCAGTCTCGAATCTCTTTCTAACAATAGTAAATAATCTAACAATAGTAACGGAGGGAAACAGCGATGCGGAGTATACGGACGTACGAAGTACGAAGTTCTGCATTCAGTAGTTCGTCACGCACACCGTCATTCCGTCCCGATCTTGGAGAAATCATGAACACCGCCGATCACTGATGCCCGAGTGGCAGTGACAGCTAGTCCGAGACACAATACCGTGACGTTTAAGTCTGTACAATCCAGAAGTAGGTTCGTATCGATATAACACAGCCAAGAGGAATATCAATACAATAGAGCTGCAGCACGGGGAGATAGGGAGCGTGTGCATTGTCAACGGTTTTCGCGCACAGGTTCGGGATACCTACCCATAACGTCTATTCTAGTGTGTATTACAGCATACTATAGAGGGTAATTGTTATGTAGGTTTGTTATGGTGCATGCCTTGCGTCACAAAAGGGGAACAAAGTGACGACATGTCAGTTAATTTCCCCTAATATATGTACGGAGTAGATAGCACGAACTCTTACCAACACAGGAATCAAGTCGCGACAATCCTAGTCAATATTGAAGTGCCGGTAAATAATGATGTGCAACTACCATGTATGGGGACCAGTAGCAAGGGAGCAAAATATCTTGTCTCCCATACCACTTGCCTGTTGAGAGTTCGCGTAGTGTGGGGTGTTGGTTTGTTCTCCTGTCGATCGCGACCTAAAGGGGAAGGCTAAAGCATGTGGTGATCTGGTCTTATGGCTTATTAGTCGCGTAAGTCGTCTAATCTATATATTGTAGGTGGTCTGAGTGTTTGTTTATTTATTGCTTTTTTAGGTATGCGCGAGGACTATATGTCATCATTGCTATCCAGGACTGGAAAGGTGATTTGTGCGTGATCACACGAGTCCATTATAGTATATTTCTCCGAATCTCAATCTCAAACACATATTTAGATTTGCGGTTATTTCGACTAAAAGTGTTAATCCCCGAAGCTATAAAGCTAGAGTGAGTACGGATACGGAGTTGTTGAACACTATCTTCGTTTTCGTTTTTGCGGACTGTGCGTATTCGGGGCGTGTCCGTATGTGATGACTATCGGATCGACACAGGGTTTGCATGCAGCCAAGAGTAAGGTGTAACATGATCTCGACACATCAATTTGAAAATAGCTATGTACACAATTCAATGAATAAGGCTGATGTCAAATTCTCCGTTATTTTACCGCTATTGCTTGGTGGCGCTTAGGAAGTAATTTCCCATGAGTAAACAAAGAGGGTAATTTACCCGGTGCCTCGGCAAAATTAGGAAGATTTTAAGAGAACCACACACGAATGAAG